TATATACCGGGGATATATAGCTAATATACTTCTATCCCTACTAGTATTAGCGGCCCCGGCTATAATCTCTATAAGAACTCTATAATAACTATATAACAAATTTATGCGCCTATATATCTATATAATACTTATTAAGCAGCGTACGCTCTATCCCCCGTCTTTACGTAGTTATACCTATAGAGCGATAAAGGGTTGCCCCTTTACTAAAATCCTCCTTTAACCCCCTTCTTATAGACGATATTCCTTCCTTTATACGAACGTATACGACGCTATATCTATAAGTCCGCTTTATACCGATAGGTTCTAAGAAGCAAGTAAAGAAAGTGTAGAAGCGTATATACCCTACTCGGCCCTAATTCGACTATATAAAGTATATACTAGATAATAAGAAATGTTACTTCTACGGCGATTATAACCTAATACCGCCGGYACCTTCGAATAAACCGATTATACGGGCGATACTAATACCGCTACGGACGAATACGCTATCCTTAAGCACTATACTAATTATTATTAACTCTAATAAAAGCGAGATATTAGACGACGAGGTTCTTAACGGACATATTAGTAGGAGCCTCCTAGATAAAGCGCAGCTTACTAGTATAAAGGCAACCTATATACGATAGATTAAGATCGAAAAGGAAGCGGTAATAAATCTACCGAAGTATAAGTACTATATAGGTAATCTACCCCCTAGCTAACGGTCGAAGGATAGTGTTATAAAGGCTATCTCTATAATAGCAACCGTATAAGTTAGGTTTATTATTACGATTGTTATTGCGAGATACTATATTGCTCTAGATAATCTAGATAAGATACTAAAGTAGAGTAGGTTAAAGAAAGGTAAGGGGTTCTCTAAGTATACTATATATATTATATACTATTATTGCATTTATCTATACTGCCGTACAATTAATCGCTAATAGGATGTAGGAACGCCTAAGGACATCGCGGTACCGGATTATAATATTAAAGATATAGCAGCTACTATTCGTAGCTTCGGTAATAAACCGCATATTACTAAGGAGATAGAATATCCGGACAACACCTATATATATATTACGCAGTCGTATAATAACCGAGATAGGCCTATTTAACCTCTAGATACAGACTTTAAAGATAGGAAGCTAAGTCGTATCTTCCTAAACGATATTAATATAAAGGGCTAGCTATCTCGAAAGCAATATAAGGTATTCCTTATCTTTAAGAGACGTTCTACATCGTAGCCTACGGATAACCTATTATACGAGGCCGAGGTTAACGCAAATCTTACTAAAGCTACTGCTACTCTAAAGAGTAAGGGCTCTTAGAAGAAGAAGAAGAAGGTAAAGTAAGAAGTTAAGGTAGAGTTAAAGCTAGTAGTTAAAGTRGAGCCGACCTTAGAAGTATATATACTATCTTTCCGTATAAACGTTAGTAGATAAAGTCTAATACTAAATTCGATAGRARAGTAAAGAGCAGGTTAATACTACTATAGAGTATAACGCTACYRATAATAGTAACGACGAGTCGCTACCTTCGTTTAGTAAGATATTTATACGTTTCTAGCCTATATAATYRTAAAGATAGCTACTTACTCGATTATAGATTAAGGGAGAGCTAGAAATTAAGGGAGAGCTAGGAACCGAGGAAGTAGAGTAATAACATCCTACCCTAGGAGGTTTAAGCTATAAGCGGACGATCTCGAAGGTTTCGYAATTATCTAAGAACACGAGTAAACTACCCGCAAATTRTACGCGTAATCGGTCGAAGCGTCGTTAATCTAAAAGGTTGCGATAAGAATAAAGATAGTAGGTACTTCGTAAGTTTAGAGAGGAGTTGTTTTTAGTAGTTTCGTTCGTTCCTTTAATAGATATCTATATAGTACTACTTTAATAGTCGTAAACGNAGGTACTTCGTAAGTTTAGAGAGGAGTTGTTTTTAGTAGTTTCGTTCGTTCCTTTAATAGATATCTATATAGTACTACTTTAATAGTCGTAAACGCATTATACGGGCGTATATCCACTTCTCGATCTGTCTACTATATAAAGGGAGTGCCTAATATATAGTTATAGATATAGGCTTTAGACAACTTTACTTCTACGATTAATCTATCGATTAGGACTACATCTACATACTAGATAAAGAGGCTATATCGGAAGCGCCCGTACAATAACTAAAAATCACCGCTAACCTCTCGGAACGGTTATGTTCCGAGGTGGCGTAAGTAGTGTACCTTAGTTCTACTAAAAAAAGATTGTTGCAGAGTTGTCGCTAAAAGCGCACCGTAGTCAACGCGAACTTCGCGTCGCTGAGACAAATCACCTGATGATCACATCACCATCAACATCGACATCAACATCAACAACATCGACAATCCAGTCCGGCCATGCCACTTTCACCAGCAACACAACGATGACCATAACACTGGCCTTCCGCGATAATGGCTAGCAAAGCTGATGTCCTTCGCGTTCGTCTGAACTGCCTGGACAATTACCAAAGCCAGCCCACGCCACTCGATGCACCCCTCTGGGGACCGCGAGCATTCTCCGCAACACAACGAGGCAATCTTCCACAAGTGCCCGTTGTGAGGGTGTTTGGCGCGACGGAGACGGGTCAGAAAGTATGCGCTCATATACACGGTGCCTTTCCCTATCTCTACGTTCCATACTCCGAATCCATTGAAAAGAGCCATCTGGATTCCTACATTTCCACATTCCGCCACTCCATCGACCATGCACTAGCAATATCATACCGCCGCAATCCATACGAAAATGCACGGAATGCTGCGTTTGTTGCCCATATCAGCTTGGTCAAGGGTGTTCCTTTCTTTGGGTACAATGTTGGCCACAAGTACTATCTCAAAGTCTACCTCCTCAACCCCATGAATATGACGAGATTTTCGGATTTGCTCCAGCAGGGTGCCATCTTGAAGCAAGTATTCCAGCCATACGAAGCCCACCTTCAATATCTGCTGCAGTGGATGTGTGATTTCAACCTGTATGGGTGCGCATACATCGAGACACGCAAACCATACTTTCGAGAGCCCGTGCCAGCTTGGGAAGACTTGGAGCATCCTGATCACATCTGGCACGACCGATCGATATCGAAGGAGCAAATCCTCGACGGCGAGAAGTATCCTCGCCAAAGCCACTGCCAGTTGGAGCTCGATATTCGTGTGGAAGACTTGATGAATCGAGACGCAATCGAGGCGCGCGAGCTACATCATTCCTTCATCGAGCGCTTGGATTCACTGGAGAATCTTGCCCCGGAAGAAAAGCTGGTGCATTCCATGGCAGGACTGTGGAAGGACGAGACACGGCGACGGAGGAAGCGTATGGGTCTCAGTACCTCTACATCCTCACCATTTCCACCAGAAGTTCTCGTGAGCATGTCAGCCGATCCACRAAACGATAACAAGGGAGGTTGGATACACGAGGAAGAGTTTCGTCGCACCATTGCAGAGCTTGCCGAACAAGAAAGACGTGCTCGCAATGGTGGAGAGCTATCATTTGAAACGTTTGGTACACAGAGCGTGCAAAACGATGGTGTTCAGACTCTACTGGAGAGTGTAGAAGAGCTTTTCCCAAGCGTACTGGAACGGAAGTGGAAGCAAGTACTGTCATCTTCCAAGGAAGATGCAGAAGTTGCGAATCGTGATTTGATCGACCCGTTCAACGCAAGTGGAGGAGACAAGGATGCTTCGACTCTCGTGGATATCGCTAGCATCTCGCAGGTTCAAGACGACGACGATTATGGCAGTGATGAAGATTTTGCCGAGGAGATGCTCACGCAGCGACGCAAGCTACGCGAAGCAGGTGCAGATGGTGGCTTGGGCCAAGCCAAGGTTCAGGGCGWTGCTGCCAGTATTGGAGCTCGGGCTGAGCAGGTTCATGAAGCAAATGTTCCCACAGCAGCCGTCAAACATGCCATGAAAGGCGGTTTCAAGCGTAGCCATGTCCCAAATCACTCTTTACAACCTTCCAAGCGGGCTCGAATGAGCGAAAAGCATGAGAGTGCGTTCGATCCMTCTCCAGCTGCGCAAGCACAGCAGACAGCTGAGAGCTACAATCGAGAGCCGCCATCAGGACAACCACCACCATCGCAACGCTCTTCACAGGCGTCACAGGGCGTTAAGACTGCCTTCCCACTCGTGAAGAATCCGCATGATGACAGTGTGCCTCTCCGATTAAGTCAAAGAGACGATCTTTCACACGTGAGCCATAAAAGCTCACAGCAACGATCCAAGGAGGCTTCTTTGCAGTCATCTGGACATCCGAGCAGCTTTCGCTCGTCATCCACGATCAAGTCACCAACAAAGTATCAGCATGAAATTGATTCGCAACTGAGTGATCAGTACGTAGCAACGATTGGCGTACGTGCGAGCACCAAAGTATTATTGTTCGCTTTTCTACCGCCTGCGCACGAAGAAGTGGAGAATACCATCAGCCCGTCGGTAATCTACCAAGATGCGTACTACAGTAACGAAAAGGATGTCCCGGAGAGGGCTAGAGAGTACGCTGGGCAAGAGTTTCGATTGGAGAGCACCACTTTGCCATTTCTCCAAGCATTCGACAAAACGGGCACTGTCCGACAGAGCAAACCTCAAGGACCCGACAAGATGTCGACGGATCTAGCAGAACAACGGCGCAAGCGACAGTGCTCTCTCAATGTGTGGGAGATTGTGAGGGCGCCGCCAACATGCCGCGAAGTGCAACAATGGCTAGCAGGACATGAGCCCTCCTCAATGACTGATCTAGACACACTAGAAATGGAGGGCCCACCAGCAGCTACGCAGCTCAAACGAAAGAATCGGGTTCCACCAGAATTGTCACAAATAGACGGGCCAACACAAAAGAACAAGCACGGCTTCAAGTTTTCGCAAAAGAAGGCCAGTACCAGCGTACAGCATGAGACGGGCTACATGAGCACGATGAGCCTGGAAGTTCACATCAACAGCAGAGGCGATCTGGCCCCTGATCCAGAAAAGGACGAGGTCAACCTGGTCATATGGTGCATTGCCGACGAGCAAATGGAATCAGGCAGTAAGCTTGGCGCCTTGGTATTGGTGAAAGATGAGGATGATCAGGTTGCGGAGAAGATTCGTCATATCGTCGGTAGCGAAGCTCAGATTGACTCGGAAGACAACGAGCTGGATCTCATCAACAGGATGGTGGATATCGTACGAGAGTACGATCCGGATATATTGACAGGCTACGAGGTTCACAACAACAGCTGGGGTTATCTCATCGAGCGTGCAAGGCTTCAATACGAGTTCAATCTGCCAGATGAATTCTCGAGGATGAAGTCGCAGTCTCACGGCCGTTTTGGCAAGGACGCAGATCGATGGGGATTCACGCATACCTCAACAGTCCGGATCACCGGCCGACATACGATCAACATTTGGCGGGCTATGAGATCTGAGCTTAACTTGTTGCAATACACGATGGAGAATGTGGTGTTCCACTTACTTCATCGTCGTGTTCCTCACTATTCGTACGCAGCACTGACCCGCTTGTACCAGAGCAAACGCCCGCGCGACTTCGCCAGAGTCATTGACTATCTGATCACTCGTACAAAGCTGGACCTCGAAATCTTGGACGCCAACGATCTGATCCCAAGAACTTCTGAACAAGCCCGTTTGCTAGGAGTCGACTTCTTTTCGGTCTTTAGTCGTGGCTCGCAGTTCAAAGTGGAGTCCCTCATGTTTCGCATTGCGAAGCCCGAATCATTCGCACTGGTATCACCCAGCAGGAAGCAGGTCGGCGGTCAAAACGCATTGGAATGCTTACCCCTGGTTATGGAGCCTCAATCAGCGTTCTACAACAGCCCTCTCTTGGTACTCGATTTTCAGAGTCTGTATCCAAGTGTGATGATTGCGTACAACTATTGCTATTCGACATGTCTGGGTCGCATCACCAACTGGCGCGGGACGAACAAGATGGGGTTCACCGACTTTCAGCGAGCTCCAGGTCTGCTTGAGCTCGTCAAAGACAAGGTGAATGTCTCCCCAAACGGCATGATGTACGTCAAACCAGAAATGAGGAAAAGCTTACTAGCAAAGATGTTGGGCGAGATTCTCGAGACGCGGGTGATGGTCAAGAGTGGTATGAAGGTTGATAAAGATGACAAGACTCTACAGCACCTGCAGAACAACAGACAACTTGCACTCAAGCTGATTGCCAACGTCACGTATGGCTATACCTCTGCGTCATTCTCTGGTCGCATGCCATGCTCGGAAATTGCAGACAGCATTGTACAGACGGGACGAGAGACGCTGGAGAAGGCCATCGCATTCATTCATTCCATCGAGCGATGGGGTGCTGAAGTCGTGTATGGAGATACTGACAGTCTCTTCGTGTACTTGAAAGGGCGCACCAGGGACGATGCATTCAAGATTGGAGATGAGATTGCCAAAGCCGTGACCGACATGAGTCCGAGACCCATCAAGTTGAAGTTTGAAAAGGTATATCACCCGTGCGTTCTGCTTGCAAAGAAGCGCTATGTTGGATTCAAATACGAGAGCCCAACACAGACTGAGCCGGAATTCGATGCAAAGGGCATTGAAACAGTCCGACGAGATGGTACACCCGCCGAGCAGAAGATTGAGGAGAAGGCTCTCAAGCTGCTATTCCGCACAGCAGACCTCAGCCAAGTGAAGCGTTACTTTCAGACTCAGTGCACAAAGATCATGGCTGGTCGATTCAGCGTGCAAGATTTCTGTTTTGCCAAAGAAGTCAAGCTAGGAACATACGCCGACAAGGGACCGCCACCGCCCGGAGCTCTGATCGCTACGAAACGCATGCTCCGCGACCCGCGTACGGAACCACAGTACGGCGAGCGCATCCCGTATGTTGTCATTGCTGGTGGACCAGGTGCTAGACTATGGGAGCGATGTGTAGAGCCGGAACGGTTGATCAACGATGAGCACGCCGAGCTGGATGCTGAGTACTACATCAACAAGAACCTCATCCCTCCACTGGAGCGAATTTTCAACTTGGTCGGCGCCAATGTACGACAGTGGTACGATGAGATGCCCAAAGTTCAACGCATCCGTATGCTTGCTGGACCAAAGAATGGCGAGGCTGCGGGCAAAAACAAAAAGACCATGGAGAGCTACATGGGCAGTTCGTTATGTCTGGTTTGCAGAACAAAGCTTGCTCCTGGATCTGAAGAATTGCCACTGTGCCACAAGTGTAGATATGAGAAGACGCCGGAATCATTGATGGCTTTGAGATATAAGCTGCAGAAAGCGGAAGAGAAGGCCAGGGATATAGGGAATGTCTGCAGGAGCTGTGCGGGGTTGACAACAGCCGATCCTATCGAATGCGATAGTCGGGATTGTCCTGTTTTCTACAGCCGCATCAAGACGAATACGCAGCTGAGAGTTGCGACGAGCGGGATTGGTGGTGTTTTGGCGAAGTTGGAGGCGGAGGAGGGCGATAGAAAGGTCTTGGAATGGTGAGCGTTGAATTTGACGGTCAATACACAGCATCGAATTCTAATCTGTTCTGTGTCACTCCAAGCATCTAATAACATTTGAGCAAGGTCGTAGGTATTGATTGACCGTCATTGTTGCGTCTTGCCATCCATGTTGGAGCACGGCACTTGATTGGACGCCCCCAGCTCCGAAATCCTTCGTGGGAAGTCGTTTAACCTAGGTTGGTCAACTTCCTATCAGGCATCATTGATCTCAAACCAGGAAATAATGTCTTTCTGACCACAACACGTAACCTGAATTTCATTCCACTGACGGTATGAATATTCTCCATTTCTTGACGTCATGTGTTCATTGCGGCGGCCCGATGCTCGCACAGTCCAGATACTCCTCCGCCTGGAGAGCTAGATCCTGCATTCGACGGGTTCGTTGAGATGCTCCTTGCGGAACTACATATTGCGGGAATGGGTCTCGCTATTGTAGATGGAGATAATGTGACTACAAAGGTAACATTACACCAGTAGAAATCTTCATGAGAATTATTACTGATTGGTGAATAGGGTTATGGTTTTGCGAAGCCGCCTAATGTTGCGGCTACCGCAGATACGCTTTGGTTTACTGGAAGTACCACCAAGGCTTTTGTAGGAGCTGCTGCTGCTGGAATTCTGGTGCAAGATAAGGAGAAGTATGTTGCATGACCGAACAAGGTCTTTTGCACTGCAAGTCTGTCTAGCCTTGCTGACATACTGACATGCAAAACTTGATCGAATAGATATCCAGACGTGAAGTGGTCCACTCCACTCTCGAAACTACTCCCAGGCGACTTCCTTCTAAGCAAAGACTATGAAACCTCTCACACAACACTCGAAGACGCAGTTTCCCATCGCTCCGGTCTCCCAGCTCACGATCTCGCATACGGATGGAACAACGCATCCAGTCTCGACATCATCCGAAAAATGAGACATCTCCCTCTCTCTCAGCAGAACCTCGCACAAAGTGGCAATATTGCAATTCAATGTGGACGAGCGTTGGAGTAGCCATTGAACGCATCACAAATCACAGTCTAGAGAACGTCTTGAAGGAGAATTTCTGGCGGCCGTTGGGAATGTTATCTACCATGTTCTCATTAGAGACAGCCCGGGGCCTCAAGGATTTGAATGGAATTGGTCGATTGGCTAGGGGGTATCACTGGCAAGGCGAGTTCTACGTTCCGGAATCTCATATGGATCTCATACCCATAGCAGGAGCCGGAGCTACGATTTCATCCGTTAATGATTATGCCCTCTGGATCAAAGCTTTACTACACTCTGGGCAGAACTTCTCATCTCCAATCACCAAATTTATTGTATAAAGATATGATGACGCCGAGAAGTATCATTAACACCCCAGAGGGCGATGGTTTTGATACTCCACGATACTCTCTAGGCTGGATACAATCCACGATAGATGGAAAACCACTCATCACACATAGCGGAGGCGTCGTTGGCTTTGGTACACAAGTATACCTACTACCTGAGGAGAAATTCGGATTCGTAACCATGTCGAATGCTGATGATGCTGGTCATGTCATTGGGAATTTACTCTTCATGCAGCTCGTAGCACAACGCTTTCCATCGCTCGAGAGAGTGCGGGTAGAGCAGGCACTTGGGAAATTACCCAGAGATACATTGTCATTTATTTCAGCCGCTCGACCACTCAAACCTCTTACCCAATCGACATTGACACCCGCATTACCACTCCCAGGTACCCTCGACGACTACGTAGGTCTCTACTCTCATCCTGGATATGGAATTTTGCAACATCAGTCGTCAAAGTCCACGAGAGGCATCAAGATTTCCCTCCCGCACACAGGATCAAACGAAACAGCAGCAACCTCTCCTACCCCTCCTCAACGACAACACTCCTTCAGGCGACTTATACATCCAACCCTCATCAAGAACCTGGCCAGAAATCTACTCTTTACGTCACAAAAATCTCACATCCTTTAACGCGGAAGTTTATGGTAAACATGGAATGGAGGACGGATCCGTTGACTGTCAGAATGAGAATGAGAAGGTTCTTTTACCACACAGCAGCAGAGTTCTGACGTGTAGAAATGAAACTTCGTATGGGTTYGAAGGGGCTAGCGAGTCTAGATTTGAGTGGGATGATGGGGTAGGGAGAGTTCGATGGCTTGGAGTACAGCCTGATGTGGGACTTGTGCAAGGTGCGGGGGAGATTGGAGGGGAGGGTATGGTTTGGTTTGAGAGGGTTTGAGGATGTATATATATATATATACGATGAGAGACATTTATCGCTCGACAGACGAAGTATTGTAATCTAGAGGAAGATTGGAATTATTAATGATACAGAATCGAAACCATACAGCTTTCTCTCTTTCTTTCTTTCTTTCTTTCTTTCTCCTGCTTTGCTTCAACAGTCCTGATAATGAGATGGAAAATCCCTTCTTCCTTCTCCTTCACAACTTCCCAAGAATAAACTCCGTGCCCAAATCCTGCGTAGCGGAATCCAAAGGATATCTCAAATGCGCCGCATTAATACCAAATCCATGCGTGGTATCACAAACTCCATCACCCTATTACACACAACAAAAGTCAGTCAGTCAGCACACTCACACCTCCACATCATCAAAAACCCCCTTCAAAACCGAAAAAAGAGATAGGATGCAACTCACAAAAATACAAACATCAAGCGTCTTATCAACCCAATTGGCAGGAATCCCATCGTTAAACCTAGCGGAGAGGCCATTGACGTTCTTTGTAGTGGCACCTCCATTGTTGTCGACGTTGCACTCGAGACCAGCTTTATGGATTGGATTTCCAATTAAAAAGACCCCTTTCACGGCATCGAACGCTGAACCAGTGAGGTTGGGGAGGGCGTTTGTTGTTGCTGCTGCGCCTTGGGAGTAACCTTGTAAGATGAAACATTCGTTTGGGTTTGAGGTGAGGGTTGTGCGGATTTTGTTGATGATCTTTATATATACCAAAGAAAATGTCAGTGTGTCGTTTTTGAGCATGGGTTTTTGATATCTGTGATACGCACGTCTGCGGTTCCAGCGGTAGAGATCTGGTTGCTTGCGGCCGGGTAGACGGTATTATAAATTTTTCCACCGGATTTTTGAGACTGGATGTTGTTGTTCATGGTTCGGAATCCGGCTGAGGGACCTTGGGCTTCGCCTGTTCCGCGAGTGTTGATGATGGCTGGAAGAGCATGCATGGTTAGGAGTGTAGATTTCTCGAGAGGTATTCTTGGGTGGCTCTTACTGTAGCTTGAACAGGAGGCGGCCTCTTGTCGCTCCTCAACTGGCGCGGCAACAATGGATAGAGCTAGCGTGAGGAAGGTGGTGAGGGATTTGATCGCCATATTGAATGATGATGTTGATTGAATAATAAATCTTAGAACCGCCTTTGGAATGGAAAGTCTTGACAGTGCGAAATGTCGAGAGATGTAGATAGATCCAACATAACATGGGCCATGAACCGCTCTATATATACATCCCCAACTACACTCCACTCTCTTCAGCCTGAAGTTGTCGAATTCATGCTCATGTGACCGACCATAGTTGAAAAGTGTCCTCGGGCCAACTACCTATATCCCTGTTTAGCGTCTGTCGGCTTGCCCCATATACAATTACCCGATTGGGAAGGTCCGTGGATGTTCAATTCGTCTGTTTGGGGTTCTTCCTTGTACATKGCCTTCAGCCTTATCCAATAGCGCCCCATGGGCCATCATGTGGATGTACTTTCGCAAGCGGTGTGTTTACATTTTTTGGTACAATCGGCACGCCAAGAGCGCAGGACGGTACACGGTGCTTCTTCTGCCCTGAGATGCGATGCCGCTTCCGAGCGACTATATCCTCATTTGGTGGCGGGGGCATTCTTTAGGAAGATGTCCTTGCGGAGCGACAGGATGTAACTCCGTGGGGAGATAGAAGGGGAGCTCTAGTGTTGCGGCTGACAAGAGAATAAAAGTACTGTGGCTTGAAGGTTGAAGTGGGCGGAAAGATTTGATGGAATAATTATACGGTCTAGTTTGAAAGCTGGCAGAACATCGGTGCGATGTTCGAGAGCTCGCTTAGAAGCCGCGTGTACCGCAAAGTACGAACAGGATTCGGTACAGTAGATGAAAGAAAGATGAGAGAATGGGGTGAGATCTTCCATTCTCTGTGCATTCTCCATGCAAAAAGCTTAGATTACAAGAACTCCAGCAGCTTTGAGTGCCTGGCACTTGGGTCCAAGGGTAGCATCCAGGTTGTTGCCAGAGACATCGAGCACATCCAGATGAAGCTCACAGAGCGCCTCTGGGACGGTACCTGTAAGCTGATTCCCGAGCAAGAGAAGTTCCTTCAGGCCGACGACATTGGCAATGCTAGCTGGGATAGGACCAGTGAATTGGTTGTTGGCCAGCGAGATGTAAGTGGAGTTGATAGCACCAAATTCAGGCAGGGCTCCCGAGAACTTGTTATTGTTTAGGAAAATGACCTCCACAGAGTATCCCTGGTAAGAGCTTGGCTGGAAGACTTGAGTTGGAACCTCGCCCGAGAAAGCGTTGTAACGAAGATCAAGGAAGGCGAGAGGACGGTCAAGGACCGTGGTGGGAAAAGTACCGCTGAGCTGGTTGTTGCTCAAATCGATCTCGTAGAGGTACTCCAATTTGGAGAGATCTGATTGAATGAAGTACGCTGATCAGCAGACGGACGTTGAATCAAGGAACAGATGGTGACGTACCTGGAATGGTTCCCACAAATCCATTAGAATTGGCATGGAACAGAGCGAGATCGGTGAGCTTGTCGAGCACTCCGTCTAGAACGAGGTTTTGTCCAAGTTGAGCTCCATTGATATCGATCGAAGCTACCGCTTCGTATCCAGCAGGGGATTCCGCACAGTAGACGCCGCTGAATTTGCAGACATCGGTACCGGTCCAGGAAGCAGTGGTACCGTTGGGGTCCAAGGTGACCTTTTGTCCAAACTTTGTAAGAGTCCTCAAGTCACGGACGAGGTGGTTCTCCGTTGCTCGACGGGCAGGCGCTGCCTGTATAGTTCCAGCGAGAGCAAGAAGGAAAACAGAGCGAATGAAWGAGCTCATGGTGAAGGTAAGGAATGAATGTAAGAAAGAGTGTGTTGGAAGGTATTGGGTCAGATGATGAAGAAGAAGAAGAAGTGTGTGTAATTCGAAAGAGACGGGGGGGGAAGGACATACATACTTGACATGCCCTTTGTAAAGCTGGGTATACAAAGTAATCACGAAACAGGCAGGCACAACCCTGCGCGCTGTCTACGCCTTATGAACGTACTTTAGTGTGGGGACTAGCCCAGTTCAGGCATGGGGATTGCTGTTTTTAGTCTGAACGGTATAGACCCACGTCGTCCGATGCGCCGGAACCGACCATCAGTCACAAGGGTTGCTGTAAGATGATGGATGACAAGGTATGGAGAGACACGCTATAGGCTCGTCCTTCGCTTGCCGCATTGCAAGTGCCGAAGTAAGCATTCAGCGAAGCCGTAGCAAAATTGTGAAAGAGGTGAAGACAGTGAAGGGTATTTCTGCCACCTGCAGACCTTGATGTCGAAGGGGCGCGGTAGGTGAGACAAGGGAGTCGGGACGGCCGGGACAAACGATGAGGTGCATGACATTGTCTACGAAGGAGTGGAAGATCAGTCCCATCTATCATCCACACTGTTGATACCAGAAGCCGGTAAGTTCATCATCCCCACGTGGATCGCATGACACGGCGCGATTTTCATCAGGAGATCCAAACAGGCTATTGCGAAGTCCAGCCGCGATCATTCCGAGATTTGCATTTCCCCTTTTATCGTTCGTTTGTATCCGGTAGAGCCGAAAATGTGTTAAGTCAGGAAATTGTATCCAATAACACCGAGGAAAAAATATCCCACCTTCATCAATGTCATGGAGAAGAAGAGGACGGGAGCAAGACAACAGGAGAAGCCAGCCCTGATACTATCACGTGACTCAGCCCTAATGGACTCACGTGATACAGTCTCGCGCCTAAAGGCAAAGCATTGATTGAATCTGACATCACTTCCATGTCTCGAGCATCAGTCTCGACAACAAGTACAACCTCCATATCAAGCCCAGTTCCATATTTCTGTTCCCCTCGTTCTGTGTCATGTCACACGTTGATCCCGCTCTTGTCTCCCTCCTCTCCCTCAATGCAGAAACCAGCAGCATCTCATCAGCAGGAGGTGGCGGCTGTTCCTCAGCGAGTACATCAAAACTCACCACAAAGAACGAAGATGGCACCACAAGACACTACTTTCTCAAAACAGGCAAGGGCTCTTCAGCAGCAACAATGTTTGCCGGCGAACATCTTTCCCTCTCTACAATCCATTCCGTCGTCCCAACCCTCTGCCCTCWATCCTACGGTCACGGAGAATTCGAAGACTCCTCAAATGCAGGAACCTTCTTTCTCATAACAGATTTCCTCGACCTATCCTCTCGTTCTAGCAAAACATCAGGCCAATCTCTCGCCCAAAAACTCGCAAAACTTCATACAACACCCGCTCCCATTCCTCAAGATCACGACACCCCTCAATTTGGCTTCCCACTACCTACATGTTGTGGAGATACACAACAAGACAACACCTTCACCTCTTCTTGGGCGGATTTTTACGCCAACCATCGATTGAGATTCATCCTCTCCGAATCCATTCGCAACAACGGCAAAGATTCCAATCTCTCCTCTTTAGTTGACGAGACCTGCGATACCGTCATCCCCAATCTCATAGGAGACTCTCACCTCAACACGGGGAGAGGAGTGATCCCCGTAATCGTCCATGGAGATCTCTGGTCAGGAAACACCTCTACAGGGAAGCTGCCTGGAATGGAGCATCCGGAAGCTGTAGTTTACGATTCTTCCGCATGTTACGCACATTCAGAATTCGAACTCGGAATCATGAAAATGTTCGGCGGTTTTGGGCCGAAATTCCTGGATGAGTATCACTCGTTGGTACCCAAAACGGAACCAGTGGGGGAATACGAAGATCGTGTAAAACTCTACGAACTTTATCATCATCTCAATCACTATGCCATGTTTGGGGGGAGCTATAAATCGGGAGCCATGGCTATTATGAAAGACTTGATTAAGAAGTATGGTGGGAAGAGCGAATTGTGATCTTCCAAGCTGAGGATGAGATTATTGACAATGTCAGAACCCTCAACGGCTCGCTGTGATACCTCACAGGCGAGACTTCAAGCAGAAAACGTTCTAGCAACACCAGCAGTACGGCACTGTCGAAAGCGCGGCCTCTAAATGTTGAGAAGGTGATTGAGAAAGTCCTCTAACGATGACCAATACTAATATCAACAGCTCTGCCAATCTTCACCCAGCAAACGCTTGCCCCTCACTGTCGTAATTGCAGCAGTACCTCCAGCTGCCACCGTCGCTGTCAAAAGATCCTCTTCATCCCCCCCTTGATTTCCTCCCCGTTGATAATCATCACCAACTTCTCCTCATCCACCTCATCAAAACTCRTCGACGACAAAATCTCCCACATCTTGCCCACATTCTGACTAATATGACATCCCAACTTGGCAGCGAAAGCTCTCCTCAAACAGGAAGTCAAGGTAGGTGGTTTGGGGAACCCATCAGGGGAAGGTAATTGTCGCTCAACCATCCCAGCGATTTCCTTCTCTAGAGCACTACTCAAAAAGCAAAAAAAAAAAAGTCAGCATCATTCCTCATTACAAGATCGTAACCAGGATCAAACATACCGAACCGCCCAACCCCCCTCATCCAACCCCTCCCCCTCCCTAATCTTCATCTCCACCTTGCCAGCCTTCAACATAGCCCCAAAAAACTCCGGTCCAAACTCCAACAACATCTCCTCAAACGCCAACTCCACATCACTCCTCTGCATAACATCCCCAGCGCAAAACGTCCCTTTAATAGGTTCCGGCCCCCAGATCCTCAAAATCTTAATCGAAGAGATTAATTTAAAAAGTAAACAAGCCAAACTCGTAGCGGAAAGTCCATTCAATAAAGCAACTTTATAACAATAACTCCCCGAATCTTGGATTCTGTGTAGGAGTAACAGACCAGCTTTATGGATTGTCTCCCAGCGCCCTTCTTTGAGCCAGTGGAGTTCGGGACCGTGGGAGGTGATTTGTAGCCATTGATTATGTAGAGTGGAGAGATTTGCCAGACGGGTGTGCAGGGTTGAGAGGTCTTTGAAGGTTTTTGTTCGCAGGCCTGGGAATAAGCGGAGGGATGTGCGGGATTGTTGGCGGAGGATGGCTTGCACGAGGGTCTTTTCGTAGGTCTTTACTAGGGCGTTTAGGTGGGCGCTGGTTAGGCAGATGCAGGCTAGGGCGTGCGGGGTGGTGTAGATGTGGGGGATTATTTCGAGGAGGAGTTCGTTTGGGAGGGAGGTTAGGGAGGTTGGTGGTGGGGGAAGTTGGGTTGGTGGGTGTTCGAGGGCGAGCATTTTTCTGTTTGTGTTGGATGGAGTTGATGCGAAGGCGGGAGTCGATTTGCAGGGCAGTTTTTAAATCGGTATATAACTAGGTGATTTGCTTCGAACAAAGCCGAAGTTGTCATTCGTCATTGCTGGACCTTGATGAAAGCACCGCGTGGAAACACCTTGATGGAGCAAAATGTCCCTCCTTTCCCCCACCTTGTTGGCGGCAGTCGCGATCGAGTGTTACGTGATGTTAGATCTTGCATGGTCATGCTTTCGATGCAAGTTCTGGAAGAAATGCAAAATGAAGTGATCTGCTATCCATGTCATGTCGTTCACAAGGTGTTGCAAACTCAAAGCAACGTGAGAAGATCACTTTCACCAAGAATATAAGACTTTAGATCTCAGTAACGCAACAACTTCGGCTTCATGGATATCTAACGACGACAGATTTGGGTCTTTTTCTTTGCATCACGATAGATCCACATCGTGGGGCGGATGATGTTCTTGCTGTCATTGAACAACAAGATCCCATTCCACTAAACTGTAACCCAATAGTGCAGCTCGTGAGTGTCCCTGTATGTTCGGTCTCTAAGAATGTGCACGAGATTGAGAGGTAGAGTAGACGAATGATGTCGTCAATGTATAAATTGACAAATATTCAGGCGTGGATCATCGTCGAAAAACTTTTACAGCTACAAAGCATATCCACTGCATATGAAAGCAAAAGAACCATCACGCGAGGAGAAAAAGGTCCTAGTCTGGATGAACACCCAGAGTAAGATATGGAGTTTCAATCTAGTATTGTTCGCACTCTCTACACAGTGCGAAGATTCGAGTCTATGGGGATTCGAGTCTATGGGAAGACATTCCGGGCGTAGTTGTTTTAAGTCAAGAGGCTGAGATGTCCGATACTTGTGTAATCCAAGCTGGAGAGACTTACAACGATAGATTTGAATGGGTTACTACATCGCGTGAAGCGATCAGATTCGGGGATCATTAACTGCCTTCTACGCCAATCTATAAAAGGTTGGACTTTCGGAAGCAAGATCGAAGTCTTGGAGTTTTGTTGATGATAACTTCTCTCTTTACTTATTTCTTTTACTCTAGAGTCGATACGACGTTTCCGAGAACTATCTGGCGAGATGTTGTTTAAGGTTTCGAGATGTAGCAAACACACATTCAGGGGCTCGCACCACGTGTATACAAGAATTCCGAAGCAGCATACTTAAGTAGTGTCGGAGTGACACTTGTAGACTGCGTAGCCGATTCGATTTTCAGTATTCCCAGCGTTATAGGAGGCTCTCACTTTCTGGTCTGCCTTCATCAAGACGTTTTTTCCTGTGTATGACGTAGTATGAAGTTTTGACTTGGACCTACCTATATATCGAAGTGGTGATATAAGCTGTCGTTGTACCTCGGCGACCTTTGACTCTTCCAGATCCTGATCAGAGGGCATGTTGATCTCTTTGTTTCAGTCCCCTCTGGCCATCGTAAAAGTACCATCTCCACCTAGTGAAAGGTTCTAGAGCGTTGAAACTTCCCCTCAGAAGAACAATTTTTTTGCATCGATCAGTCGAGACATTGGAATATTCAATCGATCAAAGCCGGACACACTCACATTGACAACTTGGGATGCGCCTCTGGAGCCTTGTAGAGCCGTCGGTGATAAATGCTGGCAATGAAATCATATCGAGCCATGAGAATCATGACAGCATCAAATCTGACTGTTACCATTCGTGAGAGAAACGGCCCAGAAGGAGAGACGATCGTCACTTGCTTCAATGCTGAACATGTCTTTCGAGTCTTGTTGTTGATATTTGTGCATGTGGAAGTTGCAAACATACTACAGCCTCGGACGGCCGCCGAATGCTTCCCTCGTGCCAAAGGTCAAACTTCCAAATCAACTCTCATTAAACGCAGGAGACATTGCGACGAATAGCGAAAAGAAGCGGCAACCACAGATTCATCAAAGGGCTGATCCAATGTAGTTGGATGCTGTAAGCACCATGTGAGCACTGCATCCAAGACCGAACCCCGCCTGCCATGGCGAGGGGTAATGCATCACTCATAACCGCAGCCGTCCAGCATACAATCGAAGTGGTGAATCTTGATCATATCTCTTTTTGTTGCCATCAATTTTTTAAGAATAGGCAATACTCACACTAAATGGCAGATTTCGAAGTTCCAAAGACTTGCAAGGCTGGTGTCGTCGTCAACGCCGGTCCCGACTTTCACTTGGTACGTGATCAAGTCGTGTTGCGCCAGTACGAACTCGAGGCAATAAGTGTAGCAATCTAACGGCGCGTTGACAGGAAGTGCAAGATGTTGAAGTGCCGGAGCCAGGTGCGTCGATGTTTAATCAATATTCAATCATATGTCGAGTCGCCAATGACTATCAGGTCCCGGCGAGATCCTCCTGAAATTGAACGTTACTGGTCTTTGCGGCAGTGACGTACACTACATGCTGAATGACCTGGGAGTCTCCATGGACACCTTTGGGGTCAGATCTCCTGGACACGAAGGTGCCGGGGTTTGCGTGAAAGTCGGCCCTGGAGTAACAGACTGGAAAGTCGGCGATCGTGGCGGTGTGAAGCCCATGTGGGATGTATGCCACAACTGTGAGCAGTGCTGGAATGCCGAGGAGCAGTATTGTCCGAAAGTTGTCCATACTGGCCTGATGAAAACGGGAACATACCAACAATACATCACTTCTCCTGCGATATATACATCTAGGATACCGGATGGTATTCCTGACGAGATCGCAGGACCAGCTATGTGCTCTGCCTCGACAATGCATCGTGCCATCAAGGATTCAGGATTGAAGCCAAGTCAGTGGGCTGTTTTTCCGGGAGGCTCTGGGGGCGTTGGAATCCAAGGTGTGCAGCTTTCAAAGGCAATGGGAATGCGTCCGATTGTCATTGACAGCGGTAAGTTAGAAAGCAAGAACTATATGTGCTTGTACTGATTGGCTTCAAAAAGGTGCGCCCAAGAAAGATCTTGCCCTCAAATTTGGTGCCGAAGTGTTCATTGACTTCAAGGAAGAACATGATATCGCAGCACGCATTAAGGAGGTGACAGATGGCATTGGTGCCCATGCAGTCTTTGTCACGGCCTGGCAGTCGTATAAGGACTCGATCAATTACCTCGGTGATCGCGTTGGCGGCAAGGTTGTAGCCATTGGGATCCCACCTCTTGACCAAAATGTCGTTCTGGGTGCCCCGCCTCTCCAATTCATCATGAAGAAGCAAGGCGTTGTTGGAACTGTAGTGGGAACAGTAAGTGGATTCTCATGCCACTTTGCACGCTTTGCTGACATTACCTCCTCTCCGTCAGATGCAAGACGCGGCTTCTGTCCTGGAGTACGCTAGGCGAGGTTTACTCCGATCTGTTTCGGAGGTGCGTGGTCTGAGCGCGTTCCCTGAAAGCGTACAGCAATTGCGGCGCGGGGAGGTGGCTGGAAGAATTGTTATAGATTTCAACCGCGAGTAGAAGTAGCGCAGTCTAAAGAGAGGAGTAGAACTCTGCACACAAGGTCTGGAGAGCTTGATCATGTGTGGCGCCGGGAATGATACGGCATGATACCATACCAGAAAGTCTCTTTCTTGATGTAATTCATGTCGGATCTCCGCCAGAGATCAGATCTTGTTTGGGACAGGATACTACTTCGACCATTAGGTACTGACAAGCAGTGAGGGGGGTCAGCGGGACCGGATGGCGGGAATTGTGCGTCGGCGTGATAGGATGGCCGAGGACCGGAGGATTAACATCGGCGACGCCGGAACTCGTGCAAGGGAGGCACGCTCTTCGCCTTCAACGCTCGTGGCTAGAGCTCAAGACGAAATTTTTACATGAGATCACCAACCCGTGCAAGATATCCGTACCGACCGATCCAACTTGGCTGGTCCAAGCAAAGTCTGACTTCCGAACCACAAGCTGTTGATCTCATAGGCGAGGCCGGAAGCGTGGTACCGCTTGGAAGGTGGAGTGTGGAGAAGACAGCCATGGTTTGTCGTAATAGCCAGCGATGCGAGCGATGACTATAATCACCGCGTCAGGGAAGTTCTCCTGCTTTTGGAACCAATTGAAGCGTTTTCACGCTTTCATTCATTCGATCGGCAAGATGGTTCAGTCTCGGAGGGATGCTGGGGTGCCGAAAGCCACAGACGGCGTGGTGAGGGTGTCACCAACAGAACTGGCACCGCCACGGTAGCCCGCAATCTACTTCGCATGATCCTTCAGATAGCCGTCCCACTTTGTTATAATAGCCGCTGTACTACGACCGGGAAGTCGAGCTGCTGCTCTGCCGGCGTAGCCATGGACGCGATTGCTGCGCTCTTCGAGTAGAATCGCAACTTCCGCTGCGCTCCATTCACAATTCCTTCCCTTTTTCTCCGGTCTCCAATGCGAAACCGACCCGAATTTCCCTCGAATCTTGGCGAACATCGCTGTAGGAGACGACATCGTTCTGTTCATCCGTCGAGAAATTTCTCTGTAAGGTGTATTCTTCATGCGAAGGTCGATCAACTCTCTGACATCATCGTCACTCCAAAATTTTGTACCTGGACCGACCCCGGTTTCGAGGTGATGTTTACGTCGTCTCCAGGCCGATTGGAGCTGAGATGATGTACGGCCAGGGAACTCATGCTCAATTTCGCGCCTAATCCGGTTTTAGAAGGACACCTAGCCGGCGGCAAAGTCGACGTATCGGGAATTGCCATTTTTGTGAGCATCTGTCATTCTGTCAAGGTCGCTGTCCGACCACTTCCGATAGACTCTGTCAATTTTCGACCCATCGCTCGCGCGCTTCAATACTCTGATGGCCTTCCGGATGGCTGGGACGCTACGACCCAGTCCATTGGCTATTTGCCATGTCGGCACATTTTCTTCCAGGCTTTTGGCCAGAATCTCCTTTTCCTGTGGAGTCCACTGCGTAGCGGTTCTGACGGATTGTTGTGGTAAAGAGCTAGACGGACCAGACAGAGTCCAGCCCGCAGTACGCATTGTCGCATATGGATTCCATCGTCTGGTGAGGAGCCACATTGTGCCTAAGGCCAGAGCACCAGTGGAGACGCAATGTGGCTGGCGTCGCCACGGGGTAAGCTAGGCTTCTTACCTGGGGAAGGTGCGATGGATTGAGTACAGGTGAGTGAGGTGATAATAAAGTCGAAGTTGGCGTCAATCTTCAATCGATCGCTCGACGGGCCCGGACGAACCAATCAGAGCGCGAGAAGTCCGCATCGGAGGTGCGCCGGCTCCATCAACATTTGATTGAAACGGGCATTCACTTAATGACCGCCCTGACATCCATCAATCATGGATAAATCACGCCTTCTCTGGCGGGCGCTGTCTCCCTTTCCCTCCCGGCCGACACCACGTTCGCTCAGCAGCTTGCCGTTGCCACTCCGCTCCCCGCGACCGACTCCGCCATGGACGTGCAAGCAATGTCTCGGCCAATCCCGATCCCGCCCCGCCATCCACCCATCCACCCCCCTTCTCCGCCAACAGCGGCGCCAGGCCTCCAACAATCCCGCCGATGACCCGGGCTTCACTTCGATCGTGGACAACCCTCCGCAACTCATCCGAGCCAACCAGAAACACAACAAATTTGGCCTGCTCTTCCTCGCCCTCATCCCCGCCACAGCATTTGTGCTCGGCTGCTGGCAGGTTCAACGATTGGGCTGGAAGTCGGACCTGATAGCCCGCTTTGAGGATCGATTGATCCGAGACCCCCTGCCGCTGCCACCGCAGGTTGACCCCAATGCCATCAAAGACTTTGACTATCGACGCGTCTACGCACGTGGACGGTGGCGGCATGACCAGGAGATGCTGATTGGGCCTCGAGTTCATGACGGAGAGGATGGTTTTTTGGTGGTGACGCCACTAGAGAGGACAGGCGACTTCCCGGATGAGAAAGGAAACACTACAATCCTGGTGTGCAGAGGGTGGATCAGCAAGGACAAAGCTGCGCCGAGCAAACGGCCCGAAGGATTGCCAGAGGGTGAAGTGATTGTGCAGGGATTGCTGAGAGAGCCGTGGAAGAAGAACATGTTCACGCCGGACAACCAGCCCCAGGACAAGAAATGGTACTTTCCTGATGTTCATCAGATGGCCGAGCATTCCGGAGCGCAGGCGGTTTGGGTGGAGGAGACGATGCGGCCGGACTTGTTGACCAGCTATGCGAGGCTGGAGAAGGGCATTCCGATCGGGAGACCACCCGAGGTTAATCTGAGGAATAACCACACGCAGTATGTTGCTGTGCCTTGATGGAGGTAGAGACGGTTCGCTAACCATTTTTGCAGATACATATTTACGTGGTTCTCACTCTCGCTAGCAACGACCATCATGATGTGGATGGTGATCAAGAAGCCTTCCAGTGCAAGGCGAATCAAGCAGAACAAAGAGTGGTAGTTCACTTTCGAATACGACTCCGATGCCCAGACAACGCGTCTMCAAGAAGTTTTGGTGATACAGATGCCAATTTCACTACTCTGTGACCTTGTATGTTCGATGGTATCCACGGAACCCCTCGTTGCAGATATCCTATCACAGGACTACTACTGGAATCGACATGGCTTGGAAAGTCCGCGGGTCTGCCTGGAAACAGCTTCATTCAGGCAAGAGAGAGTCTCAACATCGCCCTCTCGATGCCTGATTGTTCGGCATCGGTCGTAGCACAGTCATTCTGGCTACATGTTCACTTCGCACGCATACGCCAACGTCTGGAATCCGCCGCAGATCTCGATGCTGGTGCTCTACCGAGCTGAAAGAGGCGTTGAAGCGAGACTTCTAACCCTTCCAGAGCGCAGCGCACTTTGCACATCCTACTGCAGTTCTACAAAGTCAAAGACGACCATGTCAAGCAGATCAAGACACTTTGCGGAAATCCGAGAGCGATACTACGCTTCCACCCTAGAGCATGGTGGGAATGCGGCAGAAGATGCCAATCATACCCAGCTACCTTAAATGCCTTGCGACGAGAATCGCTACAATCTAATATGAGGCGACGCTGCGTTTGCCAATCGGCACGCACAATCGAGAATGAGGTGGGAGTAAGTGGGATGTGACTGCATCGTCATTGCATGCATTGTTTCGATGCTCATTACAAGCCAGTCTCCTATTCTTCCCACGTCAACTTCTACTTAAAGTAATCACCTTCTTTCCGGCATTGTACTTGCCAAACTTGTGCAGGCATTGAGACGTCCTTGTTCGAGGATGTGGGATTCTTGACATTTCTAGATAGTTCCCTATTTGGCTTGTTTGGTCCATTCACTAGTTTTGAGTCTGCCAAGCGAACACCTACGGGAACTTGGAAAGTTAGCTTATACGGCCTTCACAGTCGCGATAGATGGCTGAGTATCACATCACACTTCAAAATTATTGCATTGACGACTCATTGAACAACAAAGCAACACTGCACTGTCATACACCTCGACAACGTCTTTTGTTCTCTTTTGTTTATTATGCATTGTCATTGCACAATGCTATTCACTCTTTCTCTTTGTCCTGTGCGCTGAAAATCGAGCATTCACCTTGCTTCCACGAACATTTAAGCATCAAGACCTGGTGGAGAACTTTTCAGCTCATCTGCATTCTGCGTCTTGCCCGAACACTACACACTAAACAAGAACTTACAAGAACTTCAAGCAAGCACGAATCTCTCATACACAGCATCTCTGACAACTTCATACGCAAGCACGCAAGGAACACCTTCTACCTACCTTCGCAACCATGCAACCAGGCCCTCTAACCGAACTCCTGAAGTTGTACGAGCAAGAATTTGTAACCATCTCTAACTGGGAGTGGGATTACATCAACTGTGGGATTACTTTCTACATTCTTACCATCATCGACGACCGATCCCAAGGACACAACGTCGAAGTCTTCAGGGAGTCATTCTGGGCCGATTCGGAAAATTTCTTCATCCCCCGTCTCCGCCGTCTACGTCAATTGCGCGAGCAGGCCAAAGCTTTCCTCCGAGCCACCAACGTGTCCGAGGCGGAGCGCTGCCTGAAAGAAATGATCGATGTCAGGGGCGAGCTGGATGCCAAGATCGAAAAGGACGCGATGCCACGCCGCCTCGCGGGTCTAGCTGCACACCTTCGCGATCGCGAAGGATGGACCAAAAACACCTTGTTGCAGCAGTCGACCGAGGAGGATAAGCGGACTATACGCAATCACCCACGCTTTCGAGAGTGGGCGTTGCAGTTGCCGGAGATTGAAAGTGGTCTGAAACTCGGGATCTTGGAGAATGAAGAGCAGGCTTTGAGGAGCTTGCTTGAGGTTGAGGATCGTTGGGAGGGAAAATAATGGCTGTTTGCAACTGTGTCACTCCCACTTTGGCGATAATTTTTCTTTCCGCGTATTTCGATTGAACGGTAGATACATACTATAAACACTGAGGAGGATCCTCTAATACAACTTGAAAACTGCTTATTTTCCTCTCTCTATTAAAATCTTTCCCTATTATATACCTAGAGCTATTAATATAAGGATTTTCCCGCGAGGTAAAGCCTTTATAGATAGTATAGAGGGCGCTATAGTACTAATATTAGTATAAGGGCCCTTAGCTAGCCCAACTAATGAAAAAAGCGACGGGTGGTCGACGTAGGAATCAATCCATTCTATGAGGCTACTAGTGCGGACTATGAAAAGGCTGCTTCGTAGTGAGAGTTTCGAGTACATATCTAACGTCTGGGATGAGCAGTGAATCAGAGAGAGGCTTCATTCTCGACAACGTGCTCGTAATTGCAAAGAGAGAGATCGGCGCTTTTGTTCCTGCAGTTCGGCATTCAATTTGTGTCTTCCGCAGGTTTCTGAGTGATCAAGGACTGCGAAAGCTTGCGAAGCCTTTTGAGATGGAGTACAAACGGCGATGATCACATGCTGTCATACTCATTAAGATGATCCGTTTGCGATATGCGCAATTTCTGCAACTCATCCTTCAATTGCATGAAACCTCCGGAGGTTGGGATGTTTTCCGGAAGCACCAGTATATTGGAGCAGTCGAGGAGCTGGCGAAGGTTACGACTCCCTGTGTTGCTGGAGATCCATAGTTTCAAGACCGCGTCGGGTGACCCTTCTACGAGACCTGTCATGAAACCAAGCAGGTGGACCGTATCTTCTGCAAAGATCTTTCTGCTTTCGAACGCGAAGAGGTCATCGATGATGAGGAAGAGTATGATCTTGGGTCCTAGATTCTCCACCAGATGTTGGAACACATACCAAAGAGACTCGATGTCATCTGCATCAACCGCTTCAACCTCTCGCAAGGTTGWCAAAGTGTATTCTCTGTGTGTAAGCAGAAGCTGCGCAATGAAACTTCGCATCAACCCGCACGGTCCAGCGTTCAATTCCCGATAACGTGTGTGTTTACCACAGAAGAAGGAAAGACAATACATGTCGCTGATGTCCGTTTTGATGTCCCCGCACGCGGATTGTATTGCATCGGTCAATTTGGCGCAACAGTATGATGTTGGACTCTCCTCGGGATCGCAATTGGCATTGACGAATAGCGTGGAGGAGTCCGCGGTGTCCAGCCATTGTAACAGCTTCCAGTCCGTCATGAGAGCCACAGCGCGATCTTGCACATGTGTTTCGAGGTCAAATGCATCGTTGAGCAGTCCCTGGATATCACTCTCCACCCTAGCGCGGTCGAAGTTGAGAACTTCGATGGCTTGGTCTAACTTGTTTGCGTGGTACTCTGTGGCTGCGTGGGACTGTCGGCCCAATCTCAGCCTTGCTGCCTCATCCTCGAACTCATTGATCCTACCCGTCCGCATATCGATGCGCTGATGCGACTCGAGTAGACTTGGCAGAACCAATCTGATTCTGGTTTCATTAAGCTCCTTCTGAAGTTGAAGCTCCCGCTGATGTCGCAATTCTTGCTCGAAAAGCAACTTCTTGAATTCGGACACTCCATCCTCGACCTTGCTCTTAATGTCAGACATCCCTTTCGCTTGCTCTGCACGAATAATGTCCATCTGATCGACGACCTGTCCTCCAACGATACTGATGTGTTGCTCGGATCGCATCTGCAGGATACGATTGTCCTTCTGGTGCTGGATAGTGGCCCCGTGTATCATCAACACGCTATCTCGGGTTTCTTGGGCCGCCTCTCTGGTCTGGATGATTTGCGACCAGCTTGTACTGCTCAGCTGTCTCTTTGAATTTGGCGACACTGCTGTGCAGCGTCTCTACAGCTAAGCYCAGATTCGCACCGTACCTATCTTGTTTGAGGAGGCAGGCGACTTTTCTCTCTATTCGTTGTTACTCGCGAGCACTGCAAAGGCGTAGGGTTGGTACTCACTCCGGAACGGCTTCTGTTTGGTCAATTCGTATACGATGCGGTGCAAGAGGGCGATGATGCCGGCCATGATCGCGGCATTGTGCTCGTGCAATTTGCTGCCGGGTTGCAATTTGTGAAACTCGAACATGCCCAATACATTACTTGTTGAATCCAGTATCTCTGGAATCCCGGCTATAGCATCGCAGATTTCCTCTCTGATTTGCTTCAGCCGTGCAGCAGCGCCAAAGATCAGCTTCAGTGCAGCACAGAGAATGGAGCAGTATTCGTTCTGACTGGGAAGTACTTCTGCCCACGTTGAAATTGTTTTGATATTGTCCGTAAACATGCGGTTCAGCTTGCGTACGATGGAATCCGAGAAGCCTTTTACTTCGTAGTGTGAATCTGCAACGGCCTTCGCGGCGTTTAAGGCTTCCTCTGGAGTATGGGCCGCTTTGCTGATGATGCTGTTTCGAAGGTGTTCTGGTGCCTCGGAGAGGTCATATTCTTCCACGGCCTTTCGAAAGTTCTCGGCCTCCTTCTCGACATCGCGATAAACGTGGTTCAGCCCATGCTGCACAGATTTCGATGCGAAGGCTGATGTCTGTTGGAGAGTCGTATTATATTAGTGCTCTGCTCACCAACCAAGGTTCGTTCCATTGCTTTAGATGGCGACTGCGAGCCATGAGGATGTTGTCTGCGTGATTACCGTCCTTCACGATGCAAACCTAAGGTAAGGTACCTTACTGACCTGGAGCGATGAGTCTTTCAGGGCTTCATTGATCGCTGGATGAGATGCCAATTCGTGCCGTTTCACGGAAATCGCGCGCTGCACGACGCGCCGGAATTCCGAAGTCGAGCCGACTGACTGCATCTCTTCCAGCTTCCCGTCCTTTCGCTGCGGCAGTCACTCCTCTGCGGTCGGGTCTATCAGCTGGTTGAATGAGGAGAAATCTCGGTCAGAAAGCAAGCAGCAGTGCGAGAGAGAGCTCCTCGATGCCGCCCCTCTGCCGGACCGACCATAAGGTACAAGACAGTCACCGTGCCGCCGACCCTGAACGCCTCGAACAAGTCGAACTATTTGCAGCCATCACCTCCGCAGCTGAGCACTCCAAAAACAGGATATCCCAGCTCAACTTCTCATGCCTTCCCCGCTCCCGTCCGCCTCGAAGACGCGAGAGGCCCAATGGAATCAAAGTCGAGACTGTGGCGCTGCCGTGTCTGCAGCAGGGCTGAGCTAGAATAAATACTGCACGATAACGCTAGCTGCCGTTGTTGACATTCAGCCGTGCCGCCTGTGTAACCTCTCGATGCCCACACTGCCTCTATCGACGTCTCTTTGACATGGGTCATGTTAGTCTGAGAGCGAACCATGCCGTGAGTATCAGATTTTGCAGCGGGAAAATTTCACCATGACCAGAGGGCCATCAGGATGTTCAATAGGCTTGCTCGATGCGGCGAAGCGATGATACAAATATGGTATGCAAGCGACATCAGCCTCTCGACGATAGCGAACCATGCGCTGGACGTGCACATGTCTAGAAGCCACCACAGCGGAGCAGTCCTCTTACAAGGAACGACCTCGGTTCAGCCGTCCTGTGATGAACGAGATGTACAGTTTACACAGCCTGGTCTTATCTGCTCGTGTACTCCGAGGCTACATGTCCATGTGATGGGCATAACCTGCGTTGCATAACAATGCTCTTTTGGTGGTACGTGGCTGGTCGTCTCGATGCGAGTGGAGATGGTCACCCTACGCCCTACGTTACTGACGGCCAACATATGTTGGCTGAGGGCAGACGCGAGGCCTTGCACATCTCATGCTTTGGTGGCGTCGTGCCGCTGGTCTGGCCGGGAGCTTCTTCGCTATTAATATTGTGCCACAGCGTTTGTATGCATAGTCAATACTCCATGGGACTCCCCCCGCTATAAAACCCCCCAGAAATGCTCCTGTCCCACCCTGGGATTATTCCCAGTGAGTTCTTTTGTTCTACACAAGATCCGTCTTTCTACAATCTTACACAATACGCATCTGGCATATCTCACTGAAATGGCTTCTCGGGAGGCATCAACTTCCACGCACACCGTAGGAAATGGCGCAAACCACGTGTTGACGTCAAGCGAAGTCAGCACTTCCAAGAGCGGCGCTGCTACCCCAATCACAGGAAGTTTGGAACGTCCAGTACTTCACAAGGCCCCCGAGTCTCAGCTCTCTGGCGTCAAACCTTCAGTATCCATCAACGGGACGACCGATAAGCACGGAGCTACACAAAGTCCCACTGCAAAGCACGTCTCTGCCCAGGTTCCGAACACCAATCCCGACGAGTACGTTGGTCGGCTTGAACGTCGTCTCCAGATCGTTGAAGAAGAGTTGCAAACACTGCGAAATTACAAAAGGTGCGTCCCTCGGCCCTTCTTCAGCGACAGGTACTGACGTGGACTTAGTACCTCCGATACTTCTGCAGGTGAAGTGGAGAAGGCTTCGGATTCGCTTACGGAAAAGAAACCTGAAGTCAAGGACGACAAGCCAGACTCTGCAACGGCGAAAGACTTCGATGACTTGTTTGGTAGGGTCCTCGCGGAGGAGACCGAAACCAAGGGCGATAAGAAAATGATCATGGATCGCGAACAAGAGCTCAAGATCGAGCAGATGAACTACCTCCAGTTCCGTAAGGTCAAATCAGAGATGGGCGTCTGTAAGGGCTCCGTACTCGTATCTGTAACCGCAACCAAGGGGAGTATCGGTTGCGGAGAGCTGGTGCCTGAATCTGAAGACCAGAGTACAGGTATTTGGCCATCAACCCTTGTGCCTATTGTCCAACTTCTGATGCAGTTGCAGAAGTGCCTTACCGTCTTGCCATCAACTCCCATTGTTTGCTGGAGCTGCTCGGGAACATCACCGAGACGACAATGAGCTCGAAGAACGTTCATTGCCGACCGTTTAAGTTTTTGGTATCAAACGAAAAGCTCATCAAAGATAAATTGGCTTCCCTCAACGCAGAATGTGAAGCGTTAAAGGAGGAAAAGGCCGCGGTTGCCGACTCAACTACGCAAACTGGAGAAGACTCAAGTGCAGCCACCGAGGCGACCGCCATCGAAAATACCACTACCGAGGTGACCAGTATCAAGACGACTAGCAACGAAGGCACCAGCGCAGAGACTACTAGCACTGATGTCGTCTCGGTTAAAAAGACGGAAAGTGATGCGGCAACCCCACCGGCAACCGTCGAGGAGAACGAGAATGTCAAGAAACTACGCACTCGAGATCATCTTAAGCTGCTGGTTGCTTTTATTGACGAGCACATATCGGACATTTCGCAGCTACGCGTGGACCTCGATGATGCAAAATTGGACGAGCTGTCCTTTGAAGATCTTTGGCACCTGTTCCGCCCAGGTCAGCTCGTGCTGCAGGACAACAATCAGCTGAAAAATGCTCGGAAAGCTTTTCGAGTGCTTCATGTCACAGGTGGCCGACCTATGATCGATATGGATGGCAAGAAAGATGCGTGGAACGACCTTGATCACGACGGCGTTCTGTCTCAGAGCGAGCTCAAGAGAACCAAGCTTGCTCGACGCGCGTATGGAGTTGCCAAGATGACTCCTCTCATCATTGACGTCGCATACGTGGACTTCGATGGTCGTTATCTAGGACCCAGATCTACTCGCATACCGATCCTAGCGTATGATGGCAAACGATCGATACGGTCGCTGGAAATATATCCTGCGCATTACGCCGTCGATCGCAGTGTCGCCGAATCTGAGCTGCTCGCAAGGGGGAAACTATTTGCAAAATACGCACACGTTCACCACCGCGACTATGAGGGGAGATCTCTCAGAGACGAGCGTCTTAACACTTGGCTTGAAGATGACAAACGTGGCGATGACGAGGTTTGCTACGGAAGACCTTTACGAGCATTGAATGTGAACTGACTATTGCAGGTATCGGGACAATGTATAATTGACCAGGCACATATCCTGGACTCCCACTTGTCCTTCAAAGCGGACTATATTGCCAAGCCGACTGATCAAGATGGTCGTGAGATCACTTGGTTCGCAGAGTGCGGAGTCAAGGACTGCCGTGCCTGCTCGGATATGTACGTCGATGATGGAATCGATCGCAAGTATCGAGACGTATTCATGGAGTCCGACGCTGGCAAACATCTTCTGGACGTCAGGGATCACGCGACCTTCGTCGAAAACACCGATGGCAAGAACGACGATCTATACATGTTACTCCCTCTTCGGCTCTACGGATACGCATTGACTGAACGAAAGTGGCATGCATTGAATGTCAACAACTTTTGCGAGAGGCAAGCGGACAATTCCTTCGATGACCTCGTCTTACCCGAGGAGAACAAGACACTCCTTCGGGCATTGGTGAAGAACCATATGGGCCTCAATACTGGCGAGAATTTACCGGACAATCTCCCGCGCAGAAGGGCTAGCATGGCACCGCCATCTCTGGACATAATCCGAGGCAAAGGACGTGGTCTTATCATCCTGCTCCACGGAGTTCCTGGAGTCGGCAAAACATCGACCGCAGAGAGTATTGCAGCACAGCTGGATCGACCGCTATTTCCGATTACCTGTGGTGACCTGGGAACGACTGCCATAGAGGTGGAAGATGCTTTGGAAGACTATTTCCGCCTGGCTACAAAGTGGAAGTGCGTCTTGTTACTTGATGAAGCTGACGTGTTCCTCGCACAACGTAGAGGTGGCGACTTCAAAAGGAATGGATTGGTTTCGGTATTCCTGCGGGTTCTCGAGTACTACGCAGGAATTCTCATTCTGACCACCAATCGTGTTGGGGAGTTTGACGAAGCTTTCCGCTCGCGCATTCACATCAGTCTCTACTATCCACCATTGGACCGCACTTCCACCGAAAAGATTTGGAAGCTCAACCTGGATCGCATCGAAACAAGCCCAGAGTTCGATCTCGACATCAGAAGGAAAGACATCATGGATTTTTGCAAGAAGCACTGGGAAACCAACCAGGATTTTCCAGGTCGTCTGTAAGTTGCAACAAGTTTCCAGTTCATTAATAAATCTGACAATTTCGATAGCTGGAATGGCAGACAGATCAAAAACGGGTTTCACACCGCGATTGCGCTTGCGAACTGGGACTTTTGGGACAACAAAGGCCACGAAAAGCGTGAAAAGCCGCTTTTGACTGCGAAGCAGTTCGAGTATGTTGCCAAAACCAGCTCTGCCTTCGATGATTACCTCGACGAAGTGCACCACTCGTCAAACCTCGGAGCGCACAGTGAGTGGGTTGCGACGCACAAACTTCGCAAAGATGATTACGAGCCATCACCTTCGGGCGGGAAGCGGATGTCGCTACCACATCGTAACAGTGGCAGCAATCCGTCTCGACGTACCACTGCTAGAGGCCAGCCTCCATCAACGCCACGCAATGGCTCCTCCCGCGTACTAACGACCATGTCTCTTGAGCCGCAGGAGATGATGGAGACTGATGCTGAGATCAAACGATTGAAGACAAAGCTCAAGAATCTCGACAAGGCGAAGATCTCGCAAGAGAAGCGCGATGATATGAAGTTTGATATACTTGATCGGTTGGAGTCGCTCGGTGTCGTCGAGGGCGATGGGGGGGAGGAAACTAACGCAGACATCCACGAGGATGGTGAAAAGGCTCCTTGGGGCTGAGTTGGGAGCGCAAGTGTTCACTCTCAGGTTAGGAGATTGCGCCTATCGTTCCCATTCCCATTTGTCGTGTTGAAATCAATTAGGCTGCTGTGTGATGTCTATGTTAAGATATGATGCGACTATGTCGATATATCGGTGATGAGCTACTCATCGGGTGGTAGACCGTGAAATGTACCTGGCCGATCTTCCACATAAATACCACAATCCCGATCGGATTTTCTATAAATGGCCTATCGAAATGGAGACTGAAAGGCAATCAAGTCCGATCTATTGTCACAGCCCGCAGATGMCCTCGGTGAGCTTGAGCTTCAAAGTCCTCAACGATGGATACCGAGTTAGCGAGCCTCATCTCGGCAAGCTTGGCTGGTATAAGAAGATCCTGCTGCATGTCCTCGACCTCTCGCATCTGTGCGCTCCAAGGCTGTAGCTTCTGGGGATACGTGATAAGAAGGATATCCTCCGGGTTATTACAAGCAGTTTCAAGCACGGGAAAGGCCCTGTCAGAGCTCAACAATCTCTTCGCATGCCCCTTGAATGCGACTCCAAAGGAAGGTAGGTCTACTAGTGAATTTCCAACAWTCCCTCAGGCACCGAAAAAGGCGGCACGTTGGTGAGCAACGTGCCGATTCGGAGCATTTCGTACCGTGTCTCGTTCATTCGGCTTTGAATTGGCGACGTCGTGTACTTCTCCTTGTTCTGCTGGGTCAGAAACAATCGCTGGTGGTGTCGATGGCGATGTATCTTCAACAGCTAATTGTGATAGAGTGGGCGGGATAGGAGCTTGAACGGCGCTCTGTGGACCGATTAGAGCTGGATTCCAGATTGATCCAGAAGCAGAAACTACAACAAGGTGTGCTGAATGCCCAGCTCCACTCCTGCACATACCAGGACAGGACCGCCTCGCTAAAATCCTCCACAAACGACTCTATGCAAAGGAACAGAGGTAACAGCATTCCCATCTCTCCTCAACCCATCAAACCACGCTCACAAGTTCTTGGCAACTGCAAGCATCGACTCGATTTCATCATCAAGTTAACTTTGGTGTGATGAAGCGCTCAAATTATCGAATGTACAATGCAAGCCTTTGCATCAAAAAGAAAAAAAAGATTCTCGCCGGTCGTGGACGTGCATTCTGAACTTTCTCGCCTCAAAACTTCTACATTTTCCGTCGAGAATTGCAGCGTCAGTTGAACGCCGTCAATTGTGACTTTGCGGCCAGCAAACATGTGTGATTCTAGTTCTCTAGTCCGTTGATCGGAGTCAGGGGGTTCTTTTGGTCGTTGTTGGAATCTGCTCACAATGCCTATTGGAGAAGGCTCACCTCGACAATGGATTATCTTCTCCCATCATAGCTTTTCGTCAACTGCATACCTATTACAGTCCATTGTTATTACTCTCCGACTATGCAGGCAAAAAGGGGCTCGCTCTGCTGCAAAAGGTTCGTATCCGAGATGAAGCCGAAGAAGAAAATTTCTCCTCCCCATGCTCTCGAACAAAAACAAAAACATTCAACATTTGGGATTCCCCGGTAGTCACCTACCCGAGTACTAGTCAAACGGTCGCATGGTTAAATAGGCCAGAGCGGACGGGATGGCTTGCTTTTCATGCACCTATGATCGAATGTGACTGTTGAGTGTCTTGTTCCAATATATGCTTCCATGGCTGTTCCATGAGGACTATACGTCGCTCGTCAATCAATGCGGTGTTTGGTGTTTCCGCTCCAGATGCGAAGGTTCGACTTAAGATTGTCTGGGATGTTTGTTCTTGGCCAGCATTATATGCCCAGCGCAACTATGTAGCGCGAAGCCCAAGTGCTTTTCTCTTCTTTCGTAGAGATAAAGTAGAGCCTCATAAAGGAGATCTCTGGCGACTGATTTGCATGACTCCAAGGACGAAGCATCGTGTGAAATTCGCACCAAAGATGCGTTCACGCCACCTGAGCCAAGATCATCCGACAATGCGAGCAGCGGACGTGATGCATCGGCCACGGTGATTTGACATACTCGCATATGAGCTTGACGTCCAATTCTCTGGCTTTCGGTTCAATGGCTTCTCCACCAGCAGTGATCAGATCGGAGGTGTGCGTACACAGCATGTAGAGAGGTTTGACGTGTAGTTGATGAACGAGACATGAGGTGCTATACAACTGGCCAGAGTAAGTTTGATGACAAGATATTTTGTCGCCATCTCTCGTCGAACAGGTCCAAAGCTCACTAGGTAGCGGACGTCCGACTCATGCACAGCGTCRGCTTTTGCCAGACCCATTGACCGGGAGTTGTACCAGCATATTATGTATCTTTCGGAGAGCAATGAAACGAACGCCTTTGTGACGAAGTTCCTGCAGGGTCGATGGATTTGTCGATGGATATGGAGGAGCGGTGATGGGATGGAGGTCAGAAGCCAAAACCGCTCCACCGACCTCGGCTTTCGTTTCCGACTCGCATCCTTGCAGACAAGATCGACAGCACATTGACGTCCTCTCTCGCTTCATCCGCAAACCGTAGACAGGCAATCCCACCGCACGGTCTACAGCACAATATACATCATGTCGAAGCTCAGAATACTGGTGCCCGTGAAGCGGGTCATTGACTATGCTGTATGTTTTCCTCGGCCCATTCACATATACCATCTCTGCACAGCTAACATGCTTCGTTACAGGTCAAACCCCGCGTCAACAAAGCGCAAACAGGCGTGGAAACCAACGTCAAGCACAGCATGAACCCCTTTGACGAATTATCCGTGGAAGAAGCCGTGCGATTCCGCGAACGGAAACTCCCCGTGGAAGAAATCGTCGCCTTCAGCGCCGGCCCCGCCAAATCGCAGGACATTATCCGCACAGCCATGGCCATGGGAGCGGATCGCGGGATTCACGTGGTAGAAGAGAAGACGGAATTGGAACCTCTCGGAATTGCAAAGCTCCTACAAAAAGTCGTAGAAGAGAACAAGAGCAATCTGGTCATTCTAGGCAAGCAGAGTATCGATGATGATTCTGGCCAGACGGGACAAATGCTCGCTGGACTGCTCAAGTGGCCGCAAGCAACGCAAGCGAGTAAGGTGGAGTTTGACGGGGACAATGTGACGGTGACGAGAGAGGTGGATGGTGGAGTGGAGACGTTGAAGACGAAGCTGCCGATGATCATCACGACGGATTTGAGGTTGAATGAGCCGAGGTATGCGAGTTTACCGAACATCATGAAGGCGAAGAAGAAGCCTTTGGAGAAGAAGACGCTGGCGGACTATGGAATTGATGCCACGAGGAGGCTGAAGACGGTCAAGGTCGAGGAGCCGGCACAGAGGCAGGGAGGCGGCAAAGTGGAGGATGTCGATGGCATGATTAGCAAGTTGAAGGAGTTGGGTGCGTTGTAGAAAGGAAGTATTGGTGTCGGCGCATGTGTATTTGTGCGTGTACACGTATGTACGCCCCGTGATGTGAGGTAATGGTGGGAGGGTTAGCCCGGTGAGTACCAGCAAATCTGTCGGGCATCATCTTTCTGATTTACCTGTACTTCATTCGCACTTTCGATTATTCTCTTCTATCCCGCCTCGTCTCTCACCGTCGCGTGCAGGATTTCTCTTCCGCCCGCCGGGCCGTCACGCTTGCTTCACTCGATCCCGTCCATTCACTCTCCCTCATCACCCCGCCGTCTCGTCACATGCGCTTCTTCCGCCGGCTCATGAACCGGCCCCTCTTCCGTACTCGCACACCTCTCTCCACTGAACCTTCTCAACCACATACAATCACACGCCTTTTTCGCAACCGGTCAAGCAAGACCAAGCCTTGCACCGTCGCTGACACGGACAGTTGTTACTCCATCGCCGCTACCATGGCGTCCGGTTCCACCGCCCGCGACATGGTTGACTCTACCGCCGCTACCATTGCGTCCGCTTCCACCACCGGCGACATGGTCGACTCTACCGCCGTCAATGATACGACCGGTCCTTCCACAACTGCCAATGCAATCGCGCRGTTGTCCGCGCACCAGCTCGAGGCTCTGGATGGCCTGGTTGTGGGCGACCTTCTCTTCATCGTTGCAGTCGATGACGATGCCGCGGAGGACGATGCGCGCGAGAGCGACGAAGATGAGGGGCAGGATTCCGAGGASGTGGACGGAGACGATGAGGAGCAGACACACGACGATGCCGACAGCGCTGCTGAGGGCGACGTTGAGGGCGACGATGAGGGTGACGATGATGGCGAAGACGAGGAGGATACCAGCAGCGCCGGCGAGAACAACGAGGATGAAGACGAGAGCGCGGACGATAACACTGACCCCGACACTGCCGCAGCGCTCGCCCACGTTGATACACCACCAAGCTTGTTCATCGTCACTGACATCATTTCCGACGACGGAGGTGTCATCAAGGACGTGAAGTTGAAGAAGCTGACATACTCTCAAGTCGCCGAGGTGGACAAGTGCCACAGCTTTCAAGTGTACGGCAACGAAATCGTTCACCATGACGATCCCAAGGCATGCAACCAGTGCAAAGACACTCTTAGCATCGCCGACACCGTACCAACCCCAGACCACCTGATAATCAACTCTCCACAGGGCGACTACGTCCGCCATGCAGACCATACCATCGCATCGAATGCCCGCCAACAATGTATTCCCGAGTGCAGGAACGGCTGGCTCCCAGATCGTGGGGTTGTGAACTTATTGATCGCTGGCCATGACTCGCCGATCCTCGCCTGGAATGGCGACCTTGAGATGGACCTGCAGCATTCAGTCTGCCCTGTCTGTGTCGGCCTCGACCTCTTCAAGGCTCAAGAAGCTCTCCAATTGGCTCTACTCACCAACGGTCATTCGAACTTCGACGCGATAGTAGATCATGCGGGCGACCTGAACGCGCGCCGTGCCGCCCTTGGCTATCCTTTCTGCCAGTTCGATGAGCGCTTGTGGGGGTTCTACTTTGACGACATGGATGGTGAAGATGGTGGAGGCGATGGTGGAATGGACGGAGGTTGGAACSACCCGTACGAGCAYTTTCCAGAAGCACTGGACCCAAACGCATACATCAGGATGAACCCAGCGAGCGAGGCTACCATCCAGGCACTCCCACGAAAGCTCTTCGTCGAGACGGGCAGCAGCGCTGCTGAGTGCGCCGTTTGCATGGACCCGCTCAAGAAGGAGTCCGTGGTCATCGTGTTGCCGTGCGGACATTCGGAACATCATGCCGAGTGTTTGGAGTTGTGGTTGAGGCAGCAGGAGACTTGCACGGTGTGTCGGAGGGTTGTACCTACTGCGAAAGCGGTTGGAGGGGCTATGGTTGAGCAGGAAGAGGACAACTCTGAGGAGGCGATCGAGCCCACCACTCCCGCGCTCCACGATGATGTCGACATGCATCCTGGCTTTCCCGGCCCAAGCAAAGACGCAGCTGAAGGCAACATTACGGTGCCACAAGTGTTGCCTTCTTTGAGCTGGGCCACAGCGGATGACGATTCGATCATGTCGGATGAGTAGTGTCTCGAGGTCGCGGGCATAGGAATCTCGTGGAGAATTTCCTTTGCGTGGCTGTCAGAGACTCTGGCTCAAGACACATGGACGTGGCTACTACCAAAAGGCGGAGAAGCTTAGGCGGATGAGCGAGTTGGGTGGCGTGGCATGGGTTGATGTGCTGTGTTGCGAGCTCGGTCTGTCTTCCAACAAAAGTTTACCTTGCTTCTCAACAGTGGCCGCGATGTTGGCTGCAGGGGTGGCGTTAGGATACTTGACGATTCAATGAATATGACGTGATCTTATACGTGTTCATTCCGTTCATTTTTGAGACATCGTGACAGCATTGCGAATCCCTTACATTTTCAAAAGGTATAGATGATATACACTTCTTCATGAAGACGCTAGCGCGTCGACATCTGATCAGCACAGCACCTTCACGTCATCCTTCCTCGAACATCACCACCACATTTTCATAACAACATGATACCAAACATCGCAACATCCCCTCCGTACCGATAGCGCGAAGTACCTATCACCACCATGTTCACCATGCGATCCCTCCTCCGCAATCTCCCCCGAGTAGGCGAAACTCCACGCCACTTCTTCACACCTTCACCGATCCAACAAAAAGCGACATTCGCCTCCCAATCATGGACGACAGCACACCGAACAACATTTCGCAAACCACCCAGAAAAATATGGCAACGGCAATATCGCCGTCAAGCCTTCAACTACCAACGCTTCAACACGACCCGCTCCTACTTCCACCGCTGGGCCGCCCGTCCCACCTTCTACTACGAACTCGGCGGTCTGGGAGCTGCAGGCGGTGGCTTCTACGTCTACAATCTCGAACAAGTCCCCGTCTCAGGTCGCAGACGCTTCAACATCATCGGCGCCTCGACCGAGTCTTCGCAAGGGCAACAGATGTATGCGGCTACGATGCAAGAGTTTCGGGGGAGAATCATGTCGCCTTTGAGCCGAGAACACAGACTTGTTAATGGGGTGTTGAAGAGATTGATTCCGCATTCGGGATTGGAAGGGGAGGAATGGGAAGTGCACGTTATTGATGGCGATATGAAAAACGCCTTTGTCATTCCTGGGGGGAAAGTTTTTGTGTTTAGAGGCATTTTGGATATTTGCAAGTATGACGAGAACGCTGTCGCGGCAGTTCTGGGTCATGAGATTGCCCACAACGTCGCGCATCACGCCGCGGAACGAATGTCGCAGTCCGCGATTCTGATGCCGATTGCTATAGGCGCGAGCTTAATGCTAGGCGTGGATCCGGGGATTGGAGGTTATATGAGTAAGATTGCGTTTGAGTTGCCGGGCAGTCGAGCGCAGGAGAGTGAGGCGGATTATATTGGCTTGTTGATGATGGCGGATGCATGTTTCCAACCCGAAGCTGCGGTGGAGTTGTGGGGTCGCATGGAAGTTGACGAGAAGRGCATGGCGCCGCCRCAGTTTTTGAGCACGCATCCTAGTTCGCATGGGAGGATGGAGAGGATTCAGGGGTGGTTGCCGGAGGCTAAGGATCGATTGGAGAGGGGTGGATGTGCTGGCATGGGGAGTTATGCGAATGCTTTTAGGAGGGAGGTTGTTTTGGGGGAGAAGTGGAGGGAGGTTTGATGGGTTGTCGTTTATGATTGACATGATTAGATGAGGGTGGGTGGGACTTCACTCCATTTTACGGCTGGGCTGGATTTGTACCATATTGTATAATAGTGATAGGCGAATTTTGGACGAGGATGCCATACGCCACTTTCCAAGAGATGATTAATCTTCTGCTGGACTACAAGAACCCATTCCCTTGGAAAGATTTGTCCTCTTCTCCCTCCATCTYAAACGCGACTTCGTATCATACACCGCAAGGCTCCTCTACGCCTCCTAATTGGATCGCACAAGGCTCTTTCAACCGCGCTTCCGTCAAAGGGATTGTATACATCTTGGAGATTCTGGGAGGCTCAGAGGGGCTGTCCCGTGGTGAGAGGGACGGAGACGTGCTATATTCTATGCTATGACTAGCTAGAGATGGTATTCTGCTCAAGAATTCAAGAGTTTCGGATGCTTGTGAAGTAGGGGATCGATCCGGGACGTAACAATCGGTGAGGTGGCTTTTGAAGCTTCGGGCAATCGTTGTGCTGAGGGTTCTGGCCGGTAGAGATGGTGCTATGGGGAGCGCTAAGAGGGAAATTATCGAGGATTGAGGGGAGACGACGCATGTTGCAAAGTGCCTGTGGATCGTACTACAACAGCTGTTCCTAGAATGGATGAGACGATGATCACCCACCCTATACGCGCTTGTTGTCGTTTTTGTGTACGCTCAAAAACGGTGTAGATGTATATAGCATTGCAGACGATGCTGATACATGCAGCATTGTTGCATTGATGATCTAGACAAGYCGTCGGCGTACATTATGCTACTACTCCAACCCTAATCCTATCAGGAGTGCACAATAAGACGTAGAATACGCCAATCTTGCTCATTGTTACGAGAATACAAGGCTTCGCTATTTAGGACTTTCACATGCGCGCTCATCAAAGGGGCGGATTGAGACCTGCTGGTGGCATTGCGGACATCAAATATCATTATCATTATCATCATTATCATTATGAGCTCAGTGTAGATCCACCGCGACTCTATTCGTCTCAAACTTCTTGGTGTTTGGAATGAGAAGAGAGCATACCATGGCACATACCCCAAAAGCAATGCTCACGTACCTAGCGCATCGTTAGCTTTGGCTGCATGAATGGAGTTTCTTGAAGAGCCCAGAACTTACCAAACAAGGTGGAGAGCCTCTGCATAAGCCCACTGCCTTCCCAAAGTCGCAGCTGCCAGTACCTCTGGAGTCACGCCCGGGACAGAAGAGATATTTGCCGGCGCAGTGAGCATTGTTCCAACAAATAGCTCGACGCTTGTGGAAGGTAGACCAGCTCCAACAGCGTACGTTCCAATCAAGACCGGGAGGCGGGAGGTCAACTTCTTGTTGAACACACTGTAGTAAATACTGTATCCAATGGCACCGCCGACGGCACGGACAGACAGGGATAACGCAGCACAAGTCGTGATGAGAGCATCCGGACAAGCAACCATGGCGACAGTAGCAGCCGGCACAATCACACCTCCTAGTCCAAAAGCAGCAAAGGAAGCCAAAGTGACGGATTGAGCGGCATTGCCAGGCTCCATGCTGGCCAAAGCGCCTCCAAAAGCCGTGAGCATAGCGGAAGCCATGAAAAGTACCCATCTAGAGTTGCCTGTCCAGGCGCTGAGGAGAAAGTTCCAAAAGATGGCTCCTACTGCCGTGGCAAGTCCAACGGGAAGTCCACGCCATCCAATCGCTATGGGATCTGGAGACCAGACGTTGGAGATGGTCAGAGGCCAGAAGTTGAGAAGGGAGAAGAAGTTCATTCCTGCGACGAAAGCGACTGCGAAAGCGGGCGCGACGACTTTCTGGCCTGTGAAGAGTTCTTTGGGAATCATGGGGTGACGGGCGAATTTTCCTTCCCAGACTATCCATGCAAAAATCAAGGCGATGCCAAAGAGGAGTAGGCAGAGAATGTATGCGCTCGTCCAGGGATGACTGTAGCCACCGGCTTGAAGAGCGACAAGACTGTGGAGAGTTGTTAGGTGATGCTTTTATGAATGTTGGGAACGGTGCCTTACAATAGTGTCAATCCGATGATCGATACAAACCCGCCGACGTAGTCGATACGTTTGACGACTGCCATGGTGCTCAATCCCGCCGCACGTGCGTGACCGAGCGGGAAGTAGCAGAAGAGAAGACCGATCAGAGTCACGCCGTTGTAGACTCTGAATTCATCGTCAGCTTCTTGCTCGCTTCATCAAAGCGGAAAATGTCGTCACTTACAGACAGATCCATGCTCCCCACCTCCATGTTGGGTTCGATCCTCTGGTGGAGAATAGTTGCGAGTACATTACATATGGGCATAATGGAATAACGAATGCTGTGAGAGCTGCAAGTGAGTAGCCACGGTGCTTCACAGGCACAGTCTCAGCGAGTCTGTGGAATTGTTAGCATTCATTGTCGTAGGAGACCATCAATTGAAATCACTCACCCAGCCAACCCCGTCAATTCACCAATACCAGCGCCCGCACCCGCCAACGCCATACCTGTAAGGCCTGCACCGAGATGTTGGGCAGTTCCGAGAACGACACAGCCGAGACAGAGAAGAAGCGCTCCAAAGAGAGCAATGTATCGCTTCCCGAACAGGTCCTGAAGATAGCCTACAAAGGGGCAAACCGATGCAATGGCAAGTGTATTGGCTACTGGGAGCCATCCAATGGCATCATGWGCGTCAAGATCTTCGGCAATAAAGCTGAGAGTACCTCCAGTGAAATAAAGCGGAAGCTGGGAGCCTTTCGGATCGATCAATAAGTATTCAGCGCAGGTGAAGCTTTGGCATTGACTGACCTGTGTACAGCATTGACAGAAAGCCAGCGGCGAGCAACTTCTTGGTTGTCCATCGAACTTTGCCATCGGAGTCATCTCCCATGAAGGCATGATGGTTGTCCAAGGCAATCGCCTCGATAGTGTCAGTCTTCTCAAGAGGGCTGCCTTTCTGTCGAGTAGGTGATTCGTAATCTGACCGCGTCTCGATACGCTCGATCGTTCCCTTCTCTGTTTCTGCCATGATTAAATTACCCCAAAAATGATGTGGGAGAGGAAGGAGATGCAAGGAAAGGAGACGTCAGGAAGAGCAACAACCGCGGATGGCTTTATGGATATGTCTCGGACAGTGACACGAAAGAGGGGAAACTTGGACCTCGACTGTGGCGTGCCAGGGAGCATTTGCAAGCGAATCTAGATCCTGGAGCATTCAAGTCGACTCTTCCGGCATGCAATAACAGGCTCACTGCTGTGGTGTGACTGGCCGAGCATGGGTCTTGCGAGTCCTGATCTGATGGGCTAGATCTGCGTAACGATACACGCTACAAGCCACCTCACGAGGAGCCACGTGGTATGCTCAAGTGAATCAAGTCAGCTTACATGGGAGTGAGGGTTAAAGTCCTTAATCCGGATGCGGGAATAATGCTGGCTCCTGTTGTTATTCTTTCTCATGAAAGTTTTGAACCATAAGGATTGCTCTGCCATGTATCTTGCCTCACTACAGAGCTTCTCGCCGTTTTATAGGATGGTCTTTTGGTGCCACTTGAAGTTCGCTGAACAGTCAATGTCGCGGAAATCCAGGATAGAAGGTAGACAATGCCCAGGGCTATCTCCGTAGACGAAGAGCACTTGACCGAAATGTATCATTGTACATTCACGGAGCATCTGCGGGATCTGGGTGCCGTCCAATTGCTCGATGGTATCTTGCACAGATGCGTTCCCCGTACAAATAGGCGGATTTTGGCGTGCGGAGAAGCTCTGGGGTACATGAACAGGCGCTCGGTTGGCAGTTTGGAGCTGTCTGGACATCGCGGAGTTTGTGGGGCAAGCACCTGCGCGGAAGCAATGCCAAAGCTGTGCGTTATCTTGTATGTAGTACTTCTCGCCTCGAATTGAGTGGCGGTGGATCGGGTTGTTGCAAAAGCTGGTGCTCAACGCAGGAAGAAAGTCTCGGCTAAACTCGGCAACTGACCGCATCGAACAAAGCCAGTCATGTGACGGCGATGTCCTCCTGAAGCAATCGATTGAATATTGACGGGATTCGATTTGAGGGACAAGGATACCATATATTCATCTTAACAAAAAGAGCGTAAATGCTCTCACATTACCTCCTACTTTTCAGCCGGTTTGAACCACTAGGGTACATGCCTCAGGCTCACTTGAAACACGTGATCAAGTGAGCCCTACATAGTGAGGATTCTTCCCTCAAGTAATGACCTCGGGAATCATCTAGTTCCGCACTTTTTGAACATGGTCCATCAGTCTTTCGAATTGCTGCTATGATGCCGTCCGCATGACAAGAGATAACTGGGAGAACCAGGACAGACCTTCTCAGAAAGTGTTGTGTACCCTCAAATTCTTCATAGCCACTGATCAAACACAAAAAGGCGAAATCGAGGCGAGCAAACCCCTAATAACATCTTGTTAACTGTGTTGCCCGTGGACAGTCTGATCGAAAGCCGTCGTCGCAACTCGTACGCAGTAACCGAAGGATCTGGCWTCACTGCGAACCAGAGGCCACCTGGTCTGTATGTGCTATCAGCCCCTTGGGACGACGCAGTCCTTGGCTTGGGTAATCCCTTTGCAGTGCTGGCCCAAGCCTGCAAACATTGATGGCTTGGCCAAGCGATCGGCAGCTCTCATAGAGTCGCAGGTTCAGCGTGAAATGGCAGCTGCTTCTCGAAGGCCGTTGACTCAAGTTGTACACCGTCATGCATGAGAAACGGGTCCCTAGCGATATCGTTCAGAGCTGCAGTGAAAGAGACTGAAGTCCTCTAGCAGACAGCTAATACTGGTTCTGCGAAAGCCTGCCTCTGCGGCTATGTTGCGTTATTGAAAACAATTTGGAGGAGGGGAGATAACTGGTATCTGGCCATGCAGAACCATGCCACCTATGCCTTGAACTAAGTCCTCTGGAACACAAGACAACCAACGCAGACGGTCGACCAGCACGGTGCTTGAAAGTCAATTCTCGGAAGGGGAAAATGGGTGGAACCCAGCCGGGCTGCTTATAGGAGGATTTCGTCGCGTTGGAGCCTTGGGGTTGAGTGACAGCGAGCGTCACGATCGAACTGGGGAAATTGCCAACATCACTCTACCCTAAAGTTGCACGCTGACGATCATTCTACTTGTGCAGGATCAAGCTATCATCTAGAAGCTTATCAAGCTCTTGATTTGTACATTTGATGGAACAAGCTCTTATCTAGTGCTCAAGCTCTTGTCTGGTGTATCTAACGGAGGCGCCACGCATGCAGTACATGTAGCGCAAACGCCACGATACCGACAGCTGCATTAGATCCTGCTTCTGTGCACGAATGTTCGATCTGACAGCGGACATGCAACATCCGCCGAGATAGCGTCACCGCTCTATGCTTGGCGCCATACACATATTATTACTACAAGCAGAAGCAAGGCGTTGCGCCCAGCGAACGTGGCTCCTGATAAACGGCAAGCCAATGCAGAGTCCACGCGAAATTCTACAAGCTTTACGTCCATATTTTCAATGGATCGGTCAATCACTCGCGCACATTGATAGAGAACGTGCTGATCATTGCGTACAACAGCTGATCTGCACTTCCAATTCGCTAGAAACGAAGAGAAGGACGCCAGGTCTCATCAGACGTCTGCAGCCCAACCGAGCACATGAACTTTACCTTGGTATTGGCGAGATTGTCTTGGTCCCTGTTTCCTTGCGACTGTTTTGCCATCTTCTGCACTCGTCCGGCGGTGACCTCCAGGGAGCGGTGCATCTATTGAATGAGGTCAGTAGTGATCGGATAGCGACCACCTGGAGGGCAACTTCGACCGCAACGGACGAATGGCGATGTGCTAACAGCGATACGGAGATTCGAACACTTTAATCAGAAGACACCCTCAACCATGACAGCCATCCCCCCCGACGCTAAGCGGCGCTGCACCGTATTCTCAGTATCCTCTTATGGGAAACGATTCAATCATTGCAATACTAGAGACCTTGCGTGCCCAAAACCTGAACCTCACTGGCTCCCAGACATGACAGGAGTCGCCAGTCCCATCTCTTTCTCCTCGCTTACGGCCACTCGGAGAGAGTCGATGCCTGCATGTCAGCCTGAAGTCTTAGATGCCGAATGCGTTGACTTKACCAAGATTGCGGACGAGGACTGCGAGAAGTCTGACTCGTGCGTCGACAGGCTGGAAGGCAACGGCAGACTAACAACGTCTGATATTATCGATTTGCTTCACTGGCTCAACCCGGATCCACTTCGAATTGCTATCGTGGAGCCTGGTTACGTCGACCAGACGACACGACAAAAACTTGGATCCAGGATCACCAAGCTCATTGTTCCTATGAACATTCGCGGTAAACAGCACTGGGTTCTTGCAATCGTGGATTACCAATCATGCGTCGTTGGCTGCTACGATCCCTACAAAAGTGCACTTGACTTCCCGAAGGAAAAATTACTCAAGTTTCTAGCTTTGTACGATGGACCCAGCGGAGAATGGACATGGGCTATAGAAGTCGTAAGCGAACTGTTTCGTCCTCGCAAGAGGAACCTTGACTGATGAATCTCTAGGATCGTCCACAGTCAGACAATTACAATTGTGGTGTGTATGTCATCGCATATGCCGCGTTGTCCATGGCAGGACTACCTACTTGCCCCTCAGCAATACGACCATCGATCTGGCGTGTGGCCCTCCAGACTTATCGAGAGCCGGAGAAATACCCACTAAGTAACTGTCTTGACACCACTGGGCTGAAGCCGCTCAAGGCTTTGGCTGATCATGTCTTCAGCCGGGTGCAAGCAGCTCGCATCGCGTTGTCAAACGACATCGGAGCATGGAGTGGTCGCTCAAGTTCAAGGGTCGAACTACCGCAAGCTTTCTTGGACAGAGTCTCTGCTTTAGAGCGATGGAGGATGGCAATTGATACCGCGGTAGCAGAGTCGTCTGCCCAAGATCTCATAAAATTGCTCAGGGTGATCGCTTTACACATCGAAAATGCACGCAGGGAACTGATCACGACATCAACAACCCAGCAGCTCGACGAAGCGCTAGCGCAACTTCGTCCTATGCTGATCATGTCGGACGGCGAAGAAGGTTAGGCCAAACATGGAAGATCATGTCCACAATGCATTCACGATTTGTTTCTCGAGGTCGTCTAATGATCTTCGAGCATGGGGATCAATGTTTTGCGCCACTACATGTACGAAGGAGCTCGTTTGTATTGAGTGGGAGCTAACCAGAAATGGACTAGCTCCACCCAGATGTATACTTCTCTATCTTTGGACATACCTCCTTACATAGTTAGGAGAATTTGATTATGATTACACCATCTGATTCGCAAGGTCGAGAAGAGTAAGTTTGTTCCCGGAATCTTTCGCCGAAGACGTTGTACGGCGGTGTATTAGGCGCCGAACATAACTGAGATTTTGGTTAGAACTCAATCAAAACGAGCTCCTTCGTATAAATGTACATGTAAAGCCAAGTGGACACACCCTAAGGTGGGTTCTTCTCCGTGCKGCGCGGCTTGTCTAGCAACGTCATTGGCTTTGATCCCTGTTTTGTGACGGTACTTCCGTCCCGTCCGCACTACCGCCACCGCACGGTCCAGTCAATGCCGCAACAAGTGGACCGTGCCCTTGTATCGCAACCTTAGCGTCTGCAGGAATTCGTAGGGTGTTGGAACTTCGCGCAAAGTCGATTCATCATTGGAATTGGGAAGTCCACTTCAGCAAGCTCATGCAAGATGAGGTCCTCGCAGTTGCTGTTCTGCGACGCTAGTGCAAGCGGCGATAAGTGCACTGCTGCGGCTGAGATCTCGAGAGGCACAGCCAGGGTTGAGGCACAGCCAGAGCTCATATACACGGTGTAATGCAGGTCTTGTAGGCTTGCAGACCGTGAGAACCTCTTGATACGGGTTCCCATACTTCCTGGACATACATGTCTAGTGACAAGCCATGTCTGAGCCACCCGTCGCACGCATGGGCAATATCCTCAGGGGGGTAGAGCTGTCGCTGAGAGAGTGCGATACCACGCGGTCATTCCTACGCCACTGTCAAGCCTTCCGCGATCGAATCTTAGAAGACGAGCAGCTCAGTATTGCTTACGCGACATGGCTCGACTTGACTCTCAAGCGACGCGGTCTCAAGCCGTCGGACCCGGACGATCGCTGGAAGTATCTGCGAGATCTCGCTGCTCGGCCCGTGGGGAGCGGTGAGGTAGCACGGAGGACTCGGGCGTTGGCCACACTAGGCGGTTACATCTCATGGGAGAAGACAGAGCATTACAACTTTCACCTGGCTCCTCGACCAATGTTGGAATTAGCTGTGGCGCTGACAAGGAGTACCTCTTTCGACTGGGCCGCATTTGCGGGCAGAATTAATTGCGCCATGCTGATGACCCACATTAGGGCCATCGAAGATGCGGCGGGCAGACAGATAACCATTGTCGATGGCCGCTCATTTAGAAATGCCGACATCAAAGTCGCACTTAAGACCGCTGCAACTTCCGATCTCCTCAAACTTGTGAGCCAATGGGCTGGGTGTGCTGACGGTCACATGTGGCTTGACGATGGAGAGTGCTTGGCCCGGCGGCCCTATGTCCAGATGTACCTTCTTCAGTACGATGCATTCGGAATCCTTGTGCCAAGGACAAACGTGCAGCAGATCCAACCATGTGATCAATGTCACCATCTTGGTACACCGCCGGATGCAGCTAAGGTGACCAGCAGCGCGCAAAGATGCCCGCCTACAAAGGCTCAATCAGACAATGGCAGAAGACCAACTACAGCGGGCAAAGTACCAAAGCTGACTGTCTTACGCACACCAATTACCAAATGCCAGATGTCTCGTGTCCCCTCAGCTAGCTGGCAAATGAGCAAGTCACAACACAGCTTCGGCGAAGTTGAAAACTCAAGCAACACTTCAGACGACGAGCACACTACAATGGCAACACCGTGTGGAGAAGGCTGTATGCATGACTTTGATACAGATATGCTGGATCCATCCGAATCTAGTCAGGTGGACTGGAGTTCATGCTTCCACGCAAATATGTCCGAAGAGAGCGCCGCTCCCTTGGACTTCCCTCCTCCCCAGTTGGTTGTGTCTCCGAGCAGACTGAACAAACCATTTGTACCTGAGTCGCACAACTTTACACTTCCGCGGCCCCCGACGGAGCCCGTGTTTGATGAAGCATATACATTAGCTCTCGAGCAGTGTATGACGCATAAACTCGGATCGAGCTTGTCAAGATGGACAGACGAGTTACGTTCCGCAACGGTATACCACGATCCTGCAGGACCAGCAAACCCCAATACAGCGCAACATACGGCGGACATATGGTGTATGGACGAGCAAGCCTTTTGCAGATTTGCCCAAGACAAGAGTTTCGATCGGCCAATTTTGATCAAAGAAAACTTCAAGGACGCCGTGGACTTCAGTCTCGATCGCTGTGTCCGAGAGATCTGCGATCGGCTTGCCGGGTCCGAATTAAATGTACAAAGTCCCAGCTCCGAGAGTGAGGAGCGCATATCTTGCGACGCTTTTGTGCGGGCGCTTCTGCAGACGGAGGGAGCCTACAGTGCTCCACGACTCCCTCCATGGGCAGACGCTAACAAGCCTCGCTTAACTAGTCTTCCTCGTTATCGCCTGCTGAAGATGTTGGTAGAGCGACTTGAAGCTCAGCGTGGACCTGATGACTCAGACATGTCATTGCTACGCGAGACGACTGCGGAACACGACACGATCAGTGCGCGAGGTGCATACTCCGGCGCACGCATCGACGCCTTGACAGGAGGTTGGATTAGAAATTTGCTGGGCAAATCCTTGTGGTTGTTCGTCCCACGAAAAGCCATGACATCGGATGACTGGGACTGCTTCTCGAAAGCAGGCCATGGGTGGGATCCCCAAGGGAAGGCTCGTGCAGTGTTTCTCCACACAGGCGAYGTTCTTTTCATCCCACCCGGATTGCACATCGTCTATAGTGTACTGACTCTTGAAAGCAGCTGGATGGAGCGTGGCTTGGTGTGGGATGAGTGGAGCATTGCTCGTTTGTTAGAAAGCCTTCATTGGCTTGGGGACGTTCGGGGTGCGAAAACAGAATCATGCGCCAGCTTCTTGCAGGAAGTGATAGCGGCACTAGAAGAAGTCGTGACGATGGATCCGCAGCGATTTGCCAGAGGCGCAGATATCAACGGATTCCAAAGTCAATTCAAAGTCGTGGTGGAGGAGGTTGCTGCGTTTTTCTCGGCAGACTACAGTTGAAGCTAGCAGCCACAGCGAAGAAGCGGCTATGGCTCCTTTTTACATCGGATTTCCCTCTACTAGTGAGGAGAATTGACCTGCTCATCTGTACAAGTGACCAGATCAGCTGCTCTCCATCAGCTTACAAGCCCTGGGCCGCGGAGAACCTTTGACGTGAAGCAACGTCCCAACAATACGCTATGAAGCGGGAAGTCCCCAAGAGATCTGCACACATGTCTGCATGGTTGCCCGTCACAATGTATAGATCTGCGGTACTCCAGTATTCGCGAAAGCTAACTCGCATCATGTTCTAGAGCCCACTCTTTAGCTATGCCATACCTGTCAGGTACAATAGGATACTTGATACGAACAGGCCCCGCCAGGTGTCGGTCGAGCAGTATGTTATCGACATCTAGTGAGGGTGCCGTCTCCTATCTTACCCACGAACATTAACTTCCTATTCATAATGGAGGAGGCTGCATCGGCCAGGCACCACGWTGCATGTACGAGATGCCGCAGTCGTAAAGTCCGGTGCGATGGTCGGCGGCCATGGTGCAGGAACTGCTCAGGGACCGGWGAAGAGTTGCAATGTTCTTACAAGGTTCCAAAAAGGTTGAAGGCTTTACACCAGCATCAACAACGTACGTGGTTTCCGCTGCATTGATCTGATTGAGCTGAGCTGACATGATCTTCTATCGCAGAGTCCATGCTCCCAACGCAGTCGAACTTTGGGGGGTCCAGTTCTATGGCTTTTAATGACGAGCAGGGTCAGTCCGAGCCCCATGATCAAAACGCGACCAGAAACTGGGACGGCGAAATGATAGATGGTACCGGGCCCCAGGATGAGAGCGTAAGCTCCTCGAGTCTCCCGCCCGCACATATTCCTAGTCACGCCCAAACGACCCTCGATCTTGGATTCGAGGACATTATGACTTTGGGTTCGATACCTTTGTCAATATCTCCAGCGATGACCATGAGCTCCGGCAGTACCGCCTCGTCTTTTGGTGCTGGCGATTCCGGGCTTGACACCGTACCATTCGACTGGACTTGTGCAGAAGGAATCGATACCGACTTTCCGGCCGATCGTAGTCCAGGAGATATGTTGGGGATACCGCAACGTCTCGCCGAGTCCCTGTGAGTCAAGTGAAGAAGAATGGCTGCGCGAGATCATACTGATTAGCGCAGAGTGGCTACATATTTCGAGACTGGGGATCAACAAAGGTGCCCACTAATTGATCGATACAACTATATTACACACAGCATGATCTGTCCAGACTCTGGATTTCTGGCCCTGACATATGTCATGTGGGCGTTGGCAGCACCGTTTTGTGCCGACTTCCAAATCTGGGCCATCTCCAATTCTGCGCTTTGTGCTCCCGACGTGGATTTTTCCAGCTTCTTTTATCGCCAGGCGAGGATTACTCTTGACCAGATTGACATCGCTCAGCCTGCGGTCATCCGAAGTCTACGGCACATACAGGCTTTGGTGTTGATTGGGCTTTTTGAAACGTATGCTGCCCGGTTACACAATGCATGGCTCACAATGTGCCGCGTATCGCTGTACCTGAATTGTATGCAGCCTCACGATGCCTCCCTGAATGCKCTAGGGCAACCGACAGAACAAGAACAGGTAGTGCTGATGGCCAAGCAACTTATATCGTTTTTGACTCACGGAGGCGGCGGTATGATGGACATTCCGATAAGGTCAGAAGTATGGACTCACTCCATACGATCGACATGTACCATTTGTTGACCTGCACCGTCATAGAACTTATCGCATCTATCGCAGCTCACGGAAAGCTGGCCTGGACTGAGACAGGGCCAATGCAGCGTCATTGAGAGGTTATGTCGAGCTTATGTACTCTTCTCACGCATTTTGGTACATGTGCAAAGGGCTAAGCCGGAAAACGATCATGGGAGGCGCCCGGCCTACAGCTTTTGGACTCAACAACATTTGCTTTCGGAGAATATCGACTTGCTAGCAGCTCTACCCATGGCCTCGAGGAACACCTTTATAGCGCGGGACGGAGAACCGAGCTATGATCCACCAGAATCAATCCTAGGCCTCCTTCTATCAGCATTGAAGATTACGATGCAAGAAACTCTGCTCGAGCGATCGCAAGGTCCTGGCGCTGTTCTACAGGATCTTTCCATGCAAGCTCGCAATGCCCATATGAGTTCGGCAATGACAACACTTAAAGAACAAACTGCCAATATCCTGGATATCGCCCAAGGCTTTCCATATCAAGATGCCGCTGCGTGCAGCATTTTTGTTCCGTGGGCCGTCTTTGTCGCCCTTCAATCACTCATTAGGCAACAGCGACGCGAAGAAGGGTTTTATTGCTCCCTGACGTCAACTATGGCATGCACACTGAGCCAGGCGGTCATAATGGACAATATTGCTGCTCTAAGAATGATTCTGCATCAGTGGAGTAGCACCAGTCTCTTGGCATTGCTCTTCTCGAATGAAATCATGTTGGAGATCGACGCGAACGAAGATACTCTCCGAGGGCGTGCGGTGGGGCTGGTGGATCTGAATCGGCAGATTGTTCCTTGACAAGGCCTTTCCAAGTATCGCCCGGAATGAATCTGTCACTAGATTCTGAGGGCACCGCTATGCTGCAACAGGCATGCAAGGACAAACCGCACAGAGTGAGCTTGCTATGAGTCGTGATGCTCTTCATTCGAGTACCAAGCGGAGAATGATAGATATTCCTGGGCTATGTCGACGTTTTCTTTGATGGAAGGCTTTCTGCCTTTACTGATCACGCTCAATACACCGAGCAAAGCTGTGAATTGTTCGGCGCACCTATAGTAAGGGCATGAGCCCAAGCCCCATTTGTAACCGTGCACTGGTAGAGAGAGGGTGAAAGAAGAGTTGTCAGCAGGATTTTTGTGTCGAAGTCAAACAAAAGCTGTTGGCGTTTCGACATGAAGTCATGTATCGACATATCTAAGGACGATTCCCCGAAAACCACCCGGCTTTTTTACTATACCAGCTCTTCGCCTATATCATTGAATATACCATTGACTTGACTTGTGACTCTCGTGAGTAAAGACTTCTCAGTAGATTCCTCCTGCGTGTGGCCGTCCATACTGGTCACTTTCGACTCGCTCCTTGCAATCAATATAATAAATATACCCCTTTTCCGCCCAATCTCTCAAGTCCAGGCCTTCCTGATCCTGCTCCAGCGTCGTCGCATTGATGGACAGGTAGCCAACTTTGCCCTCCACCCATCCCTTTCGAAGTGGTCTCCAAACTTTGATTGTCTTCTTGCCACCATCTCCAACCGCTTCCATGTCAATTTCGATGACTTCTCCGCCCCTTCCGCCCTTTCCGTCAGCGCCCGCAAATGCAAAACACCTCACGCCGCACTCGTTACAGAAGTACCAATGGTATTCTCCGGCAAAGGTTCTATAGTCTCCGAGCACACCTGGATCCTCAAAATTCAAGGGCGAAAGAACAAGGAAGTCTCTGGGCGAATCTTCGAGACGAAGGTGGAACATGCCTAGCTTAACACAAGTGGAGCAGTTGCACTTGTAGATCCGAATGGATGTACTAGGAGACGTCGCTGGATCGAAAGACTTGGGCGGAAGCGTGAGGTAGGCAATGTACTGAATCTTGCCGCAGTGACAGGACCCTTGAAATGGCTTGCTGGAGTTGGTCGGAGTGGACATGCTGTCTCTTGGAATTTCCTTGTCCGAGAAGTAGTGGATGCCCGGAAGCTAATTGCTGCAATCCAGTGGTGAGGTCTCTGCTATTTAAGAGTCGATTTTTTTTCTTTCAGACCCCTTTCGAAAGGGCGATCATCGGTACGTCACGCAAGAGTACACGGATCTGCCCAGGTGGGTATAGAGAAAGAGGTTGACACGCTACATCGCCTGTCACATTCACAACAACGCAGAGCTGAGTTTCCCCGCGAGTCCGCAAACGGGTTGCACGTACGTGCGTTGGGGCGATGAGTTTGCCTACTTCTGTGACTACGCCAAAAGGAGAACTAAATAACCATGTGAATCAGCGCCGACTCTCATACATTGCCCTGAATGCGGTATCCTTGGACATTAATTCTTCCGGTGAAGCGAATTCCACAAGCTTTCCTGCCACCATCATTGCGATCTTATCAAAGTCCATGACCGTATCTAGTCGATGCGCCACAGCAACGATGGTTCGATCTGCGAATTCCTTTCTGATAATCCGCTGCATCACCTCTTCAGTGTTCTGATCAACACTTGCAGTCACCTCATCTAGCACAACTATTCTGCTGGGATGCAAAATCGCTCTGGCAAGGCCGAAAAGTTGCCATTGGCCGTGGGAAAACAGTTCAGAGTCGGCGACCGTGTCCAGCCCAGCCTTCTTTTCGACAATCGACCAAAGCCCGACCTTTTGCAATGCTGTAACACGATCTGCATCTGTGCATCTGCCAAGCGGATCTAGGTTTTCTCGAATGGTGCCTGGGAACAGAAACGATTCCTGTGGTATAGCGTTTAGAAGAGTCCGAAGCTGCTCGCGACTAACACTTGTGATATCGGTGTCATCGATTAAGATTTGTCCATGACTGATGTCCAGCAAACGAAATAGTGTTGAGATGATGGTGCTCTTGCCACTACCGCTGGGGCCGCAAATGGCAATCTTTTGGCCAGGAAGGATTTTTAAATCCAAATCTCTGAGAATAGGCTTGTCTGGTTGGTAGGATGCAGTAAGGCTGCGGAAATGAATACCACCGTGCGGAGGCCATTCCGCTGGTAAAGGCTGCGTTTCGTGGAACTGGTGCTCCGATACCGTCTGTGTGGTGAAAGACTGCACGCGGGCAATCGCGCCCATTGAGGTCTCTAGCATGGTCCATGCCTTGATTAGCAAGGTGAGAGACGAGCTGAATCCGTTCAGGTTCACCAATGCGACCCCGGCCAATCCCGGGGTGATGGTTCCAGGAGGAAGGGAGACAAAAAGTATCAAAAGAAGGATAGTAAGTCCGGCGATGGTCATGTCCAAGACAAGGGATAACCATCGCTGCACGCTGTTTAGTAGGTAGAAGGGCTTTTGAGATTCTTCCAGCAGATTGGCGTTGTGTTGCCTCAGCTTGTTCTCCCAGCCAAAGATACGAATGGTGACAAGGCCTTCCAGTGTCTCAACAAAGTTGGTGAACAGTGGTGATTTGGCCTCAATCTCGAGCAATCGGAGCTGTCGCGATGTTCGTAAATAGAACTTTTGTAAGTAGTATATTATCACCAACACAAACGGAATACTTGCGGCGAAGTATCCAGCGGAGAGACAGACAAGTATAGCTTGAACTGTGCTAAGAAACACCTGCGCCAACAACTCTAGCGATGCAGGCGGGAGTTCGATATCGATCAAGTTCATGTCTTGGCTGAAGCGATTTAGAGTTTCTCCCGTGTCAGCGATGCTGAAGAAGACCAGAGGTGCTGCCATGACGGTGTCGAGCACCTTTCGATGCTGGCGTAAAGATGCTGATGGTGTCATTCTCAGGAATACCAGGCAACCAGTGCATATCAAGCAGAAAAGAGAGATGAACTCAAACATGAGCAGTATGCCAAGATAGTAGCCATTGACGCTGTTTCCCTTGGCCTGGATGGCTCGGGTCCAGAACGTAATCCACACGTCGGGTATCTTCATAAAGACGGCGAACCCAGCTAGTCCGAGTACCACGCCGGCAACGTTTTCCCATCCACAAGATTTGAAATAATTTGCGTACGTGGACCAGTCACCAGCGGAGCGTTTGGGGTCCTTTAAGGCTCTGGCAGCATCAGTATCTTCATCATACTCCACCATATCACYCTTCGAGAAGACTATGGGTTTGCTTGGGMCAGCCTGAGCGATACGGTCGTATGGAAGAGGAGCCTCCTCAGCCCCTGAGCCCTCAAGATCAGCCGTCAGCCCTGGAAGATAAGAGCCATGTTGGGCTAGGAAATCGAAAGAGCCTTGCTCGGCAAGACGTCCCGAGTCATCAAGCACGATGATATTGTCTGCTCCCGACAGTCTGTGTGCCGCATGCGTCACCAGAAGAACAGTCGAGCCAAGCTCACGCAGTAAACCTTCYTTCCCCAAAAGTCGAATGAAGATACGCTCTTCGGTCGTTGCATCCAGGCCACTAAAGCAGTCATCCAGCAAAAGCAGACTATGTTTGGAGTACACAGCACGAGCGAGAGCCTAAACTACGAATGAGAAGCTGTGTGGAACTCGAGATATCGTTCAACTTACAACTCGTTGTTTCTGTCCACCCGACAGTTTGATCCCTCCAGATCCAACTTTTGTATTGCTACCATTGGGTAATAGGGCAATATCTTCGTTCAAGCAACACGCATGGATTACCACGGCATACCAGTCCAGAACGAATGGGGACATCCCGATAATGTTACTTTGTATCGTTCCATTTTGAAGCCAGGAGGATTGGGCAACAAAGCCAGCTGTCAGATTATCATTATGAACGACACCCTTCACGAGTCTCACCTCGCCCATTAATCCTTTCAGCAAGGTGGACTTGCCACTACCCACCGGTCCGACGATGGAGACAAAACTGCCTTGTTCTACTGAAAAGCTTAGGTCGCTCAGAATGTTGCTTTCCCCCGTCCAGGTGAAGCTGGCGCTTTCAACCCGCAGCATGGGAGCTGAAGCAGCTTCTGATTTCCCAATCCTGCGRGGAAGTGATTTTAGCGCAACATCACCATGCAATTTGTTCGTCTCTCCGAAGTCGTCCACGGTCGATACCGCAAAAGCAGGCCGCCCTTTGTGGAAATGTGCGACATCTTTACCTGGTAGATTGAGGAAGTCCTGGATTCTGTCCATGCATCCAATGGCCGAGAAGATCGTTGGCAGGTTCTGTATTGTCTCTCCAAGCTGAACAGTCATTATACTGACAATGTTCAAAGAAGAGTATGCCTTTGCAACGTCCAGCGTTTGTCCAGTGGCGGCACAGACTGCCGTGTATGCCGCGAAAGCAATTCCAGGAGCCAGGATCTCGGACCCCTTTCCTAGCGATAGTCTCATGACTGATATACGACGGAAACGCAGTGCCATCCTCGTCTCCTCTTCCCTTAGTCCTTGTAGAAGCCTAGTGACCATGGTGGTGAGGCCCAGCATCTTGACAACTTTCATCGCGCCCAAGATTCTTGCTGTAGCATGAATTCTCGTTTGAATGCACCTGACCCAGACCCTTTGAGCCTGCAGTGCGAATCGCATGGCTACAAAAAGCACAATGGACCCGAATGTCACCGATAGTAATGCAGGCCCTATACAAGCCACTCCGATGCGTCTCTCGAGAAGGTACAGCCCAACAAACATATCGACAGGACTTGCCCATAGACCATGAATATACGTGAATGCAACCCCAATTCTTTCCATGTCGGCGCTCATGAGAGTGATTGCCGCCGAGTCGTCAAGGGACTTAACCTCCAGATCAAGCGTATGCGAGTAAATCATGGAAACGAGCCCACCTCGAGCCAGGATGACGGTCCGATATGCCATGTGCATCCAAAAGCTGTTGACAACGGCCAAACCCACGTAGTCGATGCCATATGCAGCGGTCAGGGCCCAGCCTGGAGACTTGTCCGAAGCGGAGCCTTTCTGCAGATATGCAATGACGGCAGTAATCAAGAAGGGTTGCATGTACTGGAAGAAAGTCACGCATAGTCGAGGAATCATGGCTTGGGCCAGGGACCATCGGAGATGCCAGAGAAGAGTGAAGAGCAATGCGTGCGGCTTGGCCTTGTCGCTCTCGCTTTTCGTGGCCCACACCTGTTCCAGCGATAGGTATGAAGTATCAGTCCCCATGCTGGCATCAAGGGGTAACATGTCTGCCATTCCCAATATTTTCCGAGATCCGCCTTGGAGTAGCGGGTTTAGCCAGCAGAACAGGCGTCGTCCGTAGACACCGCTCGTTGTTTCGGGCGACCATGCCCGGTAGCGATCGAGTAGAATGCTCCTTTTCTCGCAGGCTTCGAGGAGCAACAAGACCAGCCTCGCAGTTATGGAAATCGAATATACAATGGCTAGAGAGGACGGAAAGCCTCTTCGCATCCATACTGTGCGGACCCGGATGATGTCCACCATGAGAGACAGGAGGAGGTAGGTATCAATGACGGGAGACGGCCGCACCGAGTGGGTGTGCTCTACGCAGGATAATAGGCATAGAGCCACTGCGCCAACGAGCGACAATATGGCTGCAGCTGCGGATGCCCTAGTCGTGGGAACATGGCGAGATGCCATTAACAGAGCAAGAATCGTGGCCTGCAATGCCGTAAACACGCATAAAACTATGAGCTTGCTGCGATAGCGGATATGGCCAGTATTTTTGCTGTCGACTGCATCACGACCGGCAACGACCTTGCGTGGTTGTTGTAGAAGCCAGTAGAGACGCGGGGGAAAGATGCACARGAAAACTGCAGCGGGCAGCGCGATGAGGATGGCATCTTCGAACAGCAATGTGAAGTCCAAGTAGTGCTGCGAGGATGCAATTGGTCCAATGCTGTTGTTGTCCATTGGATGGCTTGAATGAATGCGATTCGTTTGTTGCTGTGAAGAAAATGGTCATTCATCTTTGCAAACTGTTGCTCGTATACGTTCTATATAGACTTATGGCCTCTATACTGCTGCCTGCCTATCTGCCACGATCGATGCCCACATGTAGTTAGTGTGGTACTGTCCTGTGATGTGATGTAATGCGACGTGATAGAGTTCCAACTCTGCAGCTGAGCTAGAAAATGTCGACTATGGGGGTTCATTTCCATCCACGCCTTCTTTCGACATCTACATCACAACCACYATCATCGTCATCACCTTTGATAACAATTACCTAGCAATCGTGATATTCCACTTTCGTCTTCTCGACCGGGAGGACGAATCCCCCGCTTCCCTCTGGCGTTTCACAGTCCCCTCTAGCATGCTGACCCACCCCTGATTCCGGCGAAGTTTCATTTTCCAAAATCTCGCAAGCAAAAGCCTCAGCCGAAGAATTGGTGATTTGATAAGCACTAGATGTCAGAGTCGTCCGAACTGCAGAGCGGCTAAAAATGTTCCCAGTGGTGGTCAGTTAAAAGTGTTTGCGTGTGCTGGGAAAGGCAAAGCAAGCAAGTAACATACTCATAAACATTATCTTCCACCTCCAGTGTGAAATTTCCAATGCTAAAGTACGGAGACAACTTGAATATAAACGATGACTGCCTCGTCATGCTGCGGTCTTGCCAGCACGCCCTCCAGCAGGTGGGAACATTGGTCGAGTAAGGTACGCAGGGGCGGTCAGCCGAGTAATGGCAATCTCGCTGGTTGTCGCCCCAAAAAGAGGTGCAGTACGCCGTCCGCAGCTCGGGCGTGTTGGCATTATCGTAGAGCCAGCTGACATTGAACTGAATACTATAGTAGTTCGTCTGTCCAGCTGCGGCACCATTGGGCTGATGTGTGGTCAGCCACGGAATGGAGAATTCCGCGGCTATGGCCATGGCGACGAGGGGGAGGAGGGTGAAAAGTTTCATCTCTGGGAATGGAGAGGAAARGAGTAGTGAAAGATGAGAGTGGGAGTCAAGGGGAGATCTGTTGCTATTATACTGGAGTCGCTGAGACTTTCAGCCTTACGTTTCTCATCGCTATATTCTCATGCGGAGCTACCCACTGTAGATCCCTGCGTACGATCACTTCTAGCCACTAAAAGCTCCTGACGGGGAGTGTGTGGAGCAGCCTAACAATAGATCGTTCCCAATGCATGACCTTTTGGTATGGTCTCGCTGTAGCCGAGCTCGAACTGTTGAACATTCTCGTTCGTAACCCTGAATACCGGCAGCCTCCGCGGTTTGTTACCGACTCGTTGGCGAAGAAAGTGCTCAGAAGTGGGTCCATCTCCGGCGTCGTCTTGCTAGACATCTTGTCGTTTGGAAAGACCACTGTCTGAGTTTTCGGCCTAGAGACTTTCTTGGACATCTACGGCACATCAAAGATCATCGGCTTCTCATTAAGCATGCCCGGCTCCACCACGATGCATTTCGCGTAGCGTCCGGTGAGATGATGTGCATTGTCAAGATTGAAGCTAGCCGCGCGCAAGTTGCATACTTTGCCGAACTGCCTCAAGACCATATGAATCTTTTTTGCCCTTCGCCGGACACACCCAACCAAAGATGCATGAGAGCAGACCCCGCTATCCACATCTATGGATTGGGATTGACACTGACGGCATAGGGCACAAATAAGTCACTCCCCACATTCGTCAGCTGCCAGAATCCAGCATTAGACGGACTCCTCAGTTGGTTGATATTCCCACCCGKCCAGCTACAGCTTACCGGACAGGTAGAGTCCTCCTTCGCTTGCACCTGGCAGTTTACAAGAACGCCCCTCGTATCTCTTGTCGCAGGGTCATTGAACKACATTTCTCCATACGCTCCCGCAGCGGGATCGGTTCTGTATACATCGAGATAGTGACCTGCATTGACGGTAGTCTGGAGCACCAGATTGCCGGCTGCATTGGTGAGGAAAGTACCCGGAGGGCATTGAACTCCGTTACAGTACCAGTAGGGTGTCGTTGACCGGCCTTTGGGACGGCTGTCGAAGCCTACTTGACGGCCGTTCAGGGGTCCGCCGAGGGCTTGGAGGTAGAAGCGTTGGGTTTGGGGGTCTGGAGGTACCAGGGTTGACGCCGAGGTTTGGATTGTTGTAGTTGAGGCAGTGGTTATGGTCGTGGTGGTTGAGGCCGTGACGACTGGTCCTGGAGGTAGAGTTACGGTTGTGATAGCGAGCGTCACTACGGATGTTGAAGTAGGCGTTACGGTCGAGGTTACAATAGTTGTGCTTGGGGTGCCAGTGATTGTCACGGCAGTCGTCGAAGGGCAAATCGAAAGACAGCTGCAGGCAGAGGAGAGCAGCTTTGAATTGTAGGATGCCAAACAGGTCGGCCTTGGTTTCTTCGCTGTACGCTTTTCGACTGTGGTCGTTTGTGGAGCATTACAAGCGGTGAGGGTCGTGGTGAAGGTTGTTGTAGTCTCAGTAGCTGTGGACGTTGTTGAGTAGGCTACATCGGTGAAAGTAGTGGTAGTTGTGCTCGCGGCCACAGTCTCCGTGGTCGTGACGGCCGGTAAGGTAATGGTATCGGTTACGGCTGGTGCTTGCACGGTCGATGTGCTCCGTGTCAACCCGCCTCCAATCGTGGTCGTCTTTGTCGAGGCCGAAATGCTCAAATACGAAGAGCAGAATGCTGTCGCTACTTTTTGCTCCCGGGCGGCCGTCACTATTGCCTTGACTACGGGACAGAAGGGTCTTCCTTTCGGCAGAGTGCTTGCAATAATGGCTGGAGGTGCCGCAAGGAGGGCAGTAAGAGTTGAGATGCGCATTGTGAGCAGCGACGGAAACCCGAACTGTCAGTAGAACTCCTGCCGGACGTCCAGGTGGGTCTCCCTATTATATAGCCAAACATCCCTTTGCACCTTTTGAGAGCTGGCATGTTATGGTGATCGGCTTCCTTCCCCGATCAATGGCTTGAGTCTCGACTGGCGTCCGCTTGCCTATACGGGTAGAAATTACGCCACATGGCGCATCTACATAGGGGAGGCGAATCACGAGTTGGGTAGTTTCTCGACTTATGCGCACCGCAGGCGAGCCTCGTTCTGGGGCGAGGCTTAGGTACTGTTCGAAGGTGTAACGTCCATGGAGAGGGATAGACGGGCAGTCATCGCCGCTGGAATCTAGACCAAGCCACGCCAAGAAGAAGTTTAGGCTGGCGTTTGTCAACTCTGACATCTCATCACTTCTCGTCCAACAGGCAAAAGTTTCAACAAGCTGGATATGATTACATGAATACCGTACAGATGATCTGCATATCGGACACCTACAACCATGCCCGGGCGAAGGATATCACACCCTTCCCAAAGGCGACGTCTTGATTCAAGCCGGTGACCTCATTTGAGAAACCTGTGGCCATGTATTCATTTTCCGCCACAACGAAGCCCGCCTCTTGCAATATGTAAAGCTCGGTCGTGACTACACTCACGATGTGATCTTGGTTCCAGCATACTGAAACGGTCTCACCATTGCTCCGAGTACATACGACCATAGATGCACAAAAGCAAGCCATCCATAAGTATCACTTGCACTCACCCACGATGTGCTCACGAAGTGGGCGTAAGTGATGTTCACACGGATTCATCAACTGGACCCTCCTTATGCAAAGAGGTGAGTAGTCAGGGGTTATATGAATTTCGTGAGGGAGACAAAGAGCATCCAGGAGAAGCTGAGGATTAATGGGCCGGGGTGGCTGCGTCAGGAATACTTTTATGAAGCAAAAGGAGGAGGTTAAGAAGTATCGGAAAATTGARAAGGCAGCGCGATAGTACTCGGAGGGGATTAGTGAGGCGTATGTGCGGGATGTGGGACGCCCGTTCGAAGACTCCAATGAGGGGAAGCTGGGAAGGGCGATGATGGAGGGGAGGATAGACTGGTTCAAGACTGATTGATGTAGGGGTGTATCATGTTCGATCATTTTTCAAGCTCAGTCTACAAGAACTTTCTATTCCGTCATTCGACAAMATGAAGATTTGGCTCCACCCTTCGGCCAGGTCCGCTCCAACATGCAGTGCACTTCATGTATGGCAGAGGATCCTTTTCCGGCTTGATCTGGGCTGACCTGATCCAAGTGTCCAGCCAGATTCTTCTGCATTCGACCTCAAACGCAGTCTGGATCTACACGCCTAGCATCAAGCAGGATTCGGAGAGATTCTGCCTGCCAGACGCTGATTTGCGGCCATCGTGCTGTGATAAGCTTCTCCGGAAGACATGTCATCTCCAACATGCTGGGCGCATGGCAACCGGGGGATCCAGATCTACTTCGGCCACTCGCGATGCCGGTCGGGATCTGTGTGTATCTCTCAGACATGGACCGGCCGGCGAGATGCGCCTGGTATCGCAATTGTGGTTTTGGAAAGAAGAGGTACAGAGTACTTCTCCTGCATCTGCAACACCGCTGATCTCAAAAGATGATTGGCTTCAGCCACAGCCAAGCTCGCGTGGCATCCATGTGTCGCGGGGATTTTGATCGCATGCAATGCTGGTACACTTTGTAGCTCTCATCCATGCATCAACAGCTAAGATTCCAATTTGGTGGTGTTTCTCTGCAGTGCAATCCACCTTGTCATACCCCATGCGGAGGGGTCGAAAGAATGGGGCGCATCCTTCGTTATCTTATGCAGGAATCGCAGCCGAAAAATGCTTTCAGCTCCGAAATTTCAAGCAACTGCCAAGAGCCAGCTCTTATCCCAGCCAATGAGGCTATCYGCAGTCCCTGGTTGTCATGGATGTCAGTCATGGTTCCGGTAGGGCTAGACTTTTCCCGGTGGTCTCCGCTCAACGCTAGAATTCAAGTGGTGAGACGAGGGATCCAGATATATCAAGCTGCAATCGTTCCGATTTACCGGGGCTTTTCTCCTTCGTCAATCCAAGCATTGAGCACACAGCATCCAAATTTCTGGTTCAGTCCACGACCCCGGCGAATCGATCGGATATGAGCTGGATACCGAAGGCCAATGCAGCAGTGGCTCAGAGCCCTGTTGGGCGCTACTTTCGGTTAGAAGGTAGCGGTCACGTAAGAAAGCCCACGACAAAAGATCGTTCAATCAGCTCTGACACGTTCGATATCGTAGCCCAAGGAACGAAAGGGGACCTACTTCTTCACGGAAATCCGAGCTGGTCTCGCGACGTTCTTCGCCATGGCCTACATCATCTCGGTCAACGCAAGCATCATCTCTCAGTCAGGCGGTACTTGCGAATGCGATTACGCCAACTCCCCCGATGTATGCGACAGCGATCCGGCGTATATGCTCTGTGTGCAAGAAGTCAACCGAGATCTTGTAACTGCTACCGCTGCCATCTCTGCCCTGTGTAGTGTTGCGATGGGATTACTCGCTAACATGCCAATTGCCATTGCTCCTGGCATGGGACTGAATGCTTATTTCACGTACAACGTCGTTGGATACCACGGGACTGGCAACATTCCATATGAAACGGCGTTGACTGCCGTGTTTCTGGAAGGCTTTGTGTTCGTTGCGCTGACCATTCTCGGCCTACGACAATGGCTGGCTCGTGCAATTCCGCATTCGATCAAGATGGCAACTGGCGTTGGCATCGGTCTGTACTTGACACTCATCGGATTGACCTACAGCGCCGGAATTGGTCTCGTTACGGGTGCCGCCTCAACTCCACTTGAGCTTGCAGGTTGTGTCGAAACAGCTCTGGTGGATGGCGTCTGCCCGTCTGGCGTAAAGATGAGGAGTCCAACAATGTGGATCGGTATCTTCCTCGGAGGAGTCATGACTGTCTTCCTTATGATGTTCAGAGTCAAGGGAGCCATCATCGCCGGCATTCTCCTGGTTAGCATTACCTCATGGCCGCGTGTGAGCGAGGTGACCTACTTCCCGTACAACGATCTCGGTAACGCGCGGTTCGACTTCTTCAAGAAGGTCGTCACATTCCACCCCATCCAGAAAGTCCTAGCAGTGCAGGACTGGGACATTGCTGCCCACGGCGGCCAATTTGCTGTGGCATTCATCACCTTCCTTTATGGTAAGCGTGTTTCCGAGCAGATGGCGTGGTCAATATCTGAGGCATCGCTAATATTCTCGTAGTTGATATTCTCGACTGCACTGGTACCATGTACTCTATGGCTCAGTACTGCGGTGCCATCGACGAAGAGACCCAGGACTTCGAAGGTTCTGCCATTGCATACATGGTCGATGCGCTTGGCGTCTCCATTGGATCTCTTTTCGGCTGCTCTCCTGTCACCGCATACATCGAATCTGGTGCTGGTATCTCGGAAGGTGGCGGCACTGGATTGACTGCCATTGTTACTGGATTGGCATTCTTCATTTCCATCTTCTTTGCCCCGATTTTCGCCTCCATACCTCCTTGGGCAACTGGATGTACCCTCGTTATTGTTGGCAGCTTGATGTGCAAGTCTGCTGCCGACATCAACTGGCGCTACGTTGGCGACGCTGTTCCGGCGTTCCTGACCATTGCCATTATKCCATTCACCTACTCCATCGCGTACGGTCTGATTGCAGGAATTGTGTCATACATCCTCCTCAACACCGGTGTGTGGCTCATCGAGATAGCCACCGGTGGCCGTCTCAAGCCAGCAAACAAAGAACTGAAGGAGTACTGGACGTATAAGCTGCCGGGTGGCGTCTTCCCGCCATGGCTGAAGCGTGCTGCCAAGGGAAAGAAGGACTTCTGGCGGACAGACGATGGCGAATCGGGTATTGCTCCAGGTCGTGTATTTGATGGCAAGGAGATGAAGTCGGACATTCAGGAGACGCGGAGCAGTAGCCGAAGTGGCGATGATGCCCCAAGAGCCGTCAGCCCCATCATGAAGGAAGAGAGATAGTGGAGACCGATCTTCCATACAGTATCTCGAAATCTATGCTTCCCAATCAATCACTCTTTTATCCAGACCGCCTAATCGCAGAATACTGGCGCCGATGGTCGGTCGCCCTCCACCGTACCGAGCTCGYCGAAGTAATAGTCTCCTGACCTACCATCGAGCCTGATCGGAGGGCACAACCTTGCGGTAGCTTTGGGGTAGGACTGGACACTCCGATCCGTGCACTTTGTCGTTCGGGTTCATTTCGTGCATCGCGAGTTGAAATTGTGTTCTGCCTCAATGGCTCAGGCCTCGCTAAGGGCAATGATCAACGTCTTCGGGAAGCTGGGCATTCCCGAGTACTGGCGCCGCCCGGCAGYATTTACCTCTGTAGTATTGCACAGACGGCTGTCCGTACTTTTCATTGTTGTGATGCTGGCCGATCGAGGCCCGAGTCGAAGTCAAGTTACCTCAACGTCAGGAATGCGGGCCAGGACAGGAACCACGTGGGCTGAAGCTGTGCTCATACAGCAGACGCACGCTGCAGCAAAGTCTCACGGCAAGAGACTCGATGCCCGCTTCTTTCACCCTTGGTATGAGTCGCCGGTCCTCAGCGAAGAATGAAGCTCGAATTGCTGGAGTTGAGAGCGGAGCTCCCGCGCAAAGACGGCGTATCTTGAGCCGTGTGACGGCAGAAGGATCGCCGCCCACAGCGGATGGCATGAACTTGTGGACGCTGGACAGTCCACTGCCCCGTACTCTTGAAGTCCCGAGATGAACAACACTCAGGCAGTTTTTGATGCCGCAGGTCTCGTTACCGAATCAATGTCATCACTGGCCTGCCGCTCCTCGAACCGCAGCGGAATCCACGATCATCAAATCACGGAACGTACATGCAAGCCAACCTTTGCTTGGGGCCGTTTCCGCCGACAGAGAAGCGGAGGTGTGCTGGTGGACATCAAGGATACTCATGGCCGCCACTCCCTTCCATTTCCTCCAGATACTGGTCTTCGCCCTTGCAGTGCGATGCTCTAGAGTCCTTGGGCCTCTTGGGGAAATGGAATGGCCAAGGACAGGACTTGCCGTCGTTTGGCAGTATGACAAGAGGCGGAATCACCGAGAGCATGATCCATTGAAGCAGCGCAACGATGACACCGCATGCAAGAGACTCCTGTCGGACTTTCAAACTAGACTCCGGGCTGAATGAACCAATCTCTGTCGTCCTTGACAAGCGTTGCTGTGTTTCTCAGAAAGAAGAAGAATCCAGGCATTGTGCATCGCCATTTCACCTTGCAAGGACAGAATAGGGGCAGCCAAGCGCATGTCTTAAGAAACTCATACACCACAGCTTGATCATACACATCGATATCAGCCGATGGGAAGTGTATAGCTCGCTGACCGCTGGGTGACTATGTCTGCACAAGAGAGGTGTCCACCAGCGGACTTCGACGGCGGCTGCGGAAGGAATGAAGGATGATCAACAGGAGAATGCTCCCATGCCAGCTTGTAGGACTTCCATGCAAACTCCGGGACACACATGCTCAAGGTTCCGAAGCATGGCTTTAGGCTTTGGCTATGAAAGACTTTACCGGCTTCGCCCCTTTTAATTCGATCAGTTCCTCGCTTCATGCTGGTCTCCAAGTAGCAAGCTACTCCAGACATTCAGGTCAGGTCCGCATCAGTCGATAGATCTGTTCAGTTTCTTGGTCGGCTTTGGATACAGATATCAGCCATTGGTGATCCGAATCGATCGCTCATTAAGAAAGCTCCTCGCACAGAACCCGATTGTTATCGACGGCGTATTCATGCCGCGCAGAGAGCCTGCGGTATTTCCCAGTGGACTATTTGACGCATGATGTGGGCCTCATTCGCTGAACAGTGCTGAATTCGCCGCACCAGCCAAGCTGCCATCGAGGGTGAGGAGAGTCTTGACATTCTCCTGCAGGACCACGAGTATTTCCCACACTCTGAATTCTAGAGAGCCCGCTACCAATACTCCAAGTTCGCTCTCCTGACACTGGTCACAGTACTCCGGATCGCTCAAAAGCGATCTGTGTCTTTTCTGCGAAAGGAGAGGTTAATCGCCACTCAGAACAAGCCAAAGGGATGGACGGAGGAAGATTGGCTGAGACATGTGTCTTTGTCAGGTTGATGGCCAAACGGAATGGTTGTCTCCTTCCAGGTCCTTCCAGGTAGCTATGACTGGTCTGCCTTTTCCATATTCAGACCGCTCCTGCCAGCATCTTGAGCCACCTCTATCACAGCGCGAAGCCAGTTCAGTCGGCATTCTTTTGGAGCATCAAAATCCCTCTTCTTTACCGCGTCGGAATATTACTTGCTGGCCGCAAGCATATTTCTTAGTGCAGATGAAGATCCTTCCATGGATGCCTCCAGCGCCGTCTATCCCAGACTGTGGTCTCGCAACGCCCCTCTTCTCCATGAAGCTTGACCGAGCTCCATTCAATCAGCGGACTGCTCTCATGGTCTGGCGTTGCGGATTTCGGCGGCGGCTTGCTGGGCTACAGCTGTTGGCGATGCTTTATCCGTGGCAGCTATTTGGTATCCTCGTGCCTCGATCTGGTGCATGTCGAGAATGCCAACTCGCTCGTTGCGGATGCTATTCATGACGATTTTGTCTTGATGCAGCCTGAATCAGGGGATTGACAGGTCCAGCTCAGCCCACGTCCTACCGCGGCGGGTGTTGAACCAGAGCGCCCTGGCTTATGGCTGCTTCGTCGGTCCATCTCCGTGCTGACTGCGGCCATGAGACCTGCGATATGGTCTCGTCAATCCTCTCGCTGACAACCGATACTTCAGCGAGGGTGATGGCTGATACCAATACGAATGGTAGGCGCCGACGATGACACTTTCCTGCTGGGGTATCTGTAAAAGGCCAGCGTATCCACTGGGCCATGCCATCTCGCGAACATGCGCCTTACTTGTCCGTTCCTCTTTCTGACTCTGCTCGGTCCTGTTCTCGCCACCTGGAATTGTTTGGCATTGTTTGCGAGCCCCCATCCTTCGATGGCGTCTTTCCGTCTCGGTAATTCGATCGTACACGGTCTTTCGCCGGGGGTGGTGGTCACTTCGCAGAAGATACTGCCTGCGCCAAAGCAAGCTCGGCCAGTGGCTTCGCGGGCCATCGAAATGGACAGAACCGCTCTTCAGGCCTCAATTTGTTGAGATGGGACAGCGGTGCCGATTGAAGCTCTGTCGTTGTTTGTGCTGTAGGAGGCGGTCCTGTCATGCTGGTTGCATGGTTGAGCGCTGCAGCGTCAACACTGCAGCCTTGAACCCAGCAGGACGACGAAACAGCATCTCTTCTCGGCGGTCCTGTCCGAAATACAGGCATCCATCAGCGAGACGACGGTAGAGAGCTGTACAGTTGCAAGCATGGTGTTCTATTTGGTACAGACTGTCGGCCTGCAGCAACCATTGTTGGCAACATCTCGGAGGCGCCTTCTTGGCAGTACTTCAGTCGATCATTCATCACGGTACACGGTGGTCTATAGTAGCAAGTGTCTACACCCTATGCAATCTCTCGTCCATACATCGACCTCTGCACTCCTTGACGGACCATCAGGGGTATCTCCAAGGAGTCAAAGACAGTGCTGTCTTTACCTACGTTCACATGCTGCCGACCGAGCGAACAAACCACAAACCCTGTCTGTCATGTAGCGCTTTATCCGAATGCGGCAACAGTGCGGGCCTCAAGCTTCTGCAAGCATCTGCCACATATTGCACGGCGCGTCCGTAAGGAAGCAACACTACCTCCGCACGCGTCGATGTAGTTGGAGGAACATCACACGAGTTGGCGCTTCCTTTTCACACCCATTACGTTTGAATATCGCGACTCGATCACAACTTCTTCTTCCCAAGGGGAAATGGAGCGTTGCTCGCCAGTGCCGCCAGTCGGCTGGACATCCGAGCCTGTATGGCGAAGAAAGAGGTCGTCCAACACAGCCAACATGCCGCACTGCTAGACGAGGAACACCTGGTAGACACCGCTTTTTGAACGAGCTACATGGTATAATCGTAAATGGTCCTCGCCAATTTGATCTGAGTATATCCAATGGATGGTGCAGAATTTATACCATTACGAGGAAGGTACGATGAAGGCACCTTCCTCGCCAACACAAACCCGAACGCGCCTGCCCAGCGCCCGGCTCCCGAGCACTAGGTACTCGCTTCTCGCTTTCTTCTCGTTGCATCTTCACCCTACTCTCTTCCTCTCCCAGACATCAACATCCGTCCACCACAAGACCATCGCGGCTTTGTTACACCTTCATCAAGTCTCCATCGCTCACAGCACATCCATCGTAGCGGCATCAACGCGATAGCAGCTCATCAAGAACACTGAGCTACATTTCAGAGTACGTCTCGCCGTCGCACCGTCGCGAGCTTTTTCATCCACCACCCTCCGACCGTAAGCAATGCCCCTGAGCGCTATTTCTTCTGTGCTCACTGACACTGTTAGAAAAGTCTACATCGCTGTCCTCCATCGAGAATCCCATCGCTGCAGGAATAATATCGACCATCTCACCGTCGACAAATTCTCCAACACAAGACCTGAGGCGTGAGTACCATCCTGTCTACCTTTTGAACATCGACTGACATCTGTCAGGCCATTGTCAGCACTCCAGCTCAATAAGAAGTCTCGTCATCACAAGACCACTGTCACCCATCTCACCAGGTCAGAACTAAATCAGACCACATTCTAATCGTAAGTRAATCCMTCAAACAGCTCTCTCCGGACACGTACTGACATTTCCAGATCATCTGCCATCCAGCAGTATCATCAAAGACCACATCAACGTTGAAGCAACATCCAAACTACAAGATGCCTCGTCTTTYCGGAATCCCACCCGTCAGCAAGACTCCAAACCCCAACACCAAGCCAGATGATCCATTCCAGATGGCGACCACCGGACAGCCATCCTTCCTCGCAAGCCTCAAGAGTTCTGCCCTTGCTTCGGCCACTCTCATCACCGACGACCACAACCTTCCAGAGTCCGTTCCCGCCCGCTTCCAGCTCTTCACCTCGAAGGAAGTGGATAGTGGCATCGTCTACGCCGAGACCCCCTCTGTCCCGCCAAGCTTGACCTCGCTGTCCATTGGAACTTCCGGCGGACAACCCGGGGTGTACACCCCGGAGAGCTCCTTCTACTCAGGCGGCGCTCCCGCCAGCATTGCCGAACTTCTCCATGTGGGAGCAACCGACAGCCCGCAGCTCGCCCGCCTGCTGGCGCACCACTTCAGGTTGGTACAGTTGACCGCCCCAAGAACCGCCATCGCGTTCGTCGGCAAGTAAGTACTCCCCTGAACATGCATGCTTTTGATCCCGCTGACCACCCTTCTAGCCTCCCAGCCACCATGACCGATGTGGAGATGACCTGGATCTTGAGCGGAATGTTCGTGGGATGTGGCGTGATCGTGTCCAGAAAGGTCTGGCACAAGCCGACCGCCCTGATCCAATTCCGCTGCCTGGATGACGCGGTGGAGGCAATTCACACTGTCCACGTGCTCGGTGGGCGTGTCTTGCGTGTCGTCCCGTCTGTGCATGCTTTTTAGTCAAATGGGAGTAGTTTTGCGGACATAGTCAGTTTCGAGCTTAATTTCTCGAATGAATTTCTTTGAAGGCCGCATTCTGAAATCTTCACTCACTTGATTCATGGGGTGCCCTGCTAGTCTTGCGGAAGTCCGCCGTCTCGGGGATGTGGTGGTGGCGGAGAGCGGAAAACTCAGGTAGGGGCGGAAATGCCAAGATATCTGGGATGTGAGCCGATTTCACCTTTAAAAGGGGCGTTGCATACAAAATTCCCCCGCTCCTCGATGATATCTCGCCTGTATTGCGTAGGACTAAGCTAAACTGTACAAAGCTAGATGTATAGCGATCGATACTGCTATCGAGAGCGGAAAATTCAAGTAGGGGCGGAGACGCCAAGATATCTAGGATGTGAGCCGATTTCACTTAGACAAAAGGGGGCGTTTTATACAACTTCCTCCTCTCCTCGATAATATCTCGCCCATGTTTCGTAGGACTAAGCTCAACCATAGAAAGCTAGATATATAGCGATTGATACTACTATCGAGAGCGTAAAATTTAAGTAGGGGTGGAAACGTTAAGATATCTAGGATGTAAGCTAATTTCACCTAGATAAAAGGGGCGTTCGATACGACATTCCTCCTCTCCTCTATAATATCCCGCTTTTGTTTCGCAGAACTAAGCTTAACTGTAGAAAGCTAGACCTACAGCGATTAATAGTGCCATCGAGAGCGAAATCCATAGGCTTTCGCTACGGATTTACCATCAACTAGCAGATATTAGCTTTGAATTCCATCTCTAGCGGAAAAGATGTGGGTATGAAATGAAGGTCGCCTCGTGCTCGAGGGCGGTTTATAAGTGATCTCTCTTCACCTATAGCATTCTCCGCTACTTCCTGAACAACTCTGCTAGGAAGGAGGCTTCTCGCCCTACGAAGTACGGGAGGCCTCGACTCAGCCTTTCGGGCGTACTCCCGGCCTTCTCGTAGCGTTCGTTACACATACACGCAAATTGTGAGCCATTTTTCACGCCGGTTCAGCCCTGACGCAAGGAGAAATGTGCTGTTGTTCGTAAGACTCCGCCATTTGATCATGGACGCCCTCCGCAACATCTCAAACCACTCTCTGCTACTCCATTCCGAGCTGGCCGTACAAAAAGCAATTCATCCACCGAGACGAGATCCCTAGACATTCCCTCAAGAAACCTTATTCTCCCTCTGAATCCTCATCGCTTCCTGTAATTTTGGCCAAAATCCCCAATAAACACTACCATCCACAAACTCCACCCAATTGACAATCTTCTCTCCCTTCTCATCGAAAGTCATCGTCCATTGATATTCATTCAGATACTCGCCCGCCAGTGTATTGGCTCGTGCTTTCACATACATACTTATCCTGCGAGCTTCTCGATCTTCCAGGATATCGTGGATGGTGAGGTTGAAATTTGAGAATATAGGGTTGAGTTTTTCCAGCGTGCTTCGATATTGGGAGTTGTTTTGAGGGGTTTGGTTGAGAGACGCTGGGAGGATGTGGCGCATGCATCCTTCTGCTCGGACGGACATGATTTCGTCAATGTCCATTCTGTTGAAAGCGTCGACTAGGGATGTTGCTACGAGTCGTTGGGATGAAGTTTGGGGCTGCTTTTGGTCGGCCATTGATGTTTTTGAAACTCCCGATGTAACTTGAAGTCTTTCTGAGGTCTGTAGTATATCGTTTGTTGTTGGGATTTTTTCATTCAAAGTCCCTGACCGTAACCTTGAATGAGATGATTCTCCTTTCCTTTGATGCTCAGGAGGAAGTAAGGGTATAGTAGAAGGAGGCCTTCTTGAAGCTAGGTATCTCGGAGCTTGTAGTAAAACTATGTCGTTGTTGTCGAAACAACGTCACGCCTCTCGGAGTTTGCGACCGAGATCTTTCACGATCTTATCCTGTTCTTCTTTCCCTCTGTTATTAGTCAGGAGACGCAAAGTGAAACAACCATCAAACTCTTTACGGAAGTCTGGACTATGGGATCGGCAACACCCTCCAATTAGACACCCGATCATAGCCGGAGCTAATTCCGACTTGAGAAACCACACGAACCACTCCATCACCAACATATATCACACACACATACACACACACCCTCCAAGTAATGCCCGGAAAGACTCTTGTCGTACTCGGCTCAGGCCCGGGGATTGGCGTGGGAGTCGCTTCTAATTTTGCTGTACGAGGTTTCACTCACATAGCTCTCGTATCGCGGGACCAGAAGCGCTTGGGAGAGGATGAGGACAAGGTTCTGGATGCCGTGCAGGAGCGAGGGTACAGCTGCCAGGTCAAGACTTGGGTCTGTGACCTCACCGACTCTGAGAAATTGAAGAAGACGCTTGGGGAGATTGAATCCTTTGGGAGTTTGGAGTGTGTGCTTTATAATGCTGCGAGAGTTGCCGGGAAACCGCCACTTGAGGAGAGTGTGGAGAATATCGAGAAGGATTTCAAGGTAGGATGCTTCCCCTGCTGTGCCGCGGTAATCTATAACCTGATGCTGTTGATAGCTCACGAACCTGGCGCTTTACGAGACTGCTCTCTGGGCAATTCCCAAGTTGAAGGAAGCCTCTGGGCAGGATAGCTCGCCCTCCTTCTTTGTGACTAGCACGACTCAGCTCTACAAGGAACCCTTGCCAGCTCTGGTCTCTTTGTCAATGGTCAAGTCTGCTCAAAGAGCTCTGGTGCTTTCTATCCACGACCAGTATGGCAAGGACGTGCATGTTGCGCTTCTCAGTGTTGGCGGCGTTGTTTCCCCCGAAGCGAAGAATCTCAATCCAGCAAATATCGCTGATAGGGCTTGGTCGCTGTATAAGCAGCCGAGAGACAAGTGGGAGAGGGAGGAAGAGATTCACGAGTAGCGGCATGAAGGAGAGGGAGCAACCAACATCGACGAACTACTGCGGTGATGGAAGGACAGTAAATGACGATTTCAGCTGACGATAGATTCAATGACCGTGGACATGGAGCATCAAGTGGCGGCTACCGTATCAGGCTTCTCTCGATGCTCGCATGCCATTTCAATGGCTGTAAAGAAGATTTATATGACCAATTCTTCATCATTAATTTGGTTTTCTTCAATCGGAGACCTGTCGCCACACACACGACARCTTTGGGGTTCGCCTGCATCTTCTGGAGAATCACCAAAGTAGTTTGACCTCCCTTGCAACCACACCCTTTCGCACTCAACATCGCGGCCATATTTGAAGTATTCGTATTCCAGCTCAACATCTGAATCGGTTTCCGCCTCCACGTCTTCGTCAAGAACGGTGGGTCTCAGTGCGTAATTGTCCACAATGACTCCTTTTAGCGACATTTGGGTGCCGCCATCATTTGCAAGTCTTCTTGAGATTCTGCGGTTCCTTGCTTCTCCTTGGATGAGGTTGTATTTAAGTTCCAGGAACATTAGGGTATCTTTCATTGGTCGAAGAAATGAGAGGAACTCCCCCGGTTGAAAGAACCATCCTGTAAGCTTGAGGTGCCTGAGAGCTGGGAAACGCATGCCGAAGAGGAGTGTTCGTAAGATATGGTGCCCATATTCGCTCTGGGCAGCCTCGAATGCGTTGTCTGATATTCCTTCTTCAGGGCGCATGAGATCGACGGCASCAAGATCGAGGTATCTCAAAGTAGAACCAGCGGTGTGAAGGAGGAGTGATAATGGAGATGCAGCGATAGCCTTATGCAACCGTGCGAGGGTTTTCCCATTGCCACCGAATCTGGACCATCCAACTTGAATGGGTATTGAAAGTTCACTGACTCGCTTCAGACCATGTATCCTCTCTGGCCATTTGGACTCTGGGCAGAGTAGGCGCATGGTCGCCAACTCAGTCGAAGAGGGTCCAGGCTCTTCACAGTCTCCCGCTGTACCAGTCCACTTGTTAGAGCCGATAGTCAAACTTCGCACTTGAACTGAACTCGTCTCCAGAAGTTCCAGGAGGTTTAGGAGCTTGGTCCACCTCCGTATTGCGTCTTTTACATCATCGCTCCGCTCCCAAGGAGGGTCGCTCAAGATTCGTGGAGGTGGTATCTCCCCGCCAAACAATCGTTTGCAACATGTCGCGTAATCCTCGTCATCTCTGGCCAGATTGCGGTAGTCTCCAAAATTGACCCTGCACAGCCGCGGAAAGGCGGTCAGCGTTTGATGCAGCATGGTAACATTTGCATTGTTGTCGATGAGGGAATCCTGCTCTGAGACACGCTCATGGTATTCTACCAATCCCACCCATCCTCTGTATACGAAGGCATCATTATCAGCATTCGTCCAGCATCAAAACACAGGTCTCGCCATGCTCTCAGCAAAGAGGCGTACGTACCGCTGCCAGGGCATTCTTTCTGGCCAGGGCGGTTCGTCGCTGCCATCATCACTCGAAGGTTGCATGGGCTTCCGGTCCTCTTCAATAGTCGCCAACATTCCCTGTCGTGTTTTGCCATCGGAAATCGGATGCTTTAAAGTGCGTTGGAAGAGCGCCGAGCGAGCCTGATGCAGCATGGTGATGCTTTCAAACTGCAATTCAGAAGTTTCGCGAGCGTAAACGTAGCCTACAGGATCTTCGAGCTGCGGGTCAAATTCGCTCGTATCGTAGAGTAGTTCTGTGACATTCCGGCCAAAAATGGGATGTTCTATTACATCGTAAAGCTTGTTCATAGTGTCTATTCGCAATGCGAAACACACTCTGCGGATGAGATGCGGTGAACTAAGCTCCTTGAATGCGTGATTTACCTGCCGGCAAGCCTGAATATCTCGTTGTTTCGTTAGGAGGGAAAAGACGCGATCCCAGATTTCATTGGGTAGGGTGCCGACGTCGAATGTGGATGCAGCCACGTTGCTGTGGCTGCTGAGATTGAAAAGAGAATGTGCGAGAGATTGTAGGCGCGACATTGTACCGTGGTATCTCGCGTAAGAGACAGACTCGGGGGCCATCGTGTTCGCCATTTATGTTCAGCAACTTGTGAGTGCGATGTGGATGTCTTGTTAAAGTGTGCGTTCCGTGGAGAAGCGGGTGTAGTAGGTAGCCCCCACCACCATTAGCGTTGGGGCACATCGTCCTTTAGATGTGGATATACAAGCCAAGGAAGACACCAAATTCTACAAGGAGTGCTGGTTTGTGATCTTCGGAGACATACCACTTGACTGTCTGTCGAGCTGGTCGTTGTATCTAGCTACCCTGCTATTCTTGGGCTGTGTGAGAAGCTGGGCAACTCATGTACCATTAAACGTTTATAAAGACCGAACAAAACCCGCTAAAGCGCTCAAACGACCCGCCAGCTCGTATCGTCATCTCATTCCACCTCGCGTGATCATCTCCTTCCACCTCGCATGATCATGACTGTGAACTCGCATCCCTCTTGACCACAAGTCCGATATCATCCAGCCTTCATACAAAAGCAGTGCCAACCACCGCATTCGCCATCTCTACCCGATTGACAGGAACCCTGTTCTACCAGGCATTACGATCCCAATTTGGATCCTGCACAAATCCACCAAGCACGCGACTTCCAGTCTGCAGCAACGGATGTCMCACGACAATCTTGAGGAAACGCTCCAGCCCTCGTCTGCGATCCTCAATCACCGCATCGTCGAATCTGTTCAGGTAGACTTTGCCCGGGAGCGGTGGAATGCTAACCCGTGCGCTCTCCCTCTCGAGTAGATCGCGGAAGACTTCAAAGTCGGAATATCGTCTGCGGACTTCACTTCGGCGGAGTTTGAAGGCGGGGATGTTGGTGGAGAGTCGGATGAGATATGTCGTGTATCGAGACGAGGGAGATGCAGTGGGCTGGTGTGTTTGTGGGTCTGTAACCTGTAAGGAGGATTCGAGGTCAGCTGATGTTGTCATCGCCATGGTCGAGTTTGAAGAGTGCATCTTACCTCGATTTCCAAAAAGTTCTCTGGTACGCCGTAGATCTCTTCAAAACTCTGGGTGTGACTCTCGCGCCCGGTGCTCGCGAATCCCGTCGGAAGATTCAACTGCCCGGAGCGACCAGACTGTTGCTGTCCTTGCTGTCCTTCCTGTGTCGATGGCGCGGGCTCCGCTGGGCGCGGGTCGATGCGCTGCATGGCTACCGCAGCGATGGACCAGTGTGTACTGTTGGTCTGAAGCTTTTCCTTCGGTGACTGTCAGGATGGTATTAGCGATGGGTCTGCGGGATTTGCTGGCGATGTTCCGGAGGAGCTGTGGAGTGCACGAGACCAGAGCTGCCGTGCCGTGCCTCTGACGAATGCCGCCCCACTTCTCGCGTGGTGTTGGCTGCCGAAATTAAGGTTTCGCTGGATGGACATCGCGCCTTCCTACGGAGTATCCTAGGTATCCTTCATCTCATCACATCAATCAATAATGTTCTCTTCTCTCCTCGCCCCTATAGTGCTTCGAAGCAGGCTCTGCTTGGGTAATGTGACATGCAATTTCAAGTCGCAGGGTCGGTGGAAGAGCACATTCCCCACTGCCTTGTTCCAGAGGTATCATATCGCATTTTCATCATCACGCTGTCGAGCTTCCGTTAATCCTTCCCATCTAGCCTTTCCCAGGCCGACCAGGACAAGGTTTTGGAGCTCAGGACAGCAAGACAAGTAGCCCGCGAAGCTGGAAAACATGGACCGGTTGGCAAGACGAATTCGAATCGCAAGGCAAATGTATACAACCAGCAAGAAAGCGATCTCATTATCCAATGCATAAAGGCTGGTGCGTCTTATGCAGAGCTTGGGAGGACTCTGGATCGGTGCGGCACCTCGATCAGGAGTCGATATTTATCTTATTTGCAGTATCGAGATTCAGACGCGCCCAGAGTGAAGTGCGTCGCGCTGGGTGAAGAGATTGCATCGATCGTCAAACAGGTCAAAGCGGGAATTTCGTTCCGTCAGATAGCTCGCCAGCTCCAGGTGTCACAGGGCACTATCAGAAAACGCTACGACGCTGTATGCTCGCCCGAGGACCGAAGGACCGGAGAAAAGAAGATTTATTACACCGACGACGAAATTGACACCATTAAATTGCGTATCCGGGAGGGCATATCGCTAGTCGACATTGCAGTCGAGACCGGGAGGTCTGTCTCGGGTATCAAGCATGTCATTCACAGATATGGAATTCGTGCATCTCGTGGAGGAAACTTGACATGGAAAGAGAAAGATGCCATCCGTCCTACCTTGGAGACATGCTCTCGTCTAACCGTTTCGGCGGAGCAATCGGGCCGTGATCACGATGCGGTAGTATGAAAAGCACGCCTCATGCCACCGAAGCCTTCTGGCACCAGGAAATGGCTGTCCGCAGAGCGAAGTGAGGCGCTCCGGCTGCATCATCTTGGTAACGAAGTTCGGACGATTGCATTACAGCTGGGARGACATTCCGGCGGCACAAAAAGAATCATCCAATCCGAGCTGATTCGGCTTGGATCTGATCCTCATGTCATCAAACCGCTATGGCCACCAGAACAAGTGGATCGATTGATGAGACTTGTCGATGTTGAAGGTCTCGCCATCGCTACTGCTGCGACAGCGATGGGCGTCACAAAATTTTCCGCGGCGGCCAAGTATTATCAAGTTAGGAAAGCAAGACTAGGTTCTTCCGATTCATCATCGCAGGACACCAGCGCGCCAGCAGCTGCTGAGTGATACAGAACAAGTCGAAGCACGTTGACAGCGATACTTATTAGGCGCTTGTCTGAAGAGCCTCGTAAAATCCGCGGAAATTCTCGTGCGGGTGTCACCGCATTGTCTCTGGTGCATCCACTCAATGTGGGACTCGGCCTCGTTTGCTGGGCAACTCATTCGAGAGAGATCTATTGGATGATGACGCTCGCTGCTTGAGGCCGCTGTCTACGGAGTTGCGCCCCGAGTCGAGGTTCCACCTCTAACAGAGCTGGTCGCCACGAATAGCAACATCATGGGATCAGTACGCAGAATCGCGCCAGCCAGGCTCTCACGTAACTCTGCGAGAAAAGCAGGACCGCACATCGAAGACATTGCTTACGACGTGCAGTAATAACCAGCCGAAATAATTGATACGAGCAGCTACCGACGGGACGCTTTGATCGAGGATCCCGCAATCCCGTCTACAGCGCAGTCAGAGCAATAACACTTCCTCAACCACTCTGTTGATGCTCAAGAAGCGCAAAGATACTCTTGAAACGCAACATACACTACGACCCGCTTGTGGACCCAAGATTCCGACCCTCCGAATGCTTGCTTTCGTCCAGTAGCGGCGCCAATGGACTCCTCGAGATCCACTCCGTATCTTGAGCAATATCTGCTCTGCTGTAATCCAGCGCAGTCGACCTTCAAATTTCGCCATCCTCCTCCGTAGTGATATCCCATATGGCACAGGGCATCGCCATCGACCACATAGCACCTGATACTAGCGCCACCTTGCAGACGTACTCTTTCGTTGCGATGTCAGGCCCAGCATTCTCGCGGTATGCCCGCAAGAATCAAGAGAGCAGACCCCGCTAACCATAGATGGAACCCCAGCACTATCACCTTTGCAGCACTCATTCCAATGTCAGCGGCAGGATCCCCATACTTCGGCATCTCCCAATCGATGACGGTTAGCGATGGTCTGACCGGATCGGTCCCAGCGAGCAGAATATTCATTGGACGGAAGTCCAACGCCACCAGTGTCTGAACCTTTGCGGGAGCTCGAAACATCTCGGCAGCTCTATCAATTGCAGGCTGATCGAAGCCTTCGTTTTCCGGGATTTTCACGAGAAAGACGCCCTCTTCCGCCAGGGCAAATTTCGTAGCTGTCATGTTGGCCCAATCCTTGATCCCAGGATTATTGATGCCTGCAAGACGCATATGGGCAGTTCATTTACTAATACAAGATCCTAGGAACCTCACATCCAGGCTCTTGTTGTTGATGTACCTAATAGCGAGAACACAAGGGCTAGCGATGTCTCAGGCAGTCAGATCAGGCAGACCATCTTCTGAAGGAGCTCTCTTCGAGACCCCAGCTGTTCGCAGAAGCGCAGGGGTCGCCTGGATTCCTTATGCTTACCATCCAAACCTTTGTTAGCTGCGGATCTTGAGAAGTATGGTGAACATGATGCGAAAGGGTGGCAGTCCCTAAGCCTTCTATCAGCCACTACTCGTCATCTGTACGATATGTCCACAACCTCGAACAACAATCCGCTAGGGGCGCGGTCATTCTCGATGACCTGCATACGTGAATCAGTGGCAGCTCATACCAGCCTTCATGGGTCGCCTGGAGGCTGAAGGCTGAAGGCTGTGCGATGCAGGCATATGAAGTTGCAGCTGTGCGTGATGGTTTCTCTTCAAGCTATAGCAGGACCATACTCAAGTCCACTTGATAACCGGCTTCGTTACCCTGCCCTCCTTCAAATCACTCAACGCAGTCTCCAAATCCCTGTAATCATAAACCTTGCACAGCTTCTCCACCGGAAAGTCTCCTGCCTTCTGCATCTTACACAACATTGGGATATACACCGGCGGATTCGAATCGCCTTCTCTGCACCCCTTGAGTCCTCGACTCCCCAACAAAAACGCCTGCGGATCAATATTGATCTTCGCTCCGCTGGGCGGAATACCCACTACAGCGGCCGTGCCTCTCATGCCCAACATGTGAACCATACTTTCAATGACTTTGAGGTTTCCGGTACAGTCGACTGCATAATCCACGCCTTTACCACCAGGGGAGGTGGATTTGATATGTGCGATCAAGTCGTCGACGTTTTTGGAGTTGATGACGTCTGTTGCGCCCAGTTCGCGGGCCAGGGGAAGTTTGTGGTCGAAGATGTCGACGGCGATGATTYGCTGGACTTTCATGTATCTGGCGGCCATTAGAGCTGTGAGACCCACCGTTCCGAGCCCGAAGATAACGATTGAGGACTCAGGGTTGGGTTTTAGGATGTTCATTACTGTTCCCGCACCTGTTCTGCGTGTTAGAGGTATGCTATGAATTGGTGGTTGGAGGAGATACCAGTTTGGTAGCCGCAGCCCATGGCTGCTAGAAAGGGTATGTCTTCCTCGGGGATGCCATCTGGGAGTTTGACGATTGAGGTCTCATCCACAAAACTATGTTTTGCAAAACTTGACTGGCCGAAGAAGTGGAAGCGAACTGATTCATCTTTATGCTTGAATTTGGCAGCAGTGGTACCATCGTCTCGCACACCAAAGAGATGCAATCTCGATGCCTCAGTACAATCGGCCGGATGATCGCTCTTGCAGAACTTGCACTCGCCGCAATAGTTGATTGAAAGCAGCACGTAGTCGCCTACTTTGAGGTCCTTGTCCTTGACTTTGCTGCCAATGGCACGCACTGTACCTGCCCCTTCATGGCCGAAGATGGCGGGGAATGGACAGACTGGCAAGGCGCCTGATTGAAAGACGAGATCTGTGTGGCAGATTCCAGAGTATTCAATGTCGACGAGGACTTCGTTGTCTCTCAGCTCGTCCAGGACCACGGTCTCGAGCTTGAAGGGTTCGTTTGCGGCATGTACAACATAGGCAAGTGTTTCAACATTTTTTGTTTGGACCTCAGTCATTTTGAGGTGAATAGACGGGGAAAGAGAGAGCTGTGTAAGAGAGGGAAAGATGTTGTTGGGAGAAAGACATATCACAACCGTGGCAGACGGATGCACATCTGCTTGCCTTTCCCGAGGGAGCTATAGCTTGGTATCCTACCTGTAGAACCCAGTGTGGCAGTGCTCGCAGTTGGCAATGAGAGCAATGTCAGGGTAGAGGGCAAAGGGCAGAGGGCAGAAAGAGAGGGCGACAGGGTGAAGCTGTGCATGTACAATGTTATACCCATCACGGTCCTTCAAAGAGGACCATCACGCAAGGCCATTGACGCCAGAGGCCTAAGTTACCGTGAGGAGTTGTTGATAAGGGAGCAGCCCCGCGTCGCGGTTCTGGGGCACAGAGGAGGGGCACGGCTACAGAGCGGYCTGGCGTTGGGAATAGTCGACCGTCTGTGGTGTCATGCAGGATGCTGCCAAGGTAAGGGCCGTCTCACATGCTCATCGTTGTTCTCTGTGCATGTTACCTACCTCATCCTCGGGCTGATGAATGCCCTGAGAGAGATGTGGAGGTGAGACGGAGACRTGAAAGTCTTGGCCGTGGAGGCATGGGCCTCCCGTCCCGATAGAACACCAGCATTAACACCCTTACCACTCAGGTAATCCATCGCCGCGGGGGCGCTGGAGAGCCCTACCACCAATATTAGTACTGTATCCTTCTTTACCATCCCCATACGTCCCAATTAGGCTAATATACCATCTGTGTCGTTGCTAAGGGCTCTTAGAAGGTGTTGTTAGTTATTTTTACTATGCCCTCGCTACTTAACGAGAGTTAAGAGGCTATTACGCTCTTATTAAGCTGCCCTCCGGATATAGATAAAGATAATAAGCCTACGCGTAAACGCGCTCTACTACGCCCTACGTTACTACCGGATATACTACCCTTCGTATCGCCGCCGCCCTTCGTATCGCCGCCGCCCTTCGTATCGCCGCCGCCCTTCGTATCGCCGCCGCCCTTCGTATCGCTAGCCTATATACCTCCTCCTTCTATATAGCCGGTATTACGGAGGTTATAGCGTTCTATATCGCGTAGGCCTAAAGCGTAGGCCGTAATTAATACGATAAAGCCGAAGCGACGTCGATTAATAGAGTTTAAGGAAGAGCTAGCGCGGCCGCTAGAGGTTATAGATAAAGATAAACTAAATGTATAGGTATTAGCTATATCTATAATAGTAGCTCTAAGTAATATTCTAGAGGGCTTAGAGCCGTTATTCGTATCGCTACCTCTACTACTATAGTAGTACTCGTTCTACTCTTCTATTATTCCTTCTATCGAAGGCCGTAAGGATACGGTAGAGTTAAGCTTAGTATACTATAACTATACCGCGGAGTAGCTAGACCGGCTCCGGTCGCTTAATAAGAGGATACGTATCGAGGATAAAGAGAGGATTACGAAGGAGCGTAAGGAAGTAGAGCTTAACTTAGCTCGAAAGTAGCGATATAAGAAGATAAAGATAGATAAAAAACTAGCGTATAAGCGGAAGTTAGCGAGTAAGGCGAAGAAAGCGAACGTATCGTACATAGCTTAGAAGGTTATTAATACCGCCGTTAGTCTATCTTAGAGGATAAAGAAGGGTAAGGGTAAGGCTATCGAGCCTATCGTTATTACTAGTCTATTAAGCCGGCCTCGTATATCGCTAGAGCGCACTATGTTAATATTACGCTCTAAGGCGCCGGATAGACCGTTAGTATATCGGATAGGCCTATATTATAAGAAGGGTAAGGAACGAGAAGATAAGATATAGCTAGTTACCGGTAATAAGGATAAGGCTAATAATGTTTCGAACTAGATTAACACGGCTACTCGAACGATAAGAGGTGTATTCTTATCCGCTAGGTTAACTACATCTTACGCTCGCCTAGCGATTAATACTTAGGCCGTATAAACGTAGAAGGACGATAGTAGCTAGTATAGTATTATATAGTAATTAAGGACGTTTTATAAATAGAATAAGAAGGACCTCCGTATAGCGGTAGATATTAAACTAGAGTATAGAGTATCTCTTACGCAACAAACACTAGTATAGAGGACTGCTATAGCTATCTATCTACGTCGATTACCTAAGGATTAAGTAGCGCTAGTAGCTAGCGGTAACTTCTTAGAGGCAATTACTAAGCGTTAGACCTATACGAACGGAGGTTATAAAAATAGGGGACGTACTTACTATATTAACGGACGTAATAAGGCATTTAATTACTTGCCGGTATATAGATTATGTCTTATAGCCTAGTAGCAAGAGATTAGAACTAGAGCCCTTACCGCTAAGGAGCTAAGCGAAGAGCTACTTAATAAGTTAATTAATAAGAAGGAGCGTAGTAGCTATAGTAGTAGCGGTAGTAATATACATTCGGTACGACAATCTTAGAAGCTTAATCGATAGGCCTCTAGAGGTAGTAGTAATTAAGTTGTATATATATACAACAACACACTATTAACTATAACACTAACGCCTACACTACGCGGTAATAAGCTATTACTATCCTTATAGCCTAAGCCTAAGGATAAAGTTAAAGAGTTTATTAATTAGTATGCACCGAAGAAGGAATAGAACGGTAAGATACGGTAATAGGCCCTCTAGTCTATTAAAAAGATAATAATAGATAATAATTACTCGGTTATTAATATTACGTAGGTTAGCGAGGATTAATAGCGTAAGAAGGGATTAATACCTAGCTATAAACTGCGTATTAAACGGTGTGTAGAGGCGTTTAAAGCAGAACGAAGAAGGATACGGGTATTAGGTAGATAGTAGCAATATTTAAGGCCTAATAACTTCTAATCTAACGGTCCGATCCTTACGATTTTTCTTCGAGCTTCTTTAGCGCACTATAATCTTATTAAATATGTTCTATATTATATACTATATGTTATATAATAGTATTATTATAAAGGGGTAGGGAAAATCTATACTTTCTAAGGCCTAGTAAATCCTTCCGAGAGTTAAGAAGCTAGTCCTCTAATAGTATATAGTTACTCTAGATACCTACTCTTCTCGAAATGCTTCTATACTATATACTCGAACTCTTATTCCTATATAGCGTAGATAAGAAAGTCCTCGAAGCTAGCGTATATAGCTACCTTATGCCTATGTCGTTTAATCTATAGCTTAAGTACGTTAAAGGACTGTTCGATTAGATTAAAGTCCGGTAAGTAAGGCGGAAGCATCTTAAGGAAGTATCCGGCCTATCGAATAGCCTGCTTAATCGTTTCGTTACGGTAGATAGAGGCATTATCTATAATAAGGATTATACCGGTAGGTAACTAAGGAAGGACTATACTAATAAGCTAGTTAAGGATATCTTTAGAGGTAATAGCTCCCTACTTTAATAACGGCCTATTAAGATAACTATTTATCGTAAATATAGGTACTAGAGACTACCGTTTAGAGCGTTTAGTTAGTAACTATATATCTATAGGATAGCTAGCCGGTAACTATAAGTATTTCCTTTAGATGCGTATTAGCTAGTATACTAACCTTCGTATTACTACTAACACTATTAACACTATTAATAACGTACCTATATCTATTCCGCTTATTATACGCTAACTCGTTAATAAACACTAGGTCCTTACGCCTCTAACCGGCGCTCTTCGCTCGCTAATGCGCTCGTAGTACCTTATTCCGCTTACTAGCGATGCTTCTAGCAACCTTCCGAGTCTAGCTATGCCTTACTAATAGCGCGTATACTCTACGGTCGCTATATACTACGCTAGTATTATCGAATATCTACTAGGCTATCTTATCCGCGTAGGTATCCGGCTACGAATATATATACTATAAAAAGGCGGACTCTTAATTAGGTATAAGGAAAGGCGGACGGCTAATACGGACACCTCTAGGCGGATAGGGCGTTCTAAATAGCTTATAACTTAGCCGTATCTTACTAACGGTTAGATAAGAGACTCTATAGGTCCTTCTAATACTCCGGTCGCTATAGTTAGAGGTTTCGAAGGTAATACGTAGTTAGTAGTAGAGGCTATTATTAAGCCGTTTACTAGTGGACGCCTTCTAAGGCTTATCCTATAACGTATTAAACTAGCGAAAAACTATACCTTTTATACGGACTACTTACCGACATAGTATAAACGATATTAGAGGTAATTAGACTTTAATTAGGTGGTATAGAGACTGCTATAGTACTAATATTAGTAATAGGGCCCTCTAGCTGCCCGCGGAGGTGGAGGATCTTAGTGGTAAGGGTGTTAATGCTAGTGTTCTAAGAGCTTACCTAGATTGGRTCTTCCAAGTTCACGATGAACCTAACTTACCTTACCTACACTTCATCTTCCCTGGCCAGGAACTTTGGGAAATCTTTCGTCCGCATGGCCTTGGTCTCGCTGTTCCGCAAACAGCTGCCCATACTGCAAGGCCCCCACAGTAACCGGTGGACTCGCTCACATGCTGCTCTGTGAATCCCCGTGAGATTTACGTCCAGCGTGAAACCGACGACGACAACGACGACGACGACGACGACGACGACGACGACGCCGGTGCCCGCGAAACCCTTGCGGCACGGATGCCCATACTCCCGGGAAGAAGACGAGCTGATCCAAACTCGTAGACGACAAGGCGTCCCCTACCGATCCATCGCGACCGAGCTAGGCGTGGCATCTCACATTGCTATCAAGCGTCGTTATCAATATCTCCAGAATCACCCCAACGCGAAGAGCTGTAATTTCTCACGGCTTACGCCTAAAGTACCCTGGAGCGCGGCGGACAAAGAGCTGGTCGCGCGGCGCATCCACGCAGGCGAAAGCCTTGGTGACATTGCCCGTGACATGAACCGCACCTATGCATCTGTGACAGGGATGCTCGACAGGCTACCAGAGGAATCACCCTATGCTATTCCCAGGCGCAAAAAGATGAAGTCTCAACCATACACCAACGATGAACTTGCCCTGATCGCCACGTGGCATGGGGATGGTGTCAGTCTGAGGCAGATTGGCGCTCGGCTCGGTCGATCAATGCACAGCGTGGTATACGCAGTATATCATTGCAGAACTTTTTGCAGCGCGCCGACTACATGGACACTTGCAGAAGATGCCAAGCTCCTCACGCTTCTTCGGTCTGGTCTCACTGTCTCAAAGGCCAGCGTGTGTCTGGAAAGGACTCTTGCAGCAAGCCAGAACCGTCTCCATCAACTAAAGGCAAACCTGTTCCCCGGTGGACCTCGTAAGTGGTACATGACAATCTCAACCGAAGAGCTTCGCCAGAGCGGTTTGCTGTGAGCGTCGGACCGAGTAAGAACAGGGTCCACCCACGAGCAGGGACGTGGAGCTCATCGAGTGCCATGTACGAAGGAGATCCTCCCGTTGAGCGCCAGCAACACTTTTCGCAACGGAGCTCCAACACTCACAAGCATTGTCATCTCTCACGAAAGAGTACCCTGGTACCAGGGAGGTCCGTCTACCTGCTCCCTCCCTTAGCTGTGCTCCACGGCCTTGTCTTCACCTTGGGGGCGACTTCAACTCAAGACAGCCACTCGAAGCACCGAAAGAGCTCGCTGGTAATGTTTTTCCTGTCCGTCGGGCCATGTATGCTCAGGATTATTGAGGGACTGCTCGCTCTGTCGATCGAAGAGGGCGCGGATTTCGAGTAGCTGTCACCCTCTCCCATCATGAACACCGGTGCCGCAGCCTATATGCACCAGACCTCTGAACCACACGCCCTGTAAACGCCCAAACCAAAACGCCTCGCCACCAACACTTTTGAGAGGAACAAGCAAGCGGCACTGCTCTTATCGCCATGCATAAAAAGTCGGATGCTAAAGCATATCGAGTCGTGCAATCCTGTTGGTCTTTCTACGGAGAACATACAGAACGCGGCAAACGCTACAGACTTCGGACTGTGCGTTCTCGAGACTTGCACAAGGACCACCCTCAGCAAACGCGAATTAGTACAAGAAGCAAGCGGCTCTGCTGTTATCGATTTGCCTCGCTGCTGCAACGAGCATTTTTTCCAATGCCGAAGCATTCCGCAGACGTCCATAATGGTGTTTCCTCCGTACAGAGTCCAATCGCACTTGCATATGCAGACTTCCTGTCTGGGCTCTGTATGCATCCACCTCAAAATTGACATCAGCCTTGCAGGTCGAGTGATGGAGCGATTGATTAGATTATGCACCGTCGATCACTAGTGTGGACTCACAGACTTGTTCCATACCTCGGATTGGGCCGTGGACAAAGTCGAGTGCGGGACAGCGACTTGACAGACTCGTGCATCGGAGCTTGCCATGGCCGAGGTCAGGTTTCGCAAGTGCAATGCACAGAATGCACCGCCAGATATGGATCACTGTGGACAACAGTAGACCGGGTCTGAACAATCGATGTCTGCAAAGGCAAGTCATGGGAGGCCTGGCATGAGACCTACCATCAATCCTCCGTTCTCTATTGCGAAGCAAAAACATTGCATCATTTTACACTCAGCGTACATCATCTACATGCGAGCGCACATCCTGCAGATTTGCCGTGGTTCTTTGCTTTTACCTCCGCAGGTAGCGCGGAGGGCGTCACGATCGCCGAGGTGTCTAAAGCTTCTTCCGGCCTTTCAAGGTTCGCGCGACAATTCGTTGTCGATCTTTCGGTTCTTGTGGCCACCAAGCATCATTCTCCGAAACTAACCCCGCGTGTCCACTATCATCACATCAGATTGATGAGATCTCGGCCAGGCGAAAGGGTTCGGCTATTTTCAGAGGTATCTGGAGAAGCACTACGTGCTACTGCCAGCTTCAAGTAGGCGTTGATGTTGATCTTCCTGGTAGGTTCGAATAAGTAGTAAAGCGTCCCACACTTGCTTGCTAGACCAGAGTCTTAGTATATTTTCCTCTTCTCTTTTCGTTGTATGCCAGCCACTGGTGCTCTCCATTTCAACCAGAACGAAGACACAAATCTAAGCCAGCGGATCTGGCCAAATTCAGTATGAGGCTCGGAGCACAACTCACATTCCTGGCCTTCTGGAGCCAACAAGTGGCAGCCGTGACATACATCCAGAAGTCGCAGTACTGTGTCTCGGCATGTTCAACGGCACTACAACACGTCTCTTTCGGAGGCCAGATGCCAGCGATGATGGCTCCTGCAGTTCCATGTACCAGTCAACTTTACATTGATTCTCTCTTCTATTGTGCAGCGACGTACTGCACTGAGAAACAGGTGGATTCGGGGCTGAGCTACAGTAATGAGACCTGCAAGTCAGAAGCCGGACAAGCCCTACCCAGCTACACAGCGTTCAAGGCCAACCAGTATCCCATGTCGATCGCGAGAGTTCAGAGGATATCTCAAAAGGAAGCAAAAACCAAGACCGACGAACCTGTTCTTCCCGATCGAGGCCTCTTCGATCTGGGCTATGCGTCGACTTCTGCGACGAACAAAAGCGACTATTTCAACTGGACATTCACCTGGGCTTTGTATGGATATTGGGGCCTGGTCATAGTCGTTGGAATGGTCAACCGCATCGTACAATTTGGACGCCATCGCAGGAGTCCTCAGCCCGATCTCATTCGAGGCAAGGTTATTGAGCGTCAATCGGGATCGACCATTGCTCGGGCTCACAGAGCAGTTCGTCGAAGTCTGCTGATGCCTTTGGCTTTTGGCAATAGAGATGGGAAAACGCCGAAGTGGGCAGCGATTCCGTCGAGGACAGAGGCACTGCTGGTCGCGACTTACGTCGTGATGAATATTGTTTTCATGTTCCCGGGCTACGATCTTGTTGAAGGCAACTTGAAGTATGTCTTCAAACATTGTCTCTGTGGCAACAAGAGCTAACCGGCGGCTACAGCTCTCCGGAGAAGAGGATGCAGCTAGGTCATTATGTCTGCAATCGAGCGGGTACCTTGGCTCTTGCCAATATTCCTATCATCTGGGTGTTCGCTGCTCGAAACGATCCTCTGCTGTGGTTGACTGGTAAGATCATGATGACACGAAGCCTTCCTAATCAATACTGACAAGTCTCTCTATAGGTTGGTCATACGCTACTTACAGCCAGTTCCACCGATGGTCCGCCAGGATTGCTACCTTACTCGCTATCGTTCACGCTTCCGGATATTCCATTCTGGATACCTGGCAGGGACGCTACCTAACGGCGTGGACAGTTGAGTTCTGGTACTGCGGGGCGATTGTGTGTCATGCGTCTACCTTTCACGTAACACGAATTATGCTGACCACAAGTGTAGGCTGTGGTATCCATGTCCGTTCTCGTTGGGTCTTCGATATATATGGTCCGCAAGCGTTGGTACGATGTTTTCCTCGTCCTCCACATTTCGTTCGCCGTGGTACTGTTGGTTGCGCTCTGGTTCCACCTCAAGATTCACAATGGGGCTTACAATGGCTACATCTGGCCTGCCGTAGCGATCTGGGCGCTTGACCGATTGCTGCGCATTTCACGCGTCGCATACTTCAGCCTCATACCGAGCATCAAAGGGGTCCAGGCTACCGCGGAATGGGACGAGTCGAAGGATCTTGTTCGTTTGGACGTCACGGATTTCTTCAAGAATACAAAGACGACACCTGGTGGTTTCTACTACGTCTACGAGCCGGGTAGAATCCGCGGGTATGAATCTCATCCTTTCACGCTGTGTAGTTGGAACTATCCCAATCCAACGTCGACCAAGGGGTCCGAAACGTCTTCGATGGAGGAGAAGCGCGAAGACTATGATGCGAACCTCCGCGCGGAGTTCAAAGACGTCGAATTGGGCGTCGATAAAGTCATCACAAACGAGACAATCCCAGACACAAGAGGATCCAACGACGCTCGCCACACGTTCCTCATTCGACCCAAAGATGGCTTTACTCAGCGTCTTCGACACAAACATTCGAAACAATTCCATGTTCTCCTCGAAGGACCTTATGGTCTGGAGCTATATATGCACCAATACGCGGCAGTGGTCATGATCGTCGGTGGCTCAGGCATCACGGCAGCCGTGTCGCGTACATATTCCCTCCTTCGAAAGACAGCGCCACCATACGTGCGGCTCGTCTGGGTGGCGCAGAAGCAGGCTACGGTCGATGATGTCTGCGCTAATGAGCTCAGTGGCGTCTTGGGGAACTCGCGGTTCAAAATGGATGTCTTTTTGACTTCTGATGAGACTAAAGGAGTCCCTTTGAACGATGTTCCATATGGGCTTCACTCAGGACGACCGAATGTCGATGTGATTCTGGATGAAGAGCGGGATAAATGTGCGGGGAGTATGGCAGTCTTCTGCTGTGGACCGCCTGGTCTTGACGCTAGTGTGAGGAATTCAGTGGTGAGGTTGTTGCGGGAGGATGGGCCGCATGTTGCGTTTCTTGAAGAACGTTTCTCGTGGTGATGAATCGATACGGCTCGTTCTATACGATGCATGCAAGTGATATGATGATTACGATTTACGATTGATTGGATGAAAAACTCTGATGCCTAATTGTGCATTGCTGAGAAGACACTGCGACCACCGGGAGGATCTGGAGGACGTGACGTCAGCTGAGCGGCTCAAACCAACTCACAGTACATGTATACATATACTTTACATCAACATTCACTGCAGCAGATCGCCTCCCATCTGGCTTCCTCGCCTTCCATCACAATGGCCAGCTCGACATTAGAAAACCTCCCTCGGGACATCCTAATCATGCTGCCAGAATACATCCACAACATCGAAGACTACACAAATCTCTCTTCGACATGCAGGATACTGCGAAGCTGTATGACAGCCGCAACMCCAAAAGACATCTTGAGACTTGCAGCCGCGCAGAAGGATGTCTTTTTCCGTCCGAGTCCGCTGTTCCTTGTCATGGCCACGGCGAAGGAGCTGGGGAATTGGGCACGGATCTCGGATGCTAATGAGCAGGAATTTGCGCGAAGATGTCGAGAGGGGAATTCGGGTTTGCTGCAGTTGGCGTTGCAGCATTGTGGGTTGAGTATGGAGAGGATTCGGGAGTTGCATCTCGCGAGGTTCGAGATTATCAACCCCGTGATTGATATCATTGATCAGTGTGTGGGACAGCAGTGGTATGCGATTGAGGATTTCTGGAGTGGAGGTGTTAGCGACCGTGAGTTGTGATTCGATGATGAATGAAGTTTATGGTTCATGGCTGATTTAATGGTCAGCGTGCACGATCGATGCGGAACCAGCAGAGACCTTCTTCAATCTAGCAATCTACGGGGAACTCTTCTCCCCAGATCTCGCTGCCCTTCTCCAACAGGACACACAGTCGAGGAGATTGAAAGTCGACACCCGTCTCAAGTTTTCAAGATACTGTGTGTCGGACATTGCGGGGTATGGCAGTGGTGGGGGCAACAGCATCGCTCTGAGCTGGATGATCAAAAGTAGTCGTTGGAGACCGCATTGGCAAGCCATGAGAGAAACCGCTGCAGCTCCTGACTTCCAGGAGAACTTTCCTGTTGATTGGCTGTATCATGAAGACCATCAACGGGTAGAAGACCCGGAGGCAGCCCTTGATTGGAGGCAGCGACTTTGGGGAAATGTGATGTTGTGTCAAGGATTAGAGGGTTTGGGGATGATGAGGCCGGACTTGCGGCATGCATGGATAGATCGGGTTAGGATGTGGAGAGATCAGATCGCGAGGTTGGAGAAGGAGCCTGAGTTGGTGAAAGTGGGACGGCAGGCGACTTTTGAGTATCCTTTTCTGCTGGGTGATTTGAACTCGGCGCATGCATTTGCAGTTGCTGAGAGAAGAGATCGAAATTTGACGTACTTTGTTGATTGGAGCGAGGTCTGAGAACTCCCATAGCGAAGCGAAGGGCCAGTTCGAAGGCCGAAGCGGAGCGTTAAATATAATCGAAACGAACATACCTTCCTCTTATATAGGCTCTAGGGGGCTTCGAAAGATTTGAAGGCACACGCTCTGATTGGTTCCTTAAAAAAAAGTTATTCATCACGGGGAGCAGTTTACGGCACTGAGATTATTCGTCTTGAGCTTCGGGCTGATTTGCAGAGTTCTTGAGAAGGGAGAGATGAAGAAATTGTTCATTCACAGCAGCACAATATCGTAACCGCCCTTGGGTATCCTAACAGCATCATCGTCGTTACCATACTTCCGCCTTAGAATCTCAAAAACGATCAAGCCGGCACTCGTACTTGGAACCTGTCTCAAAGTACTCATGAAGAAGTCCCGGTATAACCAACGGCGCAGGCCGCCTTCTTTCCTAGCAATGACATAGCAATGCTTTAGCGATTTTCGATAAGCTGCGGCATAGAGCTTCAATGCTCGTGTTTTGACCTCTCCAGGTTTCGCGTGGTCGTGGGAATCTATCCAAGCCAGGCGACCGTAGTGAAGTTCTTGTATTCGACTCATGGGATGCTGAATCACGGCTTGTGAAATTGACGCCGCGGCTCCTGCTAAGAGGAGGAATGTTGGTTCCACCATATAATGAGGCCGTATTTCCGGTCTTCCATAGATACTCGCTTGAGCGGAAATGCTCTCTTTCTGGTTCTTGGAGAGGTTTCCCCAATCACCATAGTATGTGGAGACGAAATTGTAAAATGCCTGTGATTTGATGTATTCGAAAGTGGCGAAGAAGACTCCGGCTCCTAGAGAATCTCGGACGAAAGAGAGCGACCAGCCTGCAAAGATTCCTCGGGCGCCAATTTCATTCGTCTTACGAAGTGCGTATTGCCACATGTTGGCGTACTTTCCAGCCGCCATTTCGGTGGAGTGGAAGCGAACTTGCAGGGCATCGAGAGGTGCTGCGAGTACGCTTTGAACCGAGCCGGCGAGGAAGCCGGCGGAGAAGCAGGTGAGTGGGGAGGCGGGTGGGTAGACTCTTTTGGTGGAACGGGAGGATGGTTCATGCATCAGACCCAGAGTTTGCAAGTATGCCGTGTACAAGACCGCTCCGACGGCAGTGTTGGCAATGAGAGGGGGCAGAACCATGTTGGGGAGGAACTTCCATCCATGTTGATTGACCGCCKACGCGAGGAGGGCGGGTGAAGACAGACGCCAGCTCCACGCTTCTCCCGCTTGGATGCGAGGGTTGATAGCCCGCGCATAGCCCTGTAAGGTGATCAGGTTAATTCAACTCGCAGTCTTGAACAAGTCCGGTTCTTGGCCTTGTTTGAGTGATAGCATACCATGTAACTACAGCATCGTCAGAGATACAAATAATGTATGTGGATGATCAATCCCCTCATCTACCCTCACTTACTCTATTCGTGGGCGGAAGAAGGCTTTGATGGGCGCTCGAAAGTAAAAGGTCAAGAGACGWGCACTCAGCGCTCGCATCGTGGCGGCAGAGAAGCCCGTCGACGCATGTTCTTTGCGCTTCTTCTTCTTCTTTCGATCCTTCTTCTCCACCAGATATCCATCGTGATTGCTTGTCCGAGCACCAGCTGGGACATCACTGCCCTGACTCACACTGTCGTTCATGCCCAAATTGGGAATAAGATAAGATATTTACCGCCTCATCGCATCTCAACATCGATCTTGCCGCAGTGAAGTCGACGAGCAAGAGTCGCACGTGCCATATCAGTTTGCGGATCGGCGCTCGGACCACGCTGCAGCCTAAGCTCCCATTCTCGTTTCAATCACGAACTCGCGTCGCCGCGTTGGACAAAACATCTTCTTCTCCCTCTCATCCTTCCGTCACCTCCTCCCCGACCATCACCTCCAACACCGCCATCGCCGTTACACCTGCACGGCTCCCTCGACATCGCCTATCATGGCGGAGGAAGTCAGCATCGATCCGACGGCCTTTCACAACCGCCTCTCCGCGCTGATCACCGCATGGAAGGCCGACAAGCGCAGCGGCAACCATGTCTTTGGTGACGTGGGCAGCATCGTTATTGTTATGGGCAAAAGCGACGAGACCCAGGGTTTCCACAAGGCGAATGGTACGCAGTTCTGGCTGTTGGGATATGAGTTCCCGGCCACGCTGTTTCTCATCACCCTCGAGGCAATGTACATTGTCACCACCAAGAAAAAGGCAGCCTATTTGGATGTTCTCAAAAACGGAAAGACACCCGTCGAGGTGCTGGTGAGGGGCAAGGATGCCGCGGAGAACACCAAGCAGTTCGAGAAGATGACGGAGACGATCAAGGCTGCTGGAAAGAAGGTCGGCGTGCTCACCAAGGAGACCAGCACTGGACCATTTGTGACCGAGTGGAAGACTGCACTGGCAGAGATCAGCAAAGAGATCGAGGAGGTGGATGTCAGCGCAGCGCTCTCGTCAGCCATGGCTGTCAAAGACGAGAATGAGCTGCGCGCGATCAGAAACGCTGCCAGTGCCTCCGCATATGTCATGAGAGATTACTTCGTCGAGACCATGTCGGATATTCTGGACAAGGAAAAGAAAATCACCCACAAGGCCCTCTCCAACAAGGTCGGAGACAAACTGGACGATGAAAAGTTCTTCCGCGCCATCAAAGGATTGGGCAAGTTTGACTCGATGCAGCTGGATTGGAGCGTGGCGCCAATCGTACAGAGCGGTGGCAACTTCGACCTCAAACTTGCCAGCGAGCCGGACGACAACAACCTACACCAGCCGGGTGTCATCATCTCCGCTCTGGGATTGCGATATCAGACATATGCTTCGATGATTGCGCGGACATATCTGGTTGAGCCGAACAAGACTCAGGAGAGCATGTACAAGTTGCTGCTCTCGGTGCACGAGACGGTTATCAAGGAGCTTCGGGATGGTGTGCAAGCGAAGGATGTCTACAACAAGGCAGTTGCTGTCATCAAGGCAAAGAAGCCCGAGCTTGTGGAGCACTTTGTCAAGTCTGTTGGTTCAGGAATTGGTATCGAGGCCAAGGATAACATTCTTGTGCTCAATGCCAAGAATGTCCGCCAGTTGAAGGACGGCATGACATTCTCAATTACCACAGGATTCTCCAACCTGGAGAACCCAAGTCCTCGCGACAAGAAGCGTGACGGGACATACTCTCTATTGCTGAGTGACACAGTCCGCGTGACTGCCGGATCCGATGCGTACTGTTTCACCAAGGATGCGCCGCGCGACATGGAGAGCGCTTCGTTCTTCTTCAACGATGAAGAGGAAGAGAAGAAGCCAAAAGCCAAGCCGAAGAAGGATCCACGTGTGGGAGCTGTCGCTTCTTCAAACATCACCAAGACTCGTCTACGGGGCCAGGGTGGTACCACACAGAATGAAGAGCGAGAAGCGGCCCGCAGAGCCCATCAAAAGGAGCTGCACGACAAGAAGCAAAAGGACGGTCTGGCGCAATACACTGAAGGACACGGCAACCTCAACGGTACGCAAGAAAAGAAATTCAAGCGATTCGAGTCCTATAAGCGGGACACTCAGTTTCCATCCCGCGTCAAGCAGCTTGAAGTGTTGGTCGATCAGAAGAATTACTCACTGATCCTCCCCATCATGGGCCGTCCGGTACCCTTCCACATMAACACGGTCAAGAACGCCACCACCAGCACAGAAGGTGGTTTCTGCTATCTTCGTATCAACTTTCTCTCCCCCGGCCAGGGTGTGGGCAGGAAGGATGATCAACCCTTTGAGGACCCCGGTGCACACTTTATTCGCTCGTTGACCTTCCGTAGTAAGGACAACCAGCGCATGGAAGACATCAAAGATCAAATCACCGAGATCAAGAAGGCTGCCGTTCGCAAGGAGCAAGAGAAGAAGGACATGGAAGATGTTGTGGAGCAAGACAAGCTTGTTGAGATCCGCAACCGCCGCCCACTCAGACTCGATGGTATCTACCTGCGACCTGCAATGGAGAGCAAGCGTGTCGGAGGATCCGTTGAGATTCACCAGAACGGTTTGCGCTACAATCACATTGGCTCTGCAAAGGTCGACATCCTATTCAGCAACGTGAAGCATCTTTTCTTCCAACCTTGTGTCGGCGAGCTGATTGTCATCATCCATGTCCACCTTCACAACCCAATAATGGTGGGCAAGAAGAAGGTCAAGGATCTGCAATTCTACCGCGAGGCGACTGAGATGCAATTCGACGAGACTGGCAACCGGAAGCGTAAGCACCGCTATGGTGATGAGGAGGAGTTCGAAGCCGAGCAGGAAGAGAAGAGACGACGAGCACTACTTGACAAGGAATTCCGCAACTTCACCGAGAAGATTGCCGATGCCGGAAAGAGTGAAGGTATCTCCGTTGACATGCCTTTCCGTGACTTGGGATTCAACGGTGTGCCGAGTCGCAGCTCCGTCACCATTCAGCCTACGACCGACTGTCTTGTCCAATTGACGGAACCACCTTTCATGGTCGTCACGCTCAACGACATCGAGGTTGTGCATCTCGAGCGTGTTCAATTCGGACTGAAGCAATTCGACATGGTCATCGTTTACAAGGACTTTACACGACCACCCTCTCACATCAACACCATTCCGGTGGAATCTCTCGACAGCGTACGAGATTGGCTGGATAGTGTCGACATCCCCTTTACTGAAGGTCCCCTCAACCTGAACTGGGCAACGATCATGAAGACTGTGATCCAAGACCCTCACGAGTTCTTCAAGGATGGTGGATGGTCTTTCCTCTCCAACGAAAGTGATTCCGATGGTGAGGACGAGGAAGAAGAGGAGAGTGCGTTTGAAGTCTCAGAGGAGGATCTCGCCAGTGATGAGAGCTCCGAAGACGAGAGTGAGTTTGACGACGACGCAAGTGCAGATGCTAGCGAGGAGGATGGTAGCGACGACGAGGAAGGAGATGATTGGGATGATATGGAGAAGAAGGCTGCGAGGAAGGATCGTGAAGGAGGACATGACGATGATGAGGATGCGGGCAAATCCAAGTCTAAGACGAAGTCGAAGAAGCGGTGAGATGTACCGCGCAAGATTCGAAGCAGGCTGGACTGGGAATCTGTTTGATAGCGGGCGTTTTTATTCACTTTTACGAGATGCTTCTYACGTAGCTTTGGAACGCTGGGAAGGGAGGATAGCGAGAAACCAGGCCGAAGAATACTGTAGTTTGTATACCTTTGTTTTCTGGCGCGCTACCAGGACATGCGTTGAGAAGACGAACGAATCTTAGCATTGCATTCACAAATGTCCATCGTTCTTCCTTTATAGTCGCTGCAGTTGAATACATGTGTGTTCATTGATCACCACAGCGGGCAGAAGTAAGTTGATGACAGAGACTTGTTGGATTCACTTTTAGCTGGACAAGAATAACTTCTGTTGCCTTGCTACCCTAACCAGCTGACATGTAGTACACGGATGGAGCCTCTCAGCTTCCGTTTGCTCAAGGCATGTACATGCCATGTCCCTTGTGAGATGAGCCATGTAGAAGGAAGGCTGGAGCACGTCGAGATGCACAGGAGTTTTCCGCCGGCGTCAACGATCTGAAAGATGAAGCAGTGATTTCATCGGTCAGTACAGACGGGAGCATTCTCTCACATATRAATGAATAGTGAGGAGTATCATTCATCAAGTAAGCAAGTAATCAAAAAAGCTCTCATCCTAGGAGCATCCCAAGTAAACCTCCTTGAAATGCAACGCAATGCAACAAAAAACCACAATCATAATCATACCCTGTCATCACATCCACCTCCCTCTCTTTCTTCACTTCCACCCCGCTACCCAGCAGCAAAAGTACTCCTCTTCCTCAATCCCTCCCCATACCACCAAAGAATAAACGGCGCCGGCACTCCCACGGCAATGCCCACAAACGCCAACACCGAATTCCCCCATCCATACCCCAACGCTCTATACATATAAGGCGCGAACAACGGAAACGCGAACCCTCCCAAACTTCTAAACACCGCTGTCGCAGCAATCGCGCTCGCTGCATACCGCGTATAAGCGTCTACCAGATATGTCTGACAATTTTGGAAAACGAGCTGGTTTCCTGCGGCGAAAATCATGGTTCCGATGTTGGGAACTATCCAGTGAGTTTTGTTTTGTGCAGACCAGCCGTAGATCAGGAGGCCAATGGGCACCATGACTGCTCCCGGAAACATCAAAGGAACGCGAAACTCCGATCTTGATTCGTTTCCGTTTTTCGCGCGGAGGGATTTGTAGATTCTATCTGCGAAGATGGCGGCAATTTGTGTTCCGATGAAGAACCCCAGTCCGAGGGAAATGTAATTCAATCCTGCGAGGCCAGGAGACTGGTGGTAGACGTTATGCCAGAGCATAGGGAAGCTTGAGAGGACTAGGTATAGGACGCCGTAGACGTAGCCGATGTAGAGGGCGAGGACTTGGACGATGGGTTGTGTGAAGAGGAGGATAAAAGGTCTGGACAAAGCTGTGCCGACGTGGGAGGAGAAGCTGCGATTCGGTGTGTCGAATTCTGTGTAGAGGTCCTTATTACCTGTCGCCTTGATTTCGTTGTTCTTTTTCCGCTTGAGGATTTCGGCGGCGTAGGTCTCTTTGAGGAAGAAGAGGCCCAGGACTTGGATAAAAGCGGCGGCAATCGAGGTTGAGTAGAAGACCCAGCGCCAGGTGGAGTATTGAGCAATGAAACCGCCAGCGATTGGACCGATTGCGGGTCCAAGGAGAGGCATCAATGAGTAGAGGGCCATTGCTCTGCCGCGTTCCATTGGGGACCATATATCAGCGAGCACGCCTCCGCCAATACCGAGTGGTGCGCTTCCACCAAGACCGGAGAGGAAACGAAAGGCGATCATCTGTGGGCTAGTAGTTGCAAAGCCGGCAGCTAGGTTGAATATGAAGAAGAAGACATTGCTAAGTTGAAGGACAATTCTCCTGCCGAATAGCTCTGACAAAGGACCAAGTAAGAGAGGCCCGATGGCAAATCCGAGAATGAACACAGACATTGCCAGTTCGGTTAAGAGTCCACTATCGGTAGTGCCGAGATCCTCCGCAACACTTTGCAACGCTGGAGCGACCATTGTACTGGAGACCGGTGCAATAAAGGTGAAAAGAGAGACTGTGATGGTGGCCATCCACTTTCGCCTCTTGGTCCAATTCTTGGGATTGGTTGGATCGTGGGGTCCATCCCAATCGACAAGGTTCGCGTCCTTCTCGCCCTTGAAAGACTTCTTGGAAGCGCCGCGTCTTAGAGTGCCACCACGGCCGAGTTTCGTTCCAGAACTCTTCGATACAGCTCGCACGACTTTGATCTGACCAAATGCCTCTCCATCATGCTTGGGGGATGCGCCTTGCATCTCTTCTTCATCCCATTCCTCATCACTGAGCGCCTCTTCCGCGGCCTGATAATCGTGGACGGCTCCAGCATAGTAATCGAGATCCGAGACAATTAGATGCAAGTCGACAATCTCCTCCCTGGGTCCACTCCTCTGCGATCGCCTCGACCGTTGGGATGCCCGTCTGTTGAATGCTTGACCTTCATTAAACCATTGAGGTGGGGTCGAAGTGTTGACACCTCTAGTACGGATGGGTTCGAACTCGGGCGCTAGCCATGGAAACTCTTCGGTGGTTGTCGGTCGCAGTCTCGCTGTCTCAACTTCCTCAATGGGTCGGTTCTGTAGAGCATGAGAATCGTCTGTCAATTCGCTGTAACGGCTGTTCCAAGACTTCACGGTGCCTACTGTGCTTCTAGGCGTTTGTGACATCTCGTAGATTTCTCTGCAAGAGGTAACACGTACGCCGTTCCTGTGACCTGGACGGCCGTAAAGTAGCTATATGTCGGTCGGTCGGCGTGGCGGATCGTTGCTAAGCTGACTGCTGATGTGGTAAGGTGGAGGAAGGATTCATACTGCGGCGTGTACCACAATCGTATGGAGGTGATGCCATCATGCTGCGGAAGGGGATGCGGAGTTTCGACTGGAGTATGAAGGTCTTCTGCAGACCCCAGTTGGTTGTTGTTTCACCGCGTCGGGGATGCAAGGTTTCAACGCGGAGCTGCTAATTGCAGTGGTAGTTCTCGCGATTCGCGATTTGGACAGGGTTCCGTTGGGTTATGGTTGTACGGATAAGTGTGGGGACCCGAAACACCACGCGACATTTTCTGAATGCAACTTCATGATGTATATGCAAAGAAATAGCGGTAGTTGAGAGGCGATCAAAAGGGAACATCTAGACAAACCGTTGACACAATTTGAGTTGCTGAGAGGCTTTCTCGGGAGAGTCGGAKGATGACAGCCTTCATTTTCACGCGATTCAAGTGCATYTTGTGAGACCCAAGAAACTGAGATCGGCAGCACAGTTAGTGTAACGCTATTCTTGCTGCTCGTGGCTCCCACGCTGTCGGCTTCCAGTGTGCAAAGCGTGTCATAGACAACTTGTCGGCGTGAGCGAAGTCATCGCAGTCATCGTCTGCAGTGTGGTGGAGCCCGATTGCGATGTCATGATCCGCGTCTGGAATCCAGCTCCGCAGTCAGATGAGAGTAAAAGAAGAAATGACCTCGTCGACGTGGAGGAGCTCGCTGACGTGGGTTCCAAAAGCGCGTTGGGATGGAGCGCAGCCGCAAGAAGGGTGTATTTTGCTGCGTCAGTCTCCTTTTGGGACGATATGACCCACCTGCTAGAATTAGCATTCCAGATTCCTAACAGCGCATACAGTGCAATGTGCGTATGCGTATCTGCATGTGTATAGTGGTACCCGGTAGGTGAAGATGGAATGCGACCACAAAATGACGAGAGGATGTTGTCAGGATAGAACAGATCAGGACAGAAGTCGCAGGACCGACAGTGGTGGGACGGAACTTGCCGGGATCGAGCCGACTCCCATCCACACAGATAGGGCAGGTCGGCAATAAGGAGACCATCTTCCCTTCCTCCATTTACCTCACAAAGGCAAATTGACCAACATAGTCACGGCGCAATCCCAAGCCTCTGGAGTCGACCATGAGGATTTAATCCCCGCCGTCAAGGCAATCAAGGCGCCCAGGCACCTGCTCGCTCTCCGGCGGTTCTGCCAAAACAAGACTTGGCAAGCAGATGTTCGACTGCTACAGAATACTCTATCGGCATCTTCAAGGCCATACTGTTACGTGCATTTCCGGACAGTGTTATCGATTGCGTGATCAAGGTGCCCCGGTCAGTCGTACCAACAACCGTATGGAATGGACAGATGACGAAAAATCTCGTGGCGACGTGTAGTAGAAGGGAAACCCAGGCATAGGTATATACACTCCATTCACGAGCTCGCCCAACAGCCTCAAGTGCGTCTAATTGACCGCATGTGTTTCCACCAAAGACCGAGCTACGCTTCGAGCATTGCCCCGCATCATTCAACTCTCCGCCCTCACTCCTACTACACCCACCATGGACCACGATTCGCCTCCACTTGATCCGTTTGCTATGCCTCGATTGGAGGATCTGCCTCCATTCGATATGTCTCTGTTCGAAGGATCTCAGCCTATTCCACCGCCAAAGGTCGTTAGTGACGAACAGCACATACGTAATCGACTGCTTCAGCCCTGGACCGAGCTCACCAAAGCGGAATCACTCTGCTATGCTGGAGACGTGTGCGCCGCAACAACAACGATCAATCATATACTCGATAAAGGCACACAGCCCGATGAACTGCACTACTGCCTCTTGGCGGCCATTCTCGCAGGCAGCGAGAGTCTGGTACGAGTACTCCTGGACAACGGCGTGCCCATTGACTCCCAGAATATCAAGGCGGCGATTCGACGAAAGTCCTCGACAATGCTTTCGCTCTTTTTGCACCATGGATGGGACGTTAACGAGCAGGAGGATTGGTGCACTCCCCCACTTCTCGAGTGAGTTGACCCATCACCACGTGTTTGTTGTACTCCACAGCATTGACCTAGCGCAGATATGCCGTCGCTGAAGTCCCGGATGAACCTTTGATACAATGGTTTTTGGACAACGGCGCTGATCCAAACACAACTTCACAAATGGATCTCACGCCACTCTCCACAGCTGTGTCCTTTGCGCCTTTGGCCATCGTCAAGCAGCTCTTCGCCCATTGCCCTCCGGACACCTTCTTCCAGGGACAGCTGCTCCACTGGGCCGCGGGTAGAATAGCCGACGATGCAGAAGATGTTGTACGGCTGGTTCTCGAGCGCTGCCCGCCTGACATTAACAAAATAAAGTACGAAAACGATGAGTTCTCGTTTGTAATGCGTAGATGTGCCGGCTTAGGAACTGCCCTTCACGATGCTGCCACGTCCGGACACCCAAGCGTTGTTCAAATGCTCCTCCAGATGGGTGCGGATGTCTCTATCCGCGACTCCTGCGGAAAAACGGCTCTGGAAGTTGCGAAGGCGCATGGCCATCACGCTGCTGCCGAGTTGCTCCAATGCGCCGAGAAGAGTCCCGCGGCGAAGATGTAGCAGGTGTGGCCTGAGACTTTGTCGCAAATCTGATACCAAATATGAGCGATTGATCAGTACCCGTTCCCTCTCGCCAAGAGAAATAGTTCTGTGCCTGCAATTACAAAAAAAAATTGTCTGTGGAATCAAGGTGGACGTCACTCCTGACCGTCTTCTTCCCCCAGGCGGCCACAGGCTCGATGCAATCAAAGGTACACTGGAATTCTGAAGCGATGTGCTCGTTGAATTTGGATGGCTGCTGAAAATCTGGGATCGTTGAGGCCGTGGTCAAGTGCTGCCATAGTCCCGCACCGTKAGCACGGTATCTTGCGTGAGACCCCTWTTCTTGCAATGCTCTCCGTACGCTTGCAGCTCGACGGGGTCGGTGAGATGCGATGACCACGCAGGTTTTTGGTACTTGTTGGAGTCTGTCACGTTGCATCCACAGTATGACGTGAATTCCGGTAGAGAATTCTGGTGCACACAGCAAGGTTTAGCACGCACCATCAAGATCGACGCTGAAAATACACACTTCAAGGACAATATCGTTCACAGATGACATATCGCTTTATCAACATGCGCATATCTCCTGTCTGCTTAGATACGTAACGTCTGATCTGATCATTGGAGAACATACCACAAGTAAAAGCTGGATACTTCAATCACTGAGCACATCTGAGCTCCGGTCTATCTTCGGTGTCGTAGGTCAAAGCKTGTTGAACGCCGGAAGATTTTCCTCTCTCATCCTTGGTAACCCTTGGTTGTCAAGCACACTGCGGTCGGTTGGTCTAGTGGTATGATTCTCGCTTAGGGGGACTACATGTCCGTTACACCCTGAGTGTCATTTGCGAGAGGTCCCGAGTTCAATCCCCGGATCGACCCAGTTCTTTTTGCCCTTTTTTTTTGGACGTATCAATGGCCAGCATGCCAGCCCCTGAGCGTCCTCTTTTTGTAGCTCCAGTTTGGCTTTATCAGGTCATGTATGGCGGCGACGTTATCTATTTTACTAGTGCCGAGAAGCTTGGGGAATCTATGCCCAGTCCACGCCTAGCAGGATGTAGAAATCTTTTGATACTGACAAGTGTTTGAAACTTGGCGGTGTCCTAGATTAATGTCCTCTTTCGGAGCGTGCAAGTACCTTCGATCGATAGCTCCAAAAGATCAACGTCGTACTCGATCTCCTGAATAACATTCTTGATCGCGAGATTGAAGAACTCATGCTGAAGTCAGCTCGTTGACATACCTAATATGACATGAGCTCTACACGGCTCACGCAACTACCTTGACCCATCTTCGCAACAAACCAGCAACTGCTACATCCTCATCATCAATGCTCTCATTACCTCGGGGCATAATTCCAACACTCTCCATCTGCTGGCGAGGCGCTACCCAAATGTCCTGCGGGTCACCCTCACGCTCCTTGGATCCGAGAGATGCATGTCTATTACCCGCTGACTCTGGTGCAACCTCATCACGCGACAAATCCTGTTGAAGAGAAGTTGGAGTCATCGACGTTGTCCGGTTCCGAAATGTCGACAACAGCGAACTACGCCGTATGTTTGCAACCCTCCTCGGTTCAGACAACGGGTGCACAGTACCGACAGACGGACTCAATCCTGTGCCCTTCTCAGCTTGTATTATTGGGGTCTTGGGAAATCCATTCGAGGCTCTGGAAAACGCTTCAGGTTGATTGCGACGTTGGAGCTCGAGGTTATCGCGGCGATTTGTACGCACTGCTGGGACGTGATCCGATTGCAAAGTTGATGTGGCCATGATGCTGGAGTCTGTAGTTGAGAGCGCCCGTGAAGTAGACCATACGGCTTGTGAATTCAAAACCTCACTTATATCATCCGGGTCAATCTCAGCCATTGACATCCATGTGGAGGACGATAACGCACGATTGCGTTCACTCTCAGAGGCGTCTTTTTCGGAGGCATCCTTCTCAACGGGTTTCAATGCTTCAATCGCTTTGACAGAACCATCCAAACAAAAAGATATCGGCTCGTAATCGAGAACTCGGTGCGACTCCCATTGAGTGGTCGCGAGATTGATGATGTCTGTCAGCGCCCTGACCTTGAAAGTACATCTTCCAAGTTGACAGGACACGCCATCTTGCGGCTCAACATTCTTGGCAATCTGAGTTTGAATTGGATGAAGTTGATCCTCTGGCGGCAATGCAAGTAGAGTGAGTTTGTCGGTCGAGGACGAGGGCTGCTCCCTGTTCTCTCCTTTCCCCTGTGCCAAACCTTTCACTCTTACACCGGATGGAATCGCGTCAGATGAAGCCGACGCCACTCTCGCTTCCCCGTTGGACACATCTGGAATCTTCGAGATCGCCTTATCGAGCTCTTCATGACGTTGCATGGCTTCTTGTTTAGCTTGCATCAGATTTTGAATCTGCAGCTTCTCGAGCGTCAAATCGGGTTTAAAATCAACAGTCGCCCCTCTCTCTTGTGACATCCTCGTCCCGTACGCCAAAACACTCAAAATGAGCAGGAGTGTCGTATTCAACTTCTCCAGATTCGCTCGCAGCGCTGCCAACTTATTACTCCTTAGGGGCCATTTGAGCTTGTCTGTCATGGAAAGGGTACTCCTTCCGGAGTGAGATTTGATAAACACCTCGTTGACTTCTCCAAATGCTTCTTTACAGCCAACCAATACTTCCTCTAAATCGTGAACAGCTTCTTCCGTACATGTTTGGACCCTCCCATTTCCTTGTATCTGCTGGTGAAGTTGTTGCAGCACTTTTGCGAGAAGTTTGACATCCCTCGCGACTCGCTTGATATCTTCTTCGGCTCCCTTGACCGATTGAGCGTATGTGTAGAGTGTTGTGGCTAGAGAGAGGCCAGCTTCGGCAACTTGGACGACGCTCGCGGCCGTTCCGAATATCTCGGCCATGATATTCGATCAACTTCATAAGAAGGCGAAATGGCTCCCGTGATAATACTCCAGTTTTTTGACGACTGATCTATGCCTCCATGCATAAATCTGCCGTGGTCCCTTCGGTTAGTCTCCTCTCCCTGTCAAGCATCGCTTAGTGGTTGTGTCTGGGCATGCATTGCTAGCGAAAGAGCCATCGTAGTGTGTTCATTACACGCGATGCGAGGAAGGAAAAGTAGAGGCGAAGAGAATTGAAAACACTGAACATGGTAAGAAGATGCAAAAGCAGCCAGGCTGACTGAGGCTGTAGGCGCTTTTGGATGTGGGACCGCCGCCTGCTACAGGAAATATTGTGGCAGTGACACTGAGCCCGGGCTTGGCTCTATGCACTTTTCTGCTTTGGTGAGTGTAAGACACGTCAAAGTGCGCAGGCTGACGAAGAGGCGATGGGCGCCGCTAGCTGAAGGAAGGATTGCGGCAGTGCCGTGAAGCTGCCACATGGTTGTTTATGTGTTCCGGACACGGACACGGTCATCATCGCCTGATAATCCGCTCCGATGTCAGTATCGGTGTTCATGAGTCGTAGATGAGATGCGATAAAGTTGAAGAAGAAGAAGAAGAAGAAGGTGGAGTTGAAGTGCAATAGTCCGATATCGTTGTAATTAGGGTTAGGGCTGGGGTAGAGAAAATCAGCAACATCCATCTTCGAGTACACATTACAACGATCACGAAGAGAAGTACATTGAAAAGGAAACATGTTACATTATACCAGATTGTTTGTAATTTGACCGTGTTAAGACCCACTCGGACAGTCTGTTCGTACAAGTCCAAATCGCAAATGAATTTCCGTGTGCCTTCAAAAGTCGACACAGGAATGGCGCCTCGTTCACCCAGCAACCAATCTTTCCTGCATCTTCTAATGTCAGCCCTTCTAACATAAGCTGAATGGAAGAAGAGACCACGATATTCGCACTACATAGAAGTTCATTATCCAGGATAATTGGCAAAGAAATACGTGACAAATCTGCAAGTAAAGTCACTCGCGGACAAATTCCCAAGMAGGCGATACCCCTTAAGGCACGAAAGACAAATGGATAGGTACTGGGCATTCACAGCCCAATGGACGAACCATGGAAGCATGTATATTCCACACGGTAGCCCGGCAGCTCAGCCATATTACCACGGATCATTGTAGAGACGCCAACCTTATTAATACCACACGACATACCCACAAGACACAAGCACAGTCATGAAAATAGGTCTTTCATTACAACTCTTCTCTCACAAACACATTACTACTCTCCGTCTCTGCCTTCCTGAACTGTGGTATCTTGAACGCGTCATTTTCCTCAATTTCTTCCTCCTCGACGTCGTACACGTGCATATGTATAGTGGTATTCAGGGGATTGGGTCATAAAACAATCGACTTCGTTAAAAAGGCGTGCCGTCCGTCCGTTCCGCCCGCTTTAGAGGATATTGCCAGCAGAATCTGAACTCTTTTCTTCTCGATCGCGCGAATTTCAAATCTGAGTGACGAGTTTACTCGTACCTGCGGCAAATGTTAATAACGATTTCTAGAGGTTTGGCTATTGGACGACATACTCATCCTTGACACGCGTCGATGTGCCGCCGTTCTCGACGAAAGAACCACGGCTACGCGTGCTTCGCTTGCGACCAAAGTATGACTTGGAGGAGGAGCTCTTGTCCTTTCCAACACCGCCTCCAACGCAGAAGAGGACCATGGCGATGAAGAAGCAGGCGAAGCTTGCCCAGGTGAAACCATAGGCGTATTTTCCAAGAGAAGCCGTCTGGCCGGACTTGTTGAGGGCATTGCGGCCGCGAACAGTCCATGCGCTGAAAGGGAGCCTGTTAGCATGCCATCGAGCTCCTGTATTATCAGTTCAACTCACGTCATCAGAGCAGCGGCGACAGCCTGGGAAGCCATGGCCAAGAACGCGAAGAAACCAGTCAGGTACGCTCCAAGACGCGCGACGATAGCAGCGACGCTGATCAAGAACGCGACGACGGAGAAGAAGAGCGCGATGATGTAGAACGACCAGGAGACCCTGCTGAGGTAGTAGTAGGAGTTACCACCAAGCAGCATGTCATTGCCAAAGTTGCGCCTAGGGTCGAAAGGAATGGCAGCACCCTTGGGTCCGCAGTTGGCGTTGTTGGAGCCATCAACGCCGCAAATGGCGAGCCAAGTCCAGCGGACAGGGTTGGGAACATCACCGCCGTGGAACTGGCCGTTGAAGCCATCGGTGGTGGATTGCAGGAAGAAGACCTTGTTTTCGGGCGAAGTTCCCAGACCAGAGAGGACGATGAAGAATTGCATGACGATGCCTCCGGCGAGGAGGATCACCGCGACCAAGCTGAGGATTGCACCTACAGAGGTGTGTTAGTACAATGGGTGGGGTCGAAGCGGATTCATGTTCGTTCTTACGCGTGCCGGCAGCCATTGCGAAAGATTTCTAGATGGATAACTGCTAGAGTCGTTGAGGTTGATGTCGCTGGTAAGGGAGGGTGTTTCGCGTGGGTATGCTGCACCCTTTCAAGTCGGGGCAAAAACAGAGTTGCACGCTGTCAACGGCTGTCTTGTTTGGCGCGCGGGAACGGTCACAGCGCAATTTCGCGATTAGGGCGATGATTAGGAATATGGAGAGGACAAGCAGGGAAAGGGATGCCAAAATGCAGGATGTAACGTGGATGGRGGGATGTGTCGACAGGACGACGAGAACCAGTGGTGGGGGAACAGGAAGAGATGGAGGTGCGAGGAAACCGGCCGCAGGTCGTTATGCTGATGTTCGCGTGATGGGAAAGTTGGCTTGGGCGCAAGYAGAGTTTGGAGCGGTCACGGAACGCAGACGTCACTGCCCGAGTCAATTTTTGGGCGGTTTTCTGGTCGTGAGTACCCGAGGTTGTAGTTGGTGGAGAGTCAGGAGAATTATCAATGGACGCCGACACACACGGATGTTGACGCCAGAAGGATGGTATAGGCAAGGTAGCAAGCACTAGTAATGTGGATGATGCAAGCGGACGCTGGGGAAAGGCAAGGTATTGTTTGGTGAGGGAATTCCCGAATTCCAGGAGAGCTTTGTCTTTCGTCATCAACAAAGCAGCCAAGCAGCACTGTGACAGCAGCTCGGGCCATCCCGTCTGTGCAGATTTCGATCGTCGCGGAGAATTGGGCTCAAGCGCACCAATTGCGGCATTGCATTCCTCCGATCGGGCTTTGGGGTGACGGAAGGATCGAGCTTTGCAGTGCAGGCTGGTCACCCGAGTGCAGCTTTCACATGCAACGTGGATCATATCGATCATCATACCTCTACTGTACTGTACTGTACTAGTGAGAAGGGTGTGTGAATGGATGAATGACGATCGAGGCGGATTGATTGATGAATTGATCGATGAATTGATGAAGAAATGTCGACACTGATCTTCCCGCCCATCGCTGCCGAGCAAGTGCACGATGAAGAAGCCCAAGTGCTCGCCCGCGAATTGTCCTGGCTGCTGACTTGCCTCCAAACGACCCTCCGATCGCTCAAGTCCGGGTTGGAAGAGTGTGCATCTCTGCTCGCGCCCGCCGAGCCCGGGTCTACGTTGCCCCTCTCCTCCCTCCGATCCGAGCACCTCAAGGGCTTCATCACTCGCGTCGGCACGAGAATCGTCAAGGGCGACATTCACCTCCGCTTACCCTCCCTCCCCCCTCCCAAAGGCGCAGGAAGCGTGAAGCTCAGCATCTCCACCCTCCCCACCGCGCCCACTCTCACTCTCCCCCAACTGGCACAATGTCGCACCCTCATCAACAGCTGTCTGGACGTCGTCGATGCCACTCTCTGGACGGGCGATAAAGAGAACGCCGACTTTGTGTCCGGACAACTCCAACTTCTCCATGAGAACATTCAAGAAGCAAAAGACGCGTTGAAAGGCTGGACCAAAGGACAGCGAGCGTGGAATGAAGAGGAGGTGGACGTCCAAGCCTTCAACCCACCCCTCCCAGAACACGTCTCCTTTCATCTGAGCATTTCCGAAGCCGCCATTCTCCTCAACATCCGTGTGCTTGAAGCTGCAACTTCAACAGCCGGGGCGAGTGCTTCTGGAGCGGCAGCATCGTACAGCGGATTGTCTCTCAGGGATAGACTGGCGACTGCGTTTGGAGGGGCAAAGCCGGCCTTGAATGATGAGGCGAATGAGGTGTTCCCATGGAGGGGCCATGATGTGAGAGTTAGGGAGAAGGTCAGAGTGGAGAGTCAGGACCCAAGTTTGATGGCTGCCATGGCAAAGCTGGGCGCTTTGGAGAGGAGTATTGCTTTGGAAAGGAGAGCGTTGGATGTTGTCATGGGGAGGGATGGTGATGGAATGGAATAGATGGGAGATCCTGGACATATTCTACGTTACGGGACGGAGAAGCAAAAACGGGCAGCATTGCAAGACGAAAAGCATAAATTGGTCAAGAGGTTGCATCTCCAACATGCTGGAGGAGACACTCGACTTCACGTCATTGTTGGGAGACTTCCTCGAAGATGGCCGGCAATGTCAAACTGGCAAGATCGAATGATGAGAAGCGCCCGACGATCTCCAAGACGATGGCGATAGGCAATGAGAAAGACCACAGCCATACATGGATGACTTGTACGATGCACGAAGATTCGGTGGCACCGTCGGCGGTGCAGTGGGAAGGCGAAACCAGAGCGCATCGATCAAAGGAACATCACTTGGCGGAGATGGCGACCATCCTTCAAAGGCCCAGGCCTGTCGCTGACCGACTGCCTGTCTCAACTCCCTGACAGCTCTCTTCAATCAGGAACCCGTCCTCTTCTCCGTGACGTCTTCGCAGACGGGGACGGCCATGTCAAAAATCTCCTGACCCAACCGCATGTGACAAGAAGCACCGCAGGGCTGTTCATTATCGAAGACCTACTTGCTCATCTCCAAGACAGAACAAAGTTTCTCCGCGGGCTTTCTCCCGAAGATCGGCGAACAGCTGCGATCTCGCCGCCAAGGCGTGCTTGAGATTCGATAAGTCTGATAAGCAACAAGGTTTTGAGCATGCTCACCCACTCACAGTGTGGCCAAAGATGACATGATTATAACCTGAGCGGCCCACATGAAGACATTGTTTTCCTCGTGGCCACCTTGACCCATAACCGACCCTTGACCGTCATCGCCCCCTCACATGCTTTGTTAAACCGGGCATCATCCCAGGGACACACATTCCACGCCACATCTTACACTTTGTGATTCATTGTTCTCAACAATCCACATTCCTCTAGATAGAAGGCCTAGACCACCAATTCCAATGCAAACCCACCTCCTCACAGCGGTCGACTCGACCTCGCATATACACCTCATAATTGGCTCGAATCCACTCGCTGGCGCAAGATGCAGTCGGTCTCTCGAAGTGGGCGCAAAGCCCATTCTCATCGCACCCGAGACGGCAAATTTCCACTACGGTCTAGCAAAGAAAATTGAAGAGAACACAGTCGAATGGCTGAAGAAAGACTTTGACGAGAATGATTTGACAACACTGGGAAGGGAAGAGGTGGAGCGGGTCGTGGACGCCGTATTTGTCACATCAGCAGGCAAAAGTGCTCTCAGCACAAGGATATCTACACTATGCAGAAGACTTCGCATACCCGTGAACGTGGCAGACGCACCCAACCTCTGCACATTCACCCTCCTCTCCGTCCATACCTCTGGGCCTCTCCAAATCGGCGTTACAACCTCTGGCAAAGGCTGCAAGCTCGCTTCACGAATCCGGCGAGAAATCGCCTCCGCTCTCCCCAAAGATATTGGACCTGCAGTCGAACGTCTAGGAACTGTACGAAGGAAGATCTTGGAACAGGATCATCTTGAAGACTATGACGTCGACGACGAGGACACAGGCCAGACATCCACCTTCAACAAACTTGTCACACCCACAGATACCGAAGCCGCAAAAGCTAGGCGCATGCGTTGGCTGTCGCAGATCTGCGAGTACTGGCCTCTTCGGCGATTGGCGGCCATCACAGACGAGGATGTTGAACAAATTCTTCAAAGTTACAAATCCGAGACAACGACTTCTTCTGCGGAGACTGACCCAGTCCTGAACATTGCCACACTAGATGCCCGTCTTTCTCGCGGAAAAATCATCCTCGCGGGCTCAGGACCAGGCCATCCAGATCTCCTAACCACTGCAACCCTCAAAGCTATCCGCTCCGCCGACCTCATCCTGGCAGATAAACTCGTCCCCGCACCCGTGCTCGAACTCGTTCCTCGACGAACACCGATCCAAATAGCGCGGAAATTCCCCGGAAATGCCGATGCCGCGCAAGAGGAACTTCACCGTATGGGATTGGAAGCTTTGAAAGAGGGAAAAACAGTTTTGAGATTAAAGCAAGGAGATCCATATCTCTATGGCCGGGGCGCCGAAGAAGTAGCGTTTTTCCGCACGCATGGGTTCGAAGCAATGGTTCTTCCTGGGATCACATCCTCTCTAAGCGCACCTCTTTTTGCGGGGATACCAGTCACTCACCGAGGATATTCCGATCAAGTGTTGATTTGCACTGGAACTGGAAGGAAAGGCGCAAGTCCGGACCCTCCTGCGTACTTGCCCAACCAAACGGTCGTTTTCTTGATGGCGTTGCATAGATTACAAGATCTCGTGACGAGTCTTGTGGAGAGGAAAGGGGATGTGTATCCTGCGGAGACGGCTTGTGCGGTGATTGAGAGGGCTAGTTGTCCGGATCAGAGAGTTATACGGAGTACATTGGGGGATGTAGTGGAGGCTGTGGAGAGTGAGGGGAGTCGACCGCCTGGGTTGTTGGTTGTTGGGAGGAGTTGTGAGGTTTTGAGTGGGAAGGGGGAGCTGAAGTGGGTTGTTGAGGATGGATTCTGGGGCTTGGACGGATTGGATGGGATGGGTGAGGGGGGAGGAAAGGGTGGATTGGATGGGTTGAGGGAGGTGCTTGTTACGCCGGGGTTGGAAGGGAAGGGAGAGTTTGTTAGTAGGGAGGAGGTTGTGGGTGGCCGATGACGAGTGGCTGTTTTTGTAGAGACGGATTGAACTTGAAAACTCTCCACTAGGCGTTTTCGCGGGGCACGTTTGTTTCTCAAGGTGAATTTCAGCTATGTCTTCTTTGGAAGGCGAATAATGATGATTGTTGATTGAAGTAGCTCGTCAAGTGATGTTTACCACCTGCTCGGGTAACGCGGCGAAGTCACTGAATTGGATTGTCAGAAAGCGAGATAGATGTCACAGGAGACATCAGTTGTATGGACGTTGACAGCGTACGGAGTTAACTCCTTCATGCGGCGCTCCACCCCTGCGATATCAAAGGATTGCCACACTGCCGATGTTACCAATCTCTCAGCCGTGTTCTATGCTCAAAGCGTTGAAGACTTCGCAGGCACAKTATTAGAAGGAATAGGGCAAACTGTTGTTGGAGTGCTGCGAAGGCTTGAGGATGCGCAGCGCAAGTCTGTGAAAGTGGGGTCGATCATGGACGAAGCAAGAAGCTTTGCGCGAGACTTTTGAGAAGGCCACAGGGGAGCAGTGGGAATGACGAAGGGGGCAATAAGGCGGTGAAGGAGAGGAGGTAGGCAAGGTTCAAGGCAAGTGTCGATTCTGGAGCTGATGGTCGATCAGCTGTACGATGAATGTAAAGGGAGATGTGTTTTGATGAGTTGTGATGAGGCACTGATTTGCTAGGAAGAGTAGGCGAAAGAGAAGATGATGACATTGTAGCCAAGGTGCTGAAGCCTGCTTCAATCGTGATCTCACAGATAGCGTGTCATATTGGTCAGGCTGTTCAGAGGTGGAGATCCTTACTCGCTGTCACTGCACAAATCGCGTGCAAGAGCCGATGAAAGCAGTCTTGTAGTGGAACGACGACGACGCTCGCGATCAGGTAGCTACAAGCACCAAAACAAGCACCCTTCCAGAAAGTCAAGTGTGGAACGTCAAATTTCTTCTGAAGTCTTCTTACTCATGCTGTCGTTGCTCAACTGCTGCAGGCAGGGCGACAACATTCAATATCACTGGGCTTTGGTATGTGTGAGCAGGTCCTCATTTTTACTCACGTCAGCTCATGTTTGATGTTGCCTATGTTGTCAAACGCCAATGAATATCTGTAAGGTACCAATCAGCATCTCACTTGCTTAGGAATTAAAGACGTCGATACCCCACATCTGGTGAACATCTTCTACGAAACGCTCACGGTAGCTGTGCAATGTCGGACCGCTAACCAATGGGGTATCACAATGGTCGCGATACAAAATAGTAAAGATATGTGCTCGCTGGCACGCTATCCAATCCGCATATGTGCATGCCTGTCTTTTCTGGTCCTCATGACGGCTCGCGTCTCGGTGTTATGGGCAAGAAGTTGCCAACGATCAGTGACGGGCTATGATCATGTCAGCATCCACATTCTCGTCGTAGAGACAGGATCTCCAACACTCACATGTTATGGCTGTCTCTCCGTATGGTGAATGAGAAACAACACCGTACCGTCTCCATCGGCACCTCACTCCCACCACCATTCGTCGTACCATTTGTCGCTCCAGCAATCGGCCTCCTCAATGTACAGCTCGTCAAGATAGCCTTCTGACTTTGATCAAAAGCAATCGCGCCGAACTTTTCCCAATAACTGACCAGACTGTCTTCGGCAATGATCTCGTGTATCGCCAGCTTGCCATCCCTGAGCTTGTCCAACGGTACACGAATCAACTCCGCCATCTCGGTGTTCCCACGGAAGATCTCGCCCGTTCTACGCCAACAACATGCGGGAATCGCCATACTCGCAAACACTCGGTCGTACTCCATCAAGCTCCGCTCGAACCACATTTCTACCAGCACAAGCTGCATATCGGTCAAAGAGTGCATTGCCTCGCGGAACTTCGGTCGAAAACGATCGAGTTGTTTAAGTATCCGAATAGAGGATTCGCGGCTGAGATTCGACGACATGTGCTGGTTCAGACGGGCGTATCCTTTGACATAATTGAACGGCTTTAGCATTCCGGCGTCGTATTTCGCCTTCAGCAACTTATGTAGGCGATCTTCGGCGGAGGAGAGGCCAGCAGGGTCAGCGGCTGTCATGTAGAACTTATCCCTCGCGCGAGTGTCGACCGGGAAGGCCGAGCTTGGACGGGAGATCTCGAGCCCTGCTTGCGTCTGAGCGGGTGGTCGTGAGGATGAAGCATTGTTCGTGGGTTGTGGCTGTTGAAGAGATGCATTGAGCGCGTTCATGGAAGAGGTTGCCAACAGTGGATCGTTGAACAAGGCCTGCACATCGTCGTTGTTTGTGTAGATTCCACCATCATCGATGATCGAGTTGCTAAGGAAGTCGTTGAGCAAGTTATACTCATTTGTAACCTCAGACGTGTTAAACATGTAGTTCGGGTGTAGGTGGTGCATGTCCTGGAACTGATTTCGCACATTGCTGTTGTTCCAGTCATAGTTTTGCAGCAAGCCACTGGCATTATTGGTGTTACTTCCAGTTGGTATAGGTCTCTGGATTGGAGGGGGAGAAGTAGGAAGTGGCATTGCTATGGCTCCATTCCCGTTGGTGGATGCCATTCCCACATTTTCTTCTGCATGCGAGAATGGTATTCTACCAATTCCAGCACCCAACTCTGCCTGTCCATTCGCTACAGCGTCCACACCTTCACTCGGAGCAGGCGCAATCTCTGGCACGCCCATATCACTCTTGCTCCTCTTCGGGGGATCCCGRGGTTCATCGTGGCAGAGATGGCCAATATCCCGCTTCACACACCGTGCGCATGGTCTTTGCAGGTCGCAAGTCATGTGCGATCGTCTGCAGTACACACACGCGTGGTTGACCTTGCGCCGCTTCTTCTTGCCCGCCCCGTTCTCGCCAAGTCCATTCTCCGTCGTCGCCTCGCTGTGCTTGCGCTTGGGTGAGGCAATCGGAGCTGGCGATGCCGGTTTTGCGCTTTCTTCAACCGCACCTGCCTGCTGCTTCTCTTCTGCTACCGGGGACGCCATCTCGAGTGTCTTTCCATGGGCTGGCTGCTGGAGGAGGATCGCGACTCTCGTGAGCGATATAGTACCCACTTGACGCGACTTGGTTCAAGAGCTTCAGCCAGGTGCATGTGCTCTCGTGACATTGAAATGGGCTCTTGTGTCACCAACGAAAGCACAGTATGCAGCACTTCCACGCGCGGGACGAATGGGGGGCATGCTTGATTGCTGTCAGCAGCTAGCCGAGCTTTGGCGGCATGCGGGCTCTCAGCCTCAGCCTGCCGCCAGCCGGATCGGCTGAAGAACCTCCCAGGCTCCTGTCGGCAGCGAGTTCGGCTCGGCGCTCGTGCATCTCGTTCAACCACACCACCCTTGTTTGTCTTCACAGTATCAAAATGTGATGGAACGGAAACCCTGCGCGATAGCAAACCACGGCAAGTTATAATCGGCTCGTCCATCCGGCCAATTGACCTCGAATATTAAGGTGATGTTAAGAGCTAACCGCAGTCCAATGACTTCACCACGCATTGCCTGCGAGTCATGGACCTCCCACCACGAAAGCTACTATTGATCGCCTTTTGCATTTCGATTCCCCTCTATCAACCCGTTTCTTGATTCTCTCTTGTCCGCGACTCAAGCACAGTCGATCTCCTCCAAGAGGAATAGAAAAACAAACCATGGACCAACACATACTCCAAGATTGTAAACTTGATCCCAACACCGCCCTCCTCAAATACCCAGTCGCATTTCGCGTCGAAAGCAAAGGCCGACCTCCCAGCGTCTCTGCACCGATTTACAATGGACCAACCCTTCGCAGTATAATCTGGGGGCCAGCAACTCTAGAATTTGCGACCAAACACCTCCTCGAAGATGAATCCGCCACCCCGTTCGTATCGGTCCTGTGGATCTGGGACAGAGCGCTCCAAAGAGCCGAAACTTTAGCAAATCAAGGATGCTTCGATATCAGAATATTCATCATTGATCTCGCACCTTTACACGCGGATTTTCGGGTGTATGATGCATACAAACTCTCCAAGAGCTTGGGATTCAAATCTGTGAAGACGCCCGGGAGACCATGCACCGACGACCACAAAGGAGAGCTGTTATTGCACTGTGGGAACAGCGAGCAATACTGCTCTGTTCTTGCGAGTATTCCTGCTGGTATGCCGACGATATACTACGATTCGACATTATCTTCTTCCGGGATTCTCAGATTACCGGTAGAGTATTTCGAACAGCTTTCTCAACGTCTCGTAACCAGATCACGGGGAGGAGTGAGGAAGAGTATGCTCATGGGCATCATTGAAGACGTCAAAACGACGGATGAAGAGACGTGGTTGGATGAAGGTTCCGCGAAGTTGCTGCAGGACGTATTGGAAGATGAACTGCTGGATCAATGCCAGGCGCTAGGGCGGGACAAGATGGAAAAAATCCCTTCAGCGATCATAAAGGCGATGACGATGGACGTCAGTGATTACTTGGGCTTGATGAAGGTAATCAAGTTGCCGGACACTTATTTCGTGCCAGAAAAGAAGTTGGGACGGGAGTACAGGCAGTCTTTCATGTCTTTCTGATGGACTGACAAGCATATATGCGGCTGGCCGTATTCAGTACAATGAGAGACGAAGTTCGTCCATGTCGCCAGGAGTATTTCATACCTCGACCGAGCATCCCGTGGAAGCAGGTTGAGTCTCAGCGCCTGCCTCGCAACCTGCGAACATACAGGTTGGAGCTCCAGAACTGGCCGAAGTCAGACGATGCCACTTGTCGGCTGAGAGGCCTCTCAACTGATTCGGTGATCTCTGCGAGATGACAGAGTCGCTCGCTCRCGCCACCTGGGTTCAAACTAGAGAACTACGGGCGTGGCATCCAGATACGAGAGACGTGTGCCGATGATCGCCAAATTRGAAGAAAGAGTAACACGCTCCAGGCGCGTGCTTCAAAATTACAGCAAGTAGGTAGTAGTAGCAGACATAAATGTACAACTTTAAGAACCAAAAGCCGAAGTCTTGGCTAGTCCAGGCATCCAATAGCCTCTGTCCCCTGTCTATCCTGCGATGAGCACCCAAAGCAAGAAGAAAATCATCAACACACCAAACATCTTGGCGACCAACCACCGGTTGCCTTGTATCCGTCCCCAGTACTTCATCAATTCCCGCTGGGCACCTTCGACATTATCCACCACATCATCGGTATTCGCATCGATTCTCTGAATCTGTTCCGCTTGTTCACTAACCATCTGCGCAAGCTGTCCAAAGATCCCGCCCAGTTCTGAAATTGTGGATTCAATCGCTGCGATTGCCTGTCCACGCTCGTTGATATAGCTGTTGCTTTGCGCACCCTCTTCCATGAGTTGTAATTGCTGTTGACTTTGTGCTCCTCCGCCTCCGTAAAGAGGATTTGAGCTGCTCGGATCCAGGGAAAGAACGTCCTGTTGTGCAGCGGAGTTCACCGGTTTTGGACTCCTCCCTCGACTCGGTGGAGTCTGATATAGGGGACTATCCGTTCTTCCCACATCCAACAGCCCCTGTCCTCCATCCTGCCGTTGCGCTCCCACCGAACTCACAAACCCTTCCTGTCTGGTCCGACTAGCCTGAATGTTCTTCGTCCGGACTTCCAGCACCTCTTTGAAATTGACCCCCACGTCTGCCAATCTTCCTTGCAACAGGACCACCACGTTCTTCGCGTGCTCGCCCTCTTGCTGCTCTCCATTCTTACTCTGTCTTTGTAGAGATTGTAACTGCCCAATCGCCATGTTCAATCCCGCGAGATCCTGCTTTATGACGAATGTCAATTCCGAGATCTCCACGGGTCGGTCGTCGAACAGCGTTTTACGTCGGGCTAATTCGCCAAGTCGTTGCAGTTTTCCCATGGTAGAGGAGATTCCTCGTCCGATTTGTGCGGCATTACGGGCGAATTCGCTCTGTTGTTTGCGGGTTAGAGGCTGCTGTTGTTGCGGAAGGAGAGGTTGTTGTTGCGGGCCTTTGCGTTGCCGGGCGAGCGATTTCTGAGCTTGTGTGAGGATGGAGCGGAATTCGGGAGTACGGTCTTGTATGGAGGATATGGAGGACATGATGAGCATGCTCGTAGGGGATCGGGTGGTGGTTGTGGCCAAGTGGCGGGTCGGTCGGAGGTTGAAAGCGATTAATTCGCGATGGCTCCCTGGAGGACCGGAATGATGTAGTGCGGCAAGTCGCGATGATTTCGTCGTTTACCTGGTTTGGTGGAAGATTCTGAATAGGCGTGTCGATGTGAGCGTGAATGATGAATGCGACTGCTAAAACTAAGTCGTTGCGCGGAAAAGAGGTCGAGGTGACAAAGGAGTTCCACATTGATCGCCCTCCACGCGGCAAGGATCATTGCCAGCGGGCGAATCGTCACCTCTTCCATCATCAACCCACAACACTGCCCGGCCAGATCGCTCCACCTCCTTTGACTGGTGCGGAAGACGCTTCTATTAACTAATTCATTAATCGACTGCGGGACGGARTGGACTGGGAATAGCGACAGTGATCACGACACGACCCGACCCAGCCTCCGACGCGCGGAAACCTGCTTCTGACCGCAGCACGCACGTCGGCATTCCTGTCTTTTTGGAAGCTCAGCACACGTTCTTCTGAAATGACACGGCCTCCATAATCACACTCACGATGTCTCGCGACATCACGCCGATCAGCTTCAAGACAGTCCCGGGCAGGAACAAGACACAGAAATGGACCAAAGCGCCGGCGGTAGACTACGGCGGAGATGAATGGGGAGGATWCGATGACTATGGTGGCTATGAGGAGGACGTTCCTCCTCCGCCTCCAGCATCAATACCCGCATCGCACGCGCCTCGAGATCCATATGCCTCAGCAGGTCCTGCGCGGAAGAACAGCTTTGATCAAGGAGACGAGACCCGCGCTTTCAGTTCAAACACCCAACCCGCAGGCGTCGCCGCGAGCTCTTTCCCTGCTCGCGCTGACGATGGACAGCAACATGCTCCTGGCAGAAATGCACCGCGAGACTTCACAAACCCCGAGCAGGTGCCAGCGCCGCTGTCCAWGCACACCTCGTCTCTTCCTTCCCAGGGCGAGCGATGGCCGGGTCGGAAGGAAAGCATGAGTAGTAAAGGCACGCCTCCAATGCCCAGCGCTACGTCGCCCATAACGGATAAGCCTTTGCCTTTTATACGCCCGAGCGATATCTACAAGCGCATTCCCGACGAGATTCGGCGGCAGAGCGAGGATGGTACGCGGCCGAGCATGGATTCTGTGGGTAGTGGTCGAGATAGGGCTGGCCTGGGATTGGAGCCTGTGGCAGAGAGCCGCGAGAACACAGTGTTTATGGACGGTGCAGAGCATCACGCGAAATCCCTGCGTCCAACGAGCACCAGTCCTCGTTTGCCTGATGTCACGCGGTTCTCGGGCTTTGGTGACGGGTTCTTGTCAGGCTCTGCGGCTGGAAATGAAATATCTCCTGCTTCGCCGCACAGTCCAGAAGCTATCGTTGCAAGGGTTGCAAATTCACCTGTTATCAATGCGTCGGGCTCGACAACCACCTCTTCTGTTTCGAATCAGCATACTTCAACTACCAGAGCCCCACCAGGCCAGGACCCAGCCGCTGAGATACTCGCAGAGAGGCAACACGGGACATCCGTTGAGAGCATCGCGGGAGGACAGCCGGCCAGTCTCCAACATCAGCCTTCGGCAGGCTTCCGTTCAGCGGTCCACACTGCTTTCGATCGAAATGATAATCTCATTTCTCGCGACAACTCTCAGGGAAGCAATGAAGTGCACAGAAGCGATACGACCTCCACATCGGGCATCAGCCCTATCATAAGTCGTGGTCCACAATTTCCATCCATTGCAGAAGAGACATCTACAACCGGTGGTCGAGGACTTCATGGACAGTCTTCCGACACCCGTGTATCTCGCAAGCCTTCTCCTGGCAGAGCTGGTGGGGCGAGCTTTGAACCTGGTTATAGGAGGAGTTTGGATCCCCCATCTACAGGTACATCGCCCGCGCGGACGCCAGGTCTAGAAAGCGTGGAGACTCGAAGGCTTAGTACGCCCATGTCTGCCGTACCGATGGATGCTGAGACGCCCGATGTCGACGATCAAGGAGAAGAGCTGCCGACCGCTTCCCATCTCGGTTCCTCGTCATCTACCACAGCACCAATTCCCATTACAGGACGTGGTCGAAGCGACACGGATTACAGCATGCGCGAGGCTGATATCGCGCAAACTGTCAATTCTGCGTCACCGGAACAAGGCCACGAAATGCCAKGTTTAATCAACGCGCAGAGAGACTCACAGAAAATCTTTCTCCAGACCCACGTGGAGAAACAGCTTCCGTCGCCAATCACTCCGGGCGGGGGATTGAGAGAACGTGCTAGTGGAAGCCGAGCTGGAAGTCCAAGCAAAGGCCGCGTTCGAGAGATTGCGGACAAGTACCACGGTTTGAATGAAGCCGCGAGGCGGAACTCTGCTATTAGTGTYAGCAGCAGTTCCAAAGCACTTAGTGCAAAGTCCAGCTGGAGCAACTTTGACGACACGGAGAAGAAGTTGGCCAGGCAGGGTACAGAGCAGAGTGAGAGCGAGATGTTTCCTGCGTATGAAAACGCCGATCTCTCGTCTGAGCGTCCGGTCGTATCAAGAGAGGAGTCTTTCAAACCGGATCTTCCTGGTGGATGGATCAGCACGGCGCCGACTCCTGAACCCGGCGCCGGACGTGCCTCTCAATTGACTCCGCAACAGGCCAGGGCTGTGCAGGCCGACGAAGAGGAACTGACGCCTACCACAAAGAAGGTTCGTCTGCAGGAAGCTCTCACTAATGATCCTATGGCCAGACAAGTTCCCATCACAAAGTCACCTAGCGCGTTGGATCAGGTCAAGAACGCGGGCTCCGAGCTTGGCGCGGCTCTCATGGCCAGCGTGGGCGCGAGCCATCAGACTCGTGACTTTGGGGCTTCAGCGCCTGCTGCACCCGTGGATGAGCGCGCGGTAGAGAGACCAGCGCGAGGTATGCAACCTCCCACTCTCTTCCGATACGAAACAGACTCGGATGCGACACCATCGGTGGCATCGACCATGCCTCCCTCCCCGCCTGCAAAGAACACACCAAATCTGGGTGAGACGCTAAGCGATGGCTACTTTAACAACACCGTGGCGCCTTTAAGGGTCAAGTCGAGGGAGCAGAGTCCTGTTGCTGAACGAAATGCTGCTCATGAACGTGGTCTGCCGGTGCCTAGACCAGGCATGACCACGGCTTTGTCCATGGAGCCTGGAGCGGGAGATCAAGAGAGCGATCTTCTCCGAAAGGAGATTGTTCGCAGTCTCGATCCAATCCCTCTTGTCCAAGATCGGCAGCGTACTCAGGACGCCCTGGATGCCTCTGAAAACCAGCGACGAGTGGCCGCTGGACAAGATGCACTTCCTCCTGCTAAGAGTAGACAGCCGGCCTTGCTTCAGACGCGCTTCAGCTGGGAAAAGCCCACACCATTGAGCGAACAGGCTGAACCCAGCCCGGAGATCAAGCCTGAAATGGCCTACGAGCGGCCTAGGAGCAAGGCTTTGCACGTTGTCAATCCTAATCAGTTTGACAGTCCGACTGTGGAAACACCCGTGACGAGTGCACCGCCCGCGGAGACTCTGAGACCTCATACCTTTGGCACTCCGGTGAGTGAGAAACAGGAGCATGCCTTGCTCCCGGACACGGATGTACAGCCTGGCAGTCCAAGTCAAAGTCTGAAGAGCCTACCCCCAAGCCCAATCTCCGAGCGAAAGAGCGACAGGGATCTCAACAGACAGAGCTACTATGCTTCCGATACGTCCCAGGCCGCAGCTCCAGGTACTGCTTCGATCATTCCTGGTCAAGGCGGCCTCTCGACCTCGCCGATCTCCCCAGCAAAAGGACACGCACCCGGGAAGCCAATTCCTCCATTTCGCAACATTCTTGCACYCAAGACTGGAGACGAACGAATCAAAAGTTACAACGAAACTCGCAACACCTTTGCCAACATGAACACTGGGCTCGGAGACTGGGTGGGAGGCATGCTCGCTCTCCACCCAGAGCTTGCCTCCAATGCAACAACACCAGGGGGCGCATGGAAAGCCCCACCTCTTCAGACAACGGGCACTGGCATGTTGAAGGGTCATAAAGCGTCTCCCAGCCTGGCCAAGTTCACCAACAAGTTCGGGGGTTCCGAATCTCAGCTCCGCTCTACCTCCATCGGCTCGGTAAGCGAGGACGGCACGCACCCCTCTGCCTCCACCTCCGGAGCTGGAGTCAGCGTCATCCGGCCCACGACATCCAACACAGCAGGTCCATCAAGCAGTACGACGGGCCTTCCCGCATTTGACACAGATAAAATGCAGCAAAAGGGCAAAGCCTTTATGGCCAAGACTGGCGTGCTTGGCGGAAAGGCACAGGCAGGTGCAAAGGGACTGTTCGCGAAGGGGAAGTCGAGGTTCGCTAGTGGAGGTAATGTGAGGAGTCCGAGTGGTGGGAACGATAAGGTATGATTTCTTCTTTTGACTCCCGAACCTATTCCCACACACGCAATGAAGGCAGTTGATGGTGGGTCTCTGCGCACATTGCTGAGAGTTCCTGTTCAGATGACCTGAGAGACACACGCACACGCATCGGATGTTTCAGAGCGAAAGCGAGGACAGTAGTGCTTGCTCTTCTTTTGATGGTTTTATTCTCGAAGCGATGATATCCTTTGTGTTGGAAGAGCGCCATATGGGTGCTACGACGACGATTCCTCTTCACTGTTTTTAGTTTAAAGAGCACAACCTTCTACCACGTCCATCCACCATATCACGAACGCTCTCTATTGTTTTGAGGAATGAAAGCTCACGGTAAGTGTTCACAGGTTATATCTTCTCCCTCTCCTCTTTCACGTGGTGCTGGTGTTGGGTCGCCGAGAGCCGTTTCCTCTCCTAGCGGCCTCAAGGGAGGAAGCGCGACCGAAAGGGCTGCTCCGCCGTCTGTCGGCAAGCAGGTGACATCAACGGACGATGAAGGCGCGTCTGCAAGTGCTGCAGCTCTGCCGCCAACGAGTGGCTTGGAGCTTGAGCCTGGGACGACGAGTAGCGAGCTTGCTGGGTCTCAAGATGTGGTCATGATCACGCCGCAGCAAGAATCTTCGCTTACAGATGGACCATCYGTGAGCATCGTTAACAAGCGTGTTTCGAGTCCGAAGGCGAATTCGACTGATGAAAAGCTGTTGGGCGTGGAAGCAATCAACGACGCTCCCTCACATCAGCGGACGGCAGGCGGCGAGCTACATGCTCCGGATTCTTTGCTTCAAGATGTCAAAGAGAAGACTGTTGAAATTGCTGAGCCTGACAATCAAGATCTGCCTCCTCGCGATGACTCAAAGGGCGACTTTCCAGCTTCATCGAAGGCTCAAGAAGACATAGGCCCAAGATCTTCTCTCAAACGGAACAGCACGAGTCCTGAGCCAACAGTTGGCCCTAGCATCACCGTATCCTCTCYGGCGGAAACGTCTTCTGAACGACGCTCCTCAGCCTACGCAGTCACAGGCGCCGTGWCCTTACCCCAAAACCCTGTACTTGAAACCCCGATCTCCGCTATCCGGCCCGGCTTCTCTCGTCACACCTCATCAAAGTCAGCATCTCCGTTTCGCAGCAGCTCTCCATTGCGTCGCGACGATGCCCAAACTCCAGGCTCGGAGCATAAAAGTCGTCCCTTGAGTATGGTCTGGGGCGACTGGCTCCGTGACAAAACACGAACCGTATCCCGAAGTGGCAAAGGTAGCCGTCCCGGGAGTTTGGTTGTGGAAAAAGGTGATAGCACCGTATCAACTCCAATGAAGAAAGATGGCAAAAAAGATGGCAAGGGAGACTTGGACGACGTGGCCGTGGACTCATCGGCTATTAGCGCTCCGGTTACCATGCCTTCGCGAACTGAGACATGGAATTCTCCCGACGCCGTCATACCGCCACGGACGCCGGAGACTAGAGAACTGATGTTGGAGAGATTGGGAGTTCTCCCTAGTCCTGTGCCTACTTCCTCGGAATTTCCAAGTCCCGGATCCAGAAGACGGAGACGAAGTAGCGCTGCGAGGGTTAACTCTCTAACTGGGGAAGGGGCGGGACTGGACATTGACACTGTCGCTTCGCAAAATGTTAGAGGCAGTCCGGCGCCAGGTAGAGGAAGTCCTGTGCGTTCGACGATACCAGGAGTAAAGGGAGTCAGCGAGGCGGAACAGGTGACTGGAATGCGACCTCGACAGCAGAGGAGAGTCAGCGATCTGGRGATGCTGCCTAGTGAGCAGAAGAGGTTAAGTCTGGGGCTAGGACTTCCTCGGCCTGATAGCATGATTCTTCTGCAGAGTCAGATTGACCTTCTCGCAGGTGGCGCGCAGGATTCTGAGCTTGAGAGCGATGCAAACGGCGTCAATGCAAGACACATGGCCAACAACATTGTCTCGGTAGCCGCGCATCTACCCACGGCGAAGAAGTCCCGACCCGGAGGCTGGGATGACGCGCGTAGCGAGGTATCAGCGGAAGAGGGCGCTCTCGACGAGGACCCTCACGTTAGCACACATGCGGGCACATCGAGGCATTCTTCCGTCTCAAGCCTTGGTGCTCATCAGTCCGCTTCAATGTTGCAGGGTACTACGGACAAGTCAGCAATGCCTGCTCAAACCGCTTCACTTTTACCGAATCCTGCAGGTACACTCTCCACGCAAGCTGCTCCTGGAGACATGTCATCTGCCTCGCAACAGTTAACCCAGAGACCCGGCATGACTGATCGTGCCATGTCTTACATGCCTCTCCCTAGAGATGAGTCTGGCGTTCCCATCTCGGAATCTATTACGACATCCTCATCGCAGCAAGTTGACGCGGCTTCTTCGACCCAGCAGGTCGACACGGCCGCTCCTCCGCGCCCAATTGAAACGGCAGCCTCTTTGCAACCGACGACCACACTAAGTTCCGATGAGCGGTCACCGGTAGCAGCCGATCTGAGCGCCTTGGGTGGGCCGCCGCCTGGAACAAGGCCCTTCCAACAGCATCCAGTGTTCCGGAACAGTGTGGTCGCACCTGAGCCACCCACTGGTCTCTCAGAAGATGCAACAGAGACTCCCAGCATTACTGCGGATACCGGTATCTCGAATCCGAAAAGGAGATCCGGTTTCTTCGGTAAACCTCAGAACAGAGAGCCTGCGGCTCTTAAAATTGCACCACCGCCCAGCAGAATCACAGATCAACATGGCCTGGAAGATCTCCAAGCCTCCGAGGATGAAGTGATAGTAAATATGCAGCCGCGTCCTCGAGAACAAGACAAGCAGAATCGCCGTCGCTCAGGTCTTTGGGATGTTTTGACCTCAAAGCGTGCTTCCAGTGGTGCAAACCTCGACAATGGCACGGACTGCGCAGCAGGCCCTGACGAAACAAGTGTCAAAGCACGAGAAGAGAATGCTAAGCGGAAGCTGCAGAAACCTCAGCGCGCTTCAACTTCGGCCATAGATTTGGAGCCAAAGAAAAAACGCTTCTCCGCCTTGGGCTCAATATTTAGTCGTTCCGAGCCTCCGCGCAAAGTTTCTCCCAAGACCAACAAGCTGACCAAGATGGCTCCATCGAGCAATGAGCACGTTCGTCGGACGGACAGTCCCAGACATGATCTTCCAAGCAACAGTCACACCGTCTCTGGAAACGTTCAAAGTTATGATGAATTCGAGGCGAGGCGGAAACGAGATGCTCCTGCACATCAGGAGACGGCGGCAAATGCGCGTCCGGCTGTGGCCAATGGATCTCAGGGACGGTCAGCACAGGCGAATGACACAACACCGATGCCTCCAGAAGGGTGGTATGGGCCTAGCGACAGGCAGCAACCCGCCCAGGAACCCACTTTGCCAGTCGTAGATCCGCAGCCAGAGTTTCGCCGCTTGCACAGCCAGGGAAGGATGGGGCCCAGGCCATCTTCTCAGCTTCCTCAAGCTTTCCGCCCAGTTGAGGCATCTTTTAATGCTCCTGTGGCTCCAGTCGGTCCACCGCCAGATCCTCACATTTTACAAGATTCGAGAACACCTGCACCGCATACAACTGGTCATGTTCGCAGGTTCTCGTTCGACCGTCAGAACTCGTATGGAAGTGCTTACGCCTCTGAATTCTCGGGCTTTTCAGGTCAGCAAGTCGCTGGCCAAATGCAGCAGTCGCCATCATCCCAGAGCTCATTCGGTCCGGACGCATACTCTATATCGACGATAGCGGGTCCCACTCCTGCCGAAAGGCAGAGAATTCCTTCTATTGGCTATGAGACGGCTCGTTCCCCCGCGAATGAGTACTCAGACCAGCAGACTCCGTGGGCTGTAACCATTCCCCCTGGCGAAGGAAGCACCCGAACTTCTCGGGCTTCTTCGTGGGACAGGGCGCCGGACGGTATGCAGTATCCTGGACCGCCTTCAGGTGCACCATATCATCGGCAATCGCAACGCCAGCCTCGAACTGGATACAACGGTCCATATTTCCCACCCAGTCAGATTTCAGGAGCTACATCACAGCCTTCTCCATACGAAGGGGGCACACATGCCCCACAGTACTCTTATGATCCGCCTCAGCAACAGTACAATCAAGCTCCTCGAATGCAGAGCCAGTACTCGCATCCACAACAGCAACAACAGCAGCAACAGCAGCAACAGCAAAGCTATCAACCGCAGCAACCCCGGCCGCAAAATCGTTACTATTCCCAGCACATTTCCTCACAGCAAGTCCCTCCACAGTACGCGTACCAGAATTCGGGACCACGACAGCAACACGATCCACGAATGCGTCACCAACGAAGAAGATCTTCGGGGTATAGCGGTAGGAGAGACGATATGACGGCGGGAGAGGAGGATTTGATTATGAGAGGCGTGAGTTATCCCGGTCAGGAGTGGCAGCCTCCTGGTCTGGGCAGGAGTGGGTGGGATTGAAATTAATGGGACGAGCATATGTTTGGAAAGATCAGATGGACACAACTGTACAATGATAGAATACTAATGATAAATGTTGTGAATGCTGTGCTGCACGTACCTGTGAAGTTGACTTCTCAGGGGTATCTTTCTTGCCGCTACTTTCTGAGGCAGAGCGCTGTAAGGGACTGCGGTGTCTCCGGGTGTTTTGGTAGGGTTAGGGTTGGGGTAGTAACACTGCGACGATATGGCCGGTTCAAGTATCGAGGAGCTTCACATGTTGCGGCATACCACCACGCTTTATTCTTTTCAATCCAACCAGGATGATAGTTCGTTAAGTCTCGAAGAGCAAGATTTATGATATCGGCAATAATACGGGATTCAAAGTGGTCGTGACGTTGAATTTGCCAATGAAGTGGAGGGAGAAGCGCCCTTCTAAATGGCATAAGCTGTGTGGTATTTCATCTAGGCATCAAAATCGCTCCCTGTCTTATTCATCTCATCATTATCATCGTCTCACAAAGCCACCACAACCGCCATGACGGCAGCGAGCCCAACGCCAGCGGCAGGAGTAGCAAATGCTCCGCCAACTCCTCCATCGAAAGTCGTCGTCTGAGCGACAACAGTTGGAGAGCCGGAAGCATCTGTCGAAGTCGAGGATGATGTAGAAGTAGTCTGGCTGGCTGAAGAACCAGTGCTAGTAGACATCGATGTTGAGCTTGAGGCTCCGCTGGACGTCTCGCTTGCGGCAGTCAGACCGCATCTGCGCAGTAGGTTGTTTGTCTCTGTTTTATATCAGTCGTTGAACCCTCATTAAAGACTATTGATTGTTACAGACCATCGTAGTCATCGTCGTCACTGCCTTGCCAAAAGGGGCGGATACAGGCCTCACAATCCGGGATCGCGGTGGCCATGTTCTGACCAGTGCAGATGCATTGGATTTCGCGATCGTTGCTGCTGAACGATTGATTGTCGCAAGATTCGGAGAGTTCTACGACTGGCGTGCAGACGTCTCGGCATTGGTTTGGCACATCATCGAATTCAATGCCCTCGTTGGCTCGAGTGAAGTGGACGAATCCGAGAGCGAGAGAAGAGATGAGTAGGGTAGTGCCGTGCATTGTGATTGACTGTCTCTGGATGATAGTCTGATAGTTCGTGATAGTGAGACGCTGCTGTTAGAAGGTTTGATCGGTGAACTTATACACTCAGCAACATTGTGCGTCCCAAACATGAAACACCATTTCGATGCACTCAGCCACCCCAACTACGTTTGGTAAGGGGAAGCGAACCTGCAATCGGAAGTGATTTTCTATCGTCAAAGAACGATCAGCCAGATTTGGTTCTTCGAAAACGTGGCGGAGCGTAGGCCAAGCGCATTTGGCATGTGCCAATGCATCCAGAGACTTGGCGTTGCTCCACATACACCTTCCAGCAACGACAACCACTGGAGCGATTCCTATTTCTGGAATGATGGCGTCGACAAAGAGCAAAAAGCTTACGACGACTTGGTCGTTGCATTCGTGTTCTGGAGGTGCCGAACTCTCCATGGCCCAGAGCAACGGGCAGTATCAAAACTGCATCCGATGGAAGAGAAAGATCGAATACTGTTCTCATCGTTTGTACTTCGTTATGGATTTGTAACTAGTTTTGATGTACGTGAGTGAATTCGAAGCCAAACCTCGAGTTCGTCTCGCAGCTCCCGTGATGGTAAAGCAAAAGCCGTGTCCTTTCTATGCGTTCTCGGTTCGCGGCATAGCGCTCCGTTTCTTCCATTCAGTACGACTAGCCAATTACTCGAGCTTCGTCTCGCATTGGTCACATATCCGCGTGCCCGCGAACATTCTCTTGCCAGGCGCTCCATCTCCGATGAGGCCCATGGTCCCTCACCATGCGTCAGGAGACCTAGCTGAGCGAAAGACATTTTTCATCGGTGTGGCTACACGCTCCCGCTTTGCCTTCCCCTGTTCACTAACCAGCCGGGCCGCGAAAGCAGAGGTAAAGGCGGGCGTCTTGCTCGCCACCTCGCGAAATCTCCCGCACAATCTGTTCTCATACAAGTCCTGGGCATGTTCGACAGCAGTGCTGACGGCACAAGCATGCATGGCTTTCTTACTGTCGGGAGCTGTATCGTACATCTCCTCGATAGCGTTGGCGAAATCTTCGGTGATCCATTCCTTGACTGCGCGTGCTTTGAACTTTGCGGCGGCCAGGTCTGCCAAAGCTGGGATGTTATATTTGTCGGCGGTGGTGTGCATGAGAACATTGAAGAGCATCGGTTTGTAGCAGTAATTCTCGTCGTCCTCGTCGGAGGGCCACAGGTAATGCTCGTCGTGGTAGTCTGACGTGTAGATGTATCGAAGCATCTCTCTCACCACGCAACCCTCATCGTCTAACAGAGCGATGAAGTTGCCACTTGCCTCCTAGTCGCGGGTCAGCTGGTATCTTCCGACGGTCGGTGTCGTACTGCTCACCTTGAATTGACCACTGAAGGCTCTGTCCAAGACATCAGACCGACTGCCAACGATGTTCTTGTGAACCCTCCATATCTTGTCTCCACATTCGATCTCGAAGTCGCTGTACTTCGGATCGTCGAACAGGCTGTCGGCACAAATTAGTGACGTGRGTGTTGTGCGCTCCCCGTTCGTTCGCTGACCTCGCGATACTGTCCACCATTGGCTTGTATGGTGGCGGAGCCTCTTCGGGCGAGGCGGCGATGACCGTTCCATTAGCCATGTTGGGGCGATGTGATTGGTATGACGTGGGAAGGAAATGGAGAGATGCTTCGTGCGTGAAGTGAAGTGCGGGTCGCGGCGCGGACAGCGGGAAATAGGCGCGCTAAGACCTGCCCGGCCAGCAGAAAGTGAATCAAAGGCGGCTTGTGCTTTTGAACGTCTCCACGACTATTGCTTGACTCTGTCTTCCAAAGTTCGTGATGAGGCTGTGGCTGTGATTTGCCAGGGAGGCCACCACTCGTTCGCCTGCTCTTACTCTTCATGTTGACGCATCTGACCAATACCAAGGAGTCACGCAAGTTCAGTGCACAGACATCAAGACTGCAGCTGGTCCACTTCATTTCACACGTTAGGCTGGTCGCGGAAAGGTCCAGTTCTTCCAATCTGAAAGTACCACGGTCCAGGAAGAGCAATTCGTCAAAAGTGTTCATTCTCCGACCAATATCAGCCGTCTCTTCTCATAAAATATTCTGCATTCAACAACTTTTGCCCCACCCCGCTCTTCTCGTAAAAGACGCGCGAGCTGAAATGGAGGCAACGAGATTCATCTACAACGGGACTCCCATCCGTTAATTAATCATGAACGCAGGCAGCTCTTGCCAGAAACGTCCGAAATGCAAAACCCAATGCCCGCTTTGCAAAGCCATGTGGAGGAACAGATCCTCGAGTTCCACGCAACGCGTGTCGTTAATTAAGCCATCCCCTCCAGCGCACCGACTGACCGCTCCGGTGCAGACACTCTCCTGGTGGACGGTCTTGGCTTCCTCAAGCGCAGGAGTTTCAACAAGAAGCTCTCAATGGGGAGGAGAATCAACCAGAGGCGGTTACAGAGGAAACTCATTGTCACGCTGAAAGTCGCAACAACGGCATCCAAGTAGTAGTGGTTTGCCGTTGCGACAATCACGCTCAGCACCAAGATCGGGTAGAAGATTCCCGAAAGTACGTACGCGAAGGAAGTCAGCGGCGATCGCATGCCGCGACCTCCACGTAGTCTTTGTAGGAGGCCGGACTGGTAGAGGAAAGTGCAGCCGATGATGAAGGCGTATGTAAAATGTAAGCTGGGCATGGCCGCAAGCTGGTTGACGTTGGATCCACCAACCCAGACACTTTCGGCGTGCTCCTGGCGGACAGTGTCTTTGAAACCAAAGGATTCTGGGAGAAGTCGAGGTGGCATGCATGGGTAGAAGCTGAAGATAGCAAATGCGGCGAAGTTACCCAGAGTCATGGTTCGGCGAACGATGGCGAAGGTGTCGAAGTTTGGCGCCACGTAATAGTACCAAGAAAGAAAGCTGTTCAAATGTTAGATCTTATCGTTGAAATAAAACGAGACCAAGGTACTCACGCTACAGTCCCTGGGATATGTACTAGGGAATAGATTTGGTTGAAGATGGTCATCACACCCAAGTGCCCGTTAAGGAGGTACTGCTGGAAGTCGACTTCGGTGACAGGGAAGAAGATGCTCAGCGGCGAGTTGTGCTCAATGTTCAAGATGGCAATGCCGTGATCTTGGGCCATCTCCGTCACTGCATGGCCTCCATATCTGTCATACAATCCTGCGCCAATCTTCTTGGTCATGGAGTAGGCCACAAAATTCAGAGCCCAGTAGAACATCTCGACCAGGAAGGGGAATTTCTGCAGGATCCGACTGGGTATGTTGAGTTTCGCGCTGTCAATTGGACCTGACTCGGAGCGCTGCAAGTCCACGCTGTTCTTCGGTCCATCTGGGCTGGCGGATCTGGATGAGGAGCTGCCAAACTCGTCTTCACGTTTCATGAGGGACTCGCTCAGGTCGTCGCCGCGGCCGGGAAACAGGCTGAAGTCTCGGTCTCGATTGACTATTAAAGATGTGACCATGATTGTGACCACGAGCTGGAGAGAAACATGTCAGCTTGCGGCACAGCACTCTGCAGCGTTACGCTGACGCCGGGCACAACGTACCAATGGCTCAAACCATTCTCGCGCCTGACTTTGTGGGTGCCCGAGATCTGGCATTGTTTCGTTCACCATCTTGCCCACCAATGTTGCGCGTTTGACGTGTGTTCACTCCTAGCACAGCCCTGCGGGCTCCGTGTTCTCGCGGGGTGAGGCGGAGGAGCGGTAGCGCGCGGAATGATCGTATGACAAAGGTATTGTCGCCGGAAGAAGAATGTACAGGTTCGAGGGCTGCGCGTACGGAGGTGGGGAGGAGGATCGGAGTTGAAGCAGAGCCGCAGAGGTGAAACGGTACAAGCCTGATTTCCCCAGAACGAAGAAGACCAAACTCAGAGAAATGAGGCGTGGCGTGTGGGGCAAGATTGTGGATATTGCAGTGATAGATCTGGTTGGGTGGATGTAATGTACAGAACCACCAGTGAAGTTGTAAGAGCCACCTTTTGTACACAGTTGCTGTCCACAGCGCCTTCCTCTCGAGTGTAAGTTACTCCGTACTTTACCTTGAGGGTACCACGATAGCACGCGACCTCCCTGAAAAACCGGGCCCAACGCCTATATAGGGTTAGCTCCCGATCTCTCAACCAATAATAAGCGAGACTGAGTCGACGGCTGATCTCCGCTTCGATGTTTCCATTGTCAGGACGGAATCAACAAACATGCGTCTTCCGGGAAGACTCCATCGATTTCCCTGGCCTGCATATGATCTTCTTCTGCAATTGAAATACAGAAAATGCCATCTTCTTCTCGCGATGCGGGACTTTCAACATCAAGGCCGGCTCCAATGACGCCGAAAGGAGACGCGAAGGATCCTGCACGATGTATCCCGCATCCTGCCCCCTATCACGCGGTCTCCATTGCTGCTTTTTCACTGAACAGCTTACCAACTCGGCGATATGAGCTTGATGCTAGGCACCACCGATTGAACCCATCAGCAGTCTTAGACGTCTTACTGCTTGTTACGTGGAATTTCAGAGTTGCGATTCGCGAAGATCAACGATCGGCATTAACGTTTTCTATCACTTAATGCAACTATTACTTAATGCAAGTGGCGTCCGCTAGGCTTAATATAGTAACTACCGCCGGTAATTAAGTGGTTATTAGCTCTAATAGTTATTAAGTAAGTGTTAGTATTTATTCTACTTCGTATTATTACTACTATATAGCTAGTAGTAGTAGTAAGCTTAGTAATGTATTACTTAGTTAGCTATTAAACTAGTAACTAGCCTTACTAGCCTTACTATTATTAAACTCGAATAGTATATCGCTATCGCTACTACTATCGCTTCCGTTAAATAGCTTATTATTACTACTATTAATCTCGCTAGTTAGCTTATTAAATAGACGTATAGCCTACTTACGAGCCTCTACATCTATATAGTCTTACTATATATTAATATAGTTAGTATAGCGGTCTAAAATAACCCTTAGATTACATATAACCTCCGTAGTAGCGAACTTAAGGTCTAGCTTCTCTTTCTTACGGTATTAGTAGGCCTTTACTACTTCTTTTAAGTTAGCCTTATCCGCCTTTACGAGGGCTTACTTAGTAAGAAGCTCGTTAACTACTTCTTACTATAACTCTATAAATAAGCGAGCAGCTATAATAGCGTATTATAAGTTAGTAGTCGCTTAGCTAGCTTAATTCGCTTTCGCCTTCGCTAGCTTCTTATATACGGCTACTATTCGCTTAAGTTATATATCTACTACCTATAGGTTCCTTCGAGTATCTAAAAGTAGCTTATTTATACGGATACGTTCGCTAGTAACGAGCTTCTTCGCTATAGTAATCTCTTACTTCCGTTCCTTAGTAGTTTAAGCGATAATAGCTAGTATAGTTATACGGTCCGTACGGTTAWTTTGCTTAGCCTTAAGGCGTCGAATAGCCTCGCTATTAATAACCTTACTAATATTAACCTTCTTAAGGCTATCTTTAATAGTTAGTTTACGTATCCGTTAATTCTTACCTACTAGCGTACGTAGCCTATCGTTTTCCTACTCGAGTAGTATAATCTAAGCGTTCTACCGCTCGTACGCTATCTCGAGTAATATTCGAGTACGTAAACGGCTTAGCGTTTAAGGCGTAGATACGAGGTAAGCGAGCACTCGATTAAATACGTAGTTACTAGCTAGCGAAGGGCCTAGTAAGCTCGTAAACGGCTCGTAAATTAGCTATTAAGAGTTATAGTTAGTAACTTTAATAGCCGGAGGATAAGGTTGCTTAGAAGAAGCGAGTTTAGCTAATACACGCTTAGGCTTAAACGGTAGTAGGCCGGTAGCCTTAAAAGCGTTAATTAGCCGTTCCTTCGTAAACGACTCGTTATACGCTTTTACAAATATCTAAATAAAGGCCTTACGATTAATTATATTCTACTCTATATAGGCACTATTAGCGACGAGCCTACTATATAGCTTCTTTAGGTGATYAAATCTAGCTATATTAAGTAGTTATAGTAGGTATATAGCGTAAGGTAGTAGGTAGAGTAGGATAATACGCTCGTTCTCGTAGTACTTAACGAATTCGAGTAATTCGTATAAGTAATAGCTATTAAGTATTTAGAGCCTATACGGCCGCTTACTGCTTTTATTAAGAGCTAGTAGTATATCCTTATTCTATTAAAAGAGCTACTAGATAGCGTAGCTAATGTTACTCTAGCTATTATTACTTACTATAATTATACCTTCGAGGCTATTCGTGTTAAATAAGGCCCTATCTATTACGCGTAATAGGCCTAGCTTAAGGGTAGCTCCCTTAATAATTAAGTAAACACGCCCTCGTACGCTAGTTATAGAGGTAGATAGTATTATAGTAGCCTATTCGCGATTACTAGGCTATTTTAACTATGCTCTTTTCTAGCGGTATAGAACTACTACTACCTCTATAGTAGTAATAATACCGAGGGTAACGCCGGTCTCGTCTATATTATACGTATTCGTAGGCGTAATACGGTACTTCTCGCGTATAGCCTTATAGAGTTTAAACTATCTAGAGTAGCTCTTAGGATTCTTCTCGTAGTAGTAGCGGTTGCTATTAATAGCTCTTATATACACTATACGGAGTATAGAGGACTTCGAAATAAACCTCCGTACCTAGTATTTACCTATAGGGACTATAGGCTTATCGCTACTAGCTATCTTAGCTATAAGCCCTATCGTAAGCCTCCTAACTATACTATATCTCGGAGGAAATCTATAGTTTGCTAACTATACGATATAGTTCTAAAGGGCTAGTAGTAAGGCTCGTAATAACCGGCTCTTAATTATAGCAGCCTCTATACGTAACCTAGTTAATTTACGAAGTCGTCGACTAAAGGTAGATACGGTAGTTCCGTACGTAGTAGCGTAGGCCTATTACGTAGCGTATTTCTCGCGGTCGCCCTTCTACTACGAGTTAATAGCTCTATCGGTCTTATCCTTACGTAGCGTAATAGCTATAGCGGTATAGTATTAGTAGTAGTAATAAAGTAATATTAGTATTAACGAGACGATACGGGGATCCGGAGGTATCTAATCCTTAGAGGGGCCTACGTATCTACCGAATATATACTAACTACGTATTATAAAATTACGAACTAAATACTATTAGACAGCTTAAAACGAGGGCTACAATTTAAGCCTATATAGACGTAATAAGGTAGTATAGTTATAAGGTTATAATACTATTAAGTTAAGATAGTAGAGGGCTCGAAAAATAGTAACTTTTTATAATAGGCGAAGCCCTAAGGCTAAAGTATAGGCGTGGCCTATATAGAACGCTTAGCATCCGCGTACTTTACGTCGGAATCCGCGGAGGATAGTTCTCTTCCCTATCGAACTTATTTAATTAAAACCTTACCTAAGCTCCTATATATACGTTACTCGCCCGTAATATTAAGTTCGATCGCTTTACGATAACTACCCCTTCGGATTAGGATACCGGAAGGAACTTCCCGGATAATAAGAGTTTAGGACGGAAAGCATCCGTAGAACCTACTACGGAGCTACGTAGAGCTATAGAACAGATATACCTTAAGTAATAGGCTATAGAAGCCGAGTTAAGCGCTACGCGCGCCGCGCTAGAACGCGCGGGATCCGAACGCTTAGCTAACGACGACATCCCTATAAGTATAATAATACGGAACCTTATAGAATCGGTATTAGCGCTAACTTAAGCGGGTTCCGTACGAGAACCGTTAGAACTAAAGGACTAGAGACCGCTAACCTAGGATAGTAGAGCCGATACTTTTAGGGATTACCTTCTTAGGCTAAAAAGCTCCTACTAAGTACGTTTCGGCCTTAAGCTAACGCTCTTCGCGGACTACTACTAGAACTCTATCTACGATACCCTCCTAGCGAGGGAGAGAGCGAGGATACGCTACTTCTAGGAAGCGGAGCTAGCCGTAGAAGCGACGGATCCCGACGCTTTCTTTACGTAGATCGAGAAGGTCTTCGGGGATAGTAACGAGAGAGTAAAGGCCCTAAAATAGCTTACGAGTCTTAGATACTCCCTTAGCTAACTATAGTACGATTACTAGCTAGAATTCGACGGACTCCTACTAAGTACTAGCGGATAGAGCTAGGCCGACGATATAAAGATCGGATATCTAAAGAATACCTTCTCGAACCTAATACGTACGTATACGGCCCCTATATAGAAGTTAACGGACTACTACGACTTCGTAGAGGAAGTAGAAAGGATTATAACTAACCTTAAGGAGATAGACTAGTTTAAATCCTCGAATAAAAGGTAGAGGGAAAAACACTCGGATAGTAGTACTATTATAATAGTTACTACTCGTTCTTACTTAGGACCCGCGACTTATCGCGTCGACTCTAACGGAGACGTAGTAATAGCCCCTACTCGACTAGGCGGAAACCGACTAAGAACTAACGGAGACCGTAAGGAAAACGGGAAATAGTAAGCTAAATAGGTAACCTAGGCGGAGCGAGATAAACGCCGATAAGTAAGGCTTTACTTCCGTTACGGAGTAGGCGGATACCTAGTAAAAGATTATCTATACGCCCTAGCTATCCGCCCCGCGACGTAGATTAATATAATAGCTATCGGGCTAATATTAGAGTCC